CATATACGAATCCTGCACTCACTTGCCAATTATAGTACTGACTGACTGACTGACTTCACTAACGAAATCTCTCTACGACCTCTTTCAACGCCTTTTCAATCATTCCCTTCCGTTCCTCACTGCACCAGCTTCCCTTAATACTATTCCTCATCAATCTCTCCCACTCCTCCACTTTCAGTGCAAACGCATCTTGTACCGCACAGAAATTATCCAAAATATACCCGCCAAAATACGCCGGGTCATCCGAGTTTATACTAAATGGCACCCCCTGCTCAAGGTACGTGCGGACCGGTAACTCTGCCACTTTGCTCACGCAGCGCAATTCAACATTCGACAACGGACACATCGTCACCATTATACCCTTCTGTGCAAACTCAGCCATGACATTGGGGTCCTGCGGCAATTTGATCCCATGGTCCACGCGTGTGAGGTGCAAATCGTGTAGGGCCGACGCCATATAGTCGACACCAGCCTCTTCGCCGGCATGGGCAGTCAGGTTGAACCCGCGCTTCTTTGCGTCCGCGTACGTGTCCTTGTACAGGTGTGGCGGATTCCCTTTTTCCGTACTCGAGAGCCCCAGACCCTTAACGACGCCGGACTCCAAGTCGGAGATTGCTGCACGGTACATAGCGTCGCCGTCCTGTGCGGGAAAATGGCGCAAAATACACATGATAAGTTCAGACGTGATACCGAAGTCAGCATTCGCCCGGCGCTGGGCGGACGTGAAGCCCTCGAGGATCGTGGAGTACGCGACACCCCGCGACGTGTGGGCTTGGGGGTCGAAGAAGACTTCGGCATGTACGACGCCATCCGAGCGGGCGCGGGTGAAGTACTCGTAAGCTAGGGCCTCGAAGTCAGAAGACGTGATGAGCACGGACATGCCGATGAAGTAGTACTGGAGGAAGTCGTCCAGGGAGCTGAAGCGGCGGTAGCGGGCGACGAGGGTCGAGATGGATTCGAAGGCTGGGTCGACAGTCGGGTGTGGGAGGGAGATGTTGTTGCGAGATGCGAGTTCGAAGAGGAGAGGTGGTTCGAGAGAGCCTTAGGGGATTTAAGGGTTAGGAGAAAGGGAACAAGGAGAGACTGACGTCGAGTATGGGAGCATATTGAACCATGCTGGATCCTATAGGGCGTCGATTTTTGGATGTTCATGCTCGTTCTTCTCCTTTCTTGATTTTGTGTTTTTTTTTCTTTCACATAGCTTCAAGTTGTCTTCAATCGCAAAGACAGCAGAGAGGCGTTTGCCCAACTCACCTTCAAGATGCATATGATGCTCGCACTTGGGCAGAGCCTTGAGGAACTCGTGCATTGGTCCTTGACACATTTTGCCTATTCTTGGAATAGTATCCCAATTCTCGCCTTCGTGTCTTGTCCTTATTTGCGTCCTCCTTCTTATCAACGTCGAGAAAACGGTCTGATGGTGAGAAAAAAAAATCTGTGTGATTCAATGTAGAAAGAGGTCTTTATGGGGTTGAGGGAAAAAGCTCATTGAAAACATACTCGTATTCATTGTAGAAGCTCACTAGAAAAAAAGCAAAAAAAAAAAAAAATACCTTGCTTAGTAGGGTGCCTTCGGTAGATTCCGCTGCTTTGAGATAACGGAGATATATTCAAACTTCTCGCCAACGTATCGTTGTTGAATAAAAGATTCGAATGTTCCATAGCTGCTGCATCTGAGTGGAGGAGTGACGTTACTTTACTCTATCAAGCGCAAGAACAGCATGATTACGGGGCGCCAAATATCAGCTACTACACAAAACAGTTAGGTGGGCAAGTTAGTTGCTTCGTTAGATCCAGCCTCTGTTCAGCCCAATTCAGGGTTGCCGATGGGCTTGTGTAGTCTTGTACAGCAGCAGCGGACAGGGCCTTGAAAGATCATGTTCGAATAAAGAACTATTGAATAGACATACAAGGGTATATCAAACTCCATCCCGATGCTCAATGTCATTGATCGCTTCCATGAGTCATGAACCGTTTGAACTGCTCGTGTTGCGAGCAGAAATTTCCCCTAATCCAACGCCTTTCGCTCTAGCATCGATCACAGCCTCAAGACATTGTCCCACCCCTTCTAAATCTCCTAGAATACCCACATGTCCTCGATCACTTTCCACCCGGCCTCCTTTCACACATCGATATCCTTCGGGCAATTGAGCGGCACTGGCCAGGACCACGCCGTCTCCTGCTGCAAATGCTAAATCGTCAAACGCATTGGCATATTTGATCGCTTCCCTATTGGCGACCCGTGCTCCATACACCGTCGGCACCGTTTTTCCGAAGATATATGCGTGCGGCGGATAGAGGTTCTTCTCTTGATGGCTAGGATTGTGCTTCAGCTGTCGTTTGAACGCCAAAACTTCCGCCAACGTCCGCGCGAGATATTCTTCGGCCCGATCTTTCGGAATCGTGCATGCGGTCGCAACCGAAGATCGGTGCTGAGGCTGTTTCATTGATGGTTCGACCACTTGCTCCGTGCTGTGGCCCAACTCCCCGGCTGCGTCCGCCGCCCGCTGATTCGCTGCTTCCTCCAGCTGGCTAGGCTCTGAAGAGATCGTGGATTGCCCACCAAACCAGGAGCCCCGTATGTTAGGGAGGGGGACGCTGTCAGAAAGAGCGCCAATAATACTCTTCGCTCGCTCATTATCTTTGATGCTGTGGGGCAACGGGGGGTTGATACAAGGAGAAAGCCGATATTCATCCCAGACATGAGGGTCGAAAAAATCCAAATCATATCTCTTGTTGGTATGTTTCTGAATGAAGCAACGTCCATCTTCGGGAAGAAGAAGATAACTGGTTCTCAAGGTAAAGTTGACTTGCGCGGTAAGAACTCTGGAACTGAGAAGAACGTCGTCACCGTTGCGTAACGGCCCGAGAATATTCACACAGTGTTGAGGAACACCGGCATAAATCACTCCAGCGAAAAGATCTGGTCTTTGATTGACTGCATGTCGAGTAATGATGCCTCCCAGGCTGTGTGCAAGAACCGTTGCTCCTCGTTTCTCAGGTGGAGTTTCCGGATGATTGCACTCCAACGACTCCAGAAACTTGATAAGCCTTTGGCTTAGCAGATCTGGGCTGAGTCGCCAATCATATCCCCAATCATGCACCCTGAGCTTGCTCTCGCGCGTGTTAGGACATTTCTTCAGATGCTTGAGTAATCTCCGGCATATGTCGATCGGGCCGATATGTGAGAGAACACCGGAGGGTATGATAGTCTCCTCCATTCGTTCTTCGTCTTCTCGTGTCAAACCAACCTCGAGATCAACTTTACGGAGATTCAGTCCCACTTTCAGAGGCACCCAAAGTTGTCTATGAGGAGGCTGAGCTGATCTCAATATCGATCCGCGATAGCCGCCTAGAACAACAATATCTCCGGTCGTTTTGGACAAGGCATGAGATAATATTGGATGCGCTCTTTGCTGTGGGGTTTCCACTTCAATACCCTTCGTTGTAATTCGTATATTCTTGACATTTGTGTACTGCTGATGATGTATGCGCCCATAGCTGGTGGTTGAAGTCTCATTCACTCCTCTTGGAGCCTCGGCCTGCATTTGTTCGGGAGACAACATGCGCTTTAGTGACGGCCGCATCGTTGGTAGCTTGGGCAACTTCAGGGTCGAATTCTGAAAGCTGTCTGTTATGGCTTTGAATCGCGAGTTGGCCATATCGGTGACGTTGGCAAAAGCATTGATGTCATCATAGGTCGATACTCCGGATACTCTTCTCCTTATATAGAGAGAACTCTCGGAATTGGACCGAGCACGACTTTTGGTAGACGCAGGACGGACGGGGGAGAGTACGGATTCGACGTTTCCCTCCAGACCATGACCTGGTCTTGGAATGTTGGTAAGGTTATGGAATGTTGCACGCTCCGGCTGGACACCCAAACCGGACACATTCGACTCTTGTCGTTCTAGAGGTTCTCGAACTGACCACCGAAATGTTCTTGACCGATCCGTTGGTATATTTGACCTGCTGACGAGGCTTTCTTGACCAGGAGTTTTGTGGCTTAATGGCAGAACGGAAATGGAACTCCTATTGAAGGGGCCAGCGGGAAGATCGGGTAGAAATTTTCTTAAGTTAGAGAGTATTGCCGTTGGGCCAGATGACGAACGCCGCCTTCCATCACTTCCGGCGGCACTTAAAAGGGTTTTGGTAATTGACAATCGATGGGAATGCGGCCTTTGAGCATCTTCCTGAGAGACATCCTGTTGGTGAATGTCGTTTGGGGAGTGCCGGGATTGTGGTGGGACCTGATATTCCCAAGGCGGGGGTGTCGTTCGCTCAGGTTCCTGCGGGCTTGGAACCTGTGATGGATAGCTTCTGTCGAGTGATAGATCTGGCGGCTCAATTTGACCGTAGAATCTTTCCTGGCGATCAGAGGTGAGCGGGTCCCGTGAGGCGGATCTCCTTTCCGTCGGTCCGTCCGGCGATACAGATTTCCGGCCATGTCTGGAACGCGGTGGAGGCTTCAGGTTGTTGTCGGCCGTCTCAGTCTGGGATTCCTGCTGATCATCACTTTCAATTGCTTCGTTTAGTGTGGAAAATTTTTCGAAATATTCCAGTGGTAGATTGAGAGCTCTCGCTTTCTCAGCTGCCGGCGTTTCCGGAGATCTCATCTGAGTTTGAACTTGACTGATACTGACCCCGATTAAATCATCGTGATAAAGACCTTCGCTTTCAAGTTGAGGGGGAGGTGACGGCTGGTCCGAAAGAGTCCCAACATCAACGAATCCTCCATGGCCATCAGTGAGGGGATACCAATCTTCATCTTGAGGGGGAGCGGAATCGTGGTCAACGGTTCCTGGAGCACTGGCTGACTCCATTATGGGGCGGCGGATTCATGAATGGATGGATGCGTTGAGATCGATGCCACGAGGGATGGAGATATATATCATATGAGGCTGAAGAGTGGATTCAAGATCGAGTCTCACCGGAGATTTGGTGCTTATGAGGTGGTTCAAAACGAGGATAGCCAGAATCTGACTGCATGGGATCCGAGAAGGACATGGAAATGGGGTCTTGCAAGTGAAGCCATGGCCCAATAGAGGAAAAGGATGGGAAAGTTCGGAATACGTAGCTAAAAGGCTTGGGTTGCAGATATGGGATGACGGCGTGATAGGGAAGCAGGGGGGCGATATCCCACTTCGAAGGATCGATTGATGCAAAGACAGAATGAGAATGAGAATGCGAAGAACGATATCGAGAAGACGTAATTTGTTTCATTGCGTCGCCGGCAGCTGTGGATGAGGGACTTCGGCGAGAGTAGGATGGCACTTGAAGAGCAACAAAGTTGCACAGCCCCCTTCTGGCCGAGCAAATATACGCGAGATGCAGTACAGACATATAATTGAGTGGTATCCTGGCGACTTGGTCTCCTAGATCAGTGTAGCCAACTTGGTACCTCTTTGGTATTGAATGATTGAACAAGCTGTCCGGAAAGAGGCAAACCTATTGTCCTGGACAAGTACTCTCCGGGCTGATTCGTATGATACGAGGTACACCAATACGGACAATCACCAGTCCCTATGCTTGTCTCTTAGGGTGCTATTCTTAAGTAATTAGTGGAAGCTTGAATCCTCCCTTAGCCAACCATTGACGTTTTGTGGGTCGGCCCCTAATAAAAGCTTATACTTTGAGCTTATCTCACCAAAGTGTGGTCTAGATTGCGCTCTTTACTTGAATTTTCAGACATTCTGCTTGCACATGATTCAGCAGGCTCTTCAGCCACAGTAAAGCATCAATCCCTACTTATGTCGATGCGCTACTGTCATTCGACACCACCCGACATCGCTTTCCACTGCGTCAAGCCGCCTCCGCGAAAGTCACCGACCATGACGGCATTTGTGATTGAGAGTCACAAATGAACACAGCCTTACACTCGACCACGACTCAACGGTGGAGCGTCTACCTGAGGCGGCCACCACGATAGCATATAAAATCCACCTTCGATTGTCCACTTCTCTGAGGAGACATTCCCTTCTCCCTCCCAAGAGTGGACAGGAACGCAAAAGGAGAGCAATGGAGGAAGCCGATGCGGCTAATCCTAACATGGAAGTAGCCGAGCCTAAGACCGATGGCAGAGCGGAACGAGGATGACCACGATCCTCCGACGGATGAGGGAGCTAGAGCGTGGAAGAAATTCCTACCAACGAGTCCAGAGATGAGGCTGCAGAAAAGGGAGCAGCTGAAGGTGACCAACGTGATACTGGTACCGAAACTCAGGAACCTGAACCAAGTTCGCCCTGTCATACTGCTGAATCTCTCACCCAAGAACTCTGAACCCCTCCATACGTCTCAAGCTACAACACTCGTCGAAGAACCGCGGTACACCTCCTGAGAGTCCTGTATCACTTTCCTCGAGTTATCGTGTACAGGCATGCCCTTAACCACCACAAACTCTGTCATCCATTCAGCAGATAGCCTCTCCACAAATGACTCTTCCAAGCCATGTCCAAGAACTTTGGAGCTGACACCCGTTCAGAGAAGGAGACTGGAACTCAAAGTCAGCCTTGAAGCTCAGCTCCCCAAGTGGTAGCTGTGTACTATTGTGCACCACCATCAAACATATTCGGCTGCGAAAGCTCACTGCCAAACCCTCCCGGCCGGACACTACTTTTCGCTATCTTCAAGTTCGAAATTCCAAGCCTTACCAGACCACCAATGCGATCTCAAGATTCCCCAACAAACAACGACTGGACCGTCTACGGGACACAGTATCTTCCGTTCCAGCAACGACAACCATCGCAGACGACACCCTCACCAAGGTTCTCTAAATCGAGACTCAATCACGGTCATGGATAAAACGAGAGCTACGATGCCCAGACCGCACAACCTGTTGCGCATCCCGATTGGGTTTGGCGCGTTCACGTGACTGCCTGCGACAGCCTCAAGTGCTGCGCTTGTAGATAGGTTTGGCTTAGCAACCAATTCAATCTCATTGACTCACGCCGTTGGTTCAAGACAACCTGTATGCACCTAATCCTCACATGGCTTCTTCGACACAATGCCCAGCAGCATACAGGTACCGGGTTCTAGTTCCCAGATATGGATCCCTAACGACGAACCAGAAGAAGTAAAGGCGACGATTGCATCAACACCATTGCATGGATCGGTGGACTAGCTTGCTTTGTCGGCATGCAATGACTCGTTCCCTTCTACCAATGAAAAGAAAAATATGGGCTTACACATACGTTGATAGACCGTGGGATAGATAGAAGCCAGACACAAGACAAGGCTGAAGGAGTGAGGAACTAGACACACTAAACGTTGCTGAATTGAAACCCGGAAGATGGCCCCCCCCCAGAAAACATTGTAACTTCTACCCCAGATGACGCTGCACACCGAGAATAATCATCTGAACACGGACATGTAACTCGTTCTCTTAGTCTCCACCATTATATAAACGTAAGAAGAGCATCCAAACGACAAAATACTTTATCCCTGACTCGGTCAATTGTCACGTTATCACACCTAGGAAGGGAAGAAAGGAGAAAAGCACCTGGGCCACAATGACTTGGATTGTTGAATATTGTGATTGTCCGCTCTGTACTATGTATTGTAGAGAAATGTACATGGTGTGAAGGAGGGTGGGTTGCAAAGAATACCAAAAGTTGCTGAAGTGAATCCTGACTAGGCCTAGCGCGATTTGCCAAACCGCAAAACCATGTTTCCAGTCTCTGTGCTGAGCAGGCAGCTGGTTCATGAACCTTTATAAATTTCCTAAATAAGTATGTGAGTCTTCCTGAATGGGTAATTATGTTTCTACCGCTCTTCTTGTGCGCTCCAGCACCAGGCGCATGACTGCCATCTTGCATCTCCACAACCCAATGGACAAACGTCAAATCATTTGGGTGGTATTCCAATTTGAAGAATAATGTAGGATCTTCACATTTTATGTTCATGTCCATATTTTGTCTTATATCGACTAATGCACCGCGGCCACCCATTCTCTGACTGAACAAAGGCAGGGAGGGAGGATAGGTCCCCCCAATCAATCAGAACAGGCCACTGTCTGACTTGTCTTCCATGCATCGACTCCGTTCCGCTTTTGTTATGCAGTCACCCCGACCCTGTCATTGACATGCTGATCCACACTTTGCCATCTCATCTCAACGACCTCGGTCATCAGAGAAAAGAAAGACAGTTCACCGAGTCAGCCTCCGGTGTTTCTTTACACATCCCATACATCTGTCTTCAGAAGCTTTGGGCAAAGATTTCAAATATCTCGCCGTGGGATTTTAGGTTCCTTTCATCGTCTTCGTGCTTGCTAGGACGCTTTTCTAGATCAATCATTATCGTTGTTCATTGCTCAAGTCATTTCAATTCCAGGCGATGGCCGCCTTCTCGGGGACGGCTAGGAAAGGAGTCATTCGGTTGCTCAGAAGGTCCGATGGGAAACCAGCCCTTTTCAGACACGCGGTCGTTTGGCGTCTGGTCCAATATTGGCACGTTCCTCGCGTATCCGGATGGCTTCTGTTCCATCATCGACCAGTGACTCCTTGAACCAAGGATGTTTCAGTGCGTCTTTTGCCGTGATCCTATTCTTAGGATCATAGACAAAGATCTTTCTCAAAAGATCGAGCAGCTGCTTGTTGAAGGTCGTATTGGCTGGAATGAATTCCTATGATTATGTCAGAGCCCTGTCTTACAGATCATGGGAGGTAAGAAAACGACGCACATGAAGATGTTTCATTGCCTTGACGTATTTTCTGGATGCCTTGGACGTTTCATTGTTGGGATACTCCAATTTTCCTCGGTTGAAAAATTTGGCGGCAGAATTTGCATTGGCTCCACGACCGCCGGAGCAAACGGCTTTGACCAGCTTCTGGTCAATCTTTCCGTTACACACCGCCTCCATCATGGCTAGATGTTCAAGGTTGTCATGTGTTTGGAACAATGCGTCCCCCGTGAAAAATTCGACGATGATACAGCCGATGCTCCAGATATCACAAGGGAAGCTCCAACCAAGCTGTAAGATGATCTCCGGGGCTCTGTAATGCCTAGTCGAGACCACTGAGGAATGATATTCATCGTCGAAAGTGGCGGAGCCAAAGTCTATGAGCCGGATTTCACTATCCAGAAGTACTCTTCTTTGTCGTGCTGTTCTGGAGGTGGTGTGTGACGATGACGGTATCGTCCGATTGTACGTAAAGGTTTGATAGGCATTGTGAACCAGAAGAATGTTTTCTGGTTTGAGATCTGTGTGGATCAGATTCAGATCGTGCAGGACTGCCCGTTTGTTAGTATAATGACGGCAATAAGAAAGACTTGCAGACTCACAAGCTACACTAGTGAACAACTGTCTGGCAAAGCTCTGAATTTGAGAACTTGGGAACGGTACAAACCCATTCCCTTTGAGGAAGTCAAAGACACTTTGGCCGAGAAGGTCGGTGACAATGCAGATGTGATTTCGAAAATCGAATGAATCCCGTAGATGAATGCATTTGTTTCGATTTGTCTTGTCGTTCAGCGCAAGCGTGGAGAGAACGCGCAGCTCAATTCGAGAGGCATCCCGGTATTTCTGAACCGATCTGATGATCTTGATAGCACACTTTGTTCTCTTTTTCTTGTCGTAGGCTTCCACAACCTTGCCGAAGGTTCCTTGCCCGAGAAGTTTGATGATATCATCTGCCAAATTGTGAGTCCGGATATTTTGATATTTCAAAGGGGTGTAAAAACGTACAGCGATCAGTCAAGGGTGTGTTCGCAGTCACCATATAATGGCCGTCGTCATCGTCCACTTTCTGGTGTTTGTGGAGATTCTAAATCTCGTCAGCCCGTGGAAATTGAATAGGAGGTCATCCAGGCACTCACATCGCGGATTACAGGAACATGAACATCCGCAGCCTTTCGCAGTGGTTTGGGAGGGGGTATGTAATCTGCAAATGCATCTGGGGCAGATTCCTGTTGCTTTCGTTTTGCTTGTGCCCTGGTTTCTTTCTGTGATTGGACCCGTTTTCTTTTTTGTCCCACTCTTACATCTTCGTAACTGTTACTGGCAGTGTTGGAACCGTACGATTCAAGAGATGTCGGGGCTGTCACAGTCTGCAAAGAAGTCGTTCGGTCGCCCGAGTGATAAGAAGCCGATGATGATGATTCACCAAATTTGGCCGGGTGAGTGGAATAAGTTGGGCTGTCTGTGTACTCGATTTCATAGCCCTGATCAACTTTTCTTTTCCGTCCGGCATTTGACGCGTATAACGAACCATTAGGTCGTGGTTGTCGGGTTGATGTATTGCTAGGACGCTGAGGCTCGGGAGAGTCATCATCGATAACGATGATTTCTTTAGGAACTCCGTTCTTGTAAAACTCGTTCCAGTCCGGCTGTTTCCTGTGAATATCGGGCAGAGCCGAAGCCGATTGGGAGGGAGCCATTGATGAGACGATTGAAGGTTGTCCGTACGAGACTGGGGATTGTTGAGGTCGGGGATATTGAGTGATACTCGGGTAAGAATGGTAGGAAGTGGTCAGTCTCTGCGGTGCAGGTAGTGTATTGGTGGCGGGGTACGGCCGATTTGACGGGGAATAGGGATTTTGATGAGCATAGCCATATTGCGAGTGGTGAGCTGGTATGAGAGTGGTTGCCAGAGACGGTGTGGACATTTTGCCTCACAAGACGTTGATGGTGGAGTTCGTCCAACAACGTAAGTGTTGTGGATCGCCGTAAACCGCAGTCTACATGCGAAGGCACAGCAAGACCAATTTCGGGATGATTGTGTTCAAAACCGATGCTCAATGGCAGGTATGGATGAGCAAGAGGATAGAGGATAGATTGAAATGTCACAGAAGAGGTGGAAGGGCCGTGAAAAGGCTGTCGTCGAGGGAGACTCGAGGTAGGTGAAAAACGTGGCCGTCGGACCTGAGGGCTCCAGACGAGACCTCTACTGTAGGTTCATGCCCATGATTCCGTCAGAGGGGACGGTAGGACTGTTTAACGAGAAGAGAAGAACGGTTTTGAAGAAGAATAGAGTTTGTTCCGGCCAGATGGGAAGAGACGGACGAGAGACGAAGATGGAGGTAAAGTTGTTGGTGGTTGCCGAGAATGAGGTGCCACTGGCACTGACGCTGGCACTGGAACTGGAACTGCGCTCTGAACTTTGCTACTGCCAGACGCAGGAGGAGAGTGCAGTTTCTGCCGTAAGCGGGCGAATGACGACTTTCGGGGCTTTCTGCAAGCATTGTCTGGCTCTTCAATGATCATTCCCCACCAACTGACCTTCCTCCCCGACGAATTTGTTCCTCTCTCCGACTCGGGTAACCTAATTCGCATTTGTATGCGCCTTCGATCGCTTCCATCGCGCCAGCCGCTCGCGCTTGTGTTCACGTCGATTCATTCGCAGCATACTACAAACTATCACAATACGATGGGTGGGCAAAGGAAGAGAAGTACTTGCCCCTTGGCATCAAAATTATAACTGGGGATGACAATTTCTTTTCCGCCACCGTAAGGTGACCCTCAGTTCCGTGGCATGCTGAAACGAGGGGGGGCGATCGCACCCGAGGGGCGGGAATCCCACCTGGTATGATACACATAACATGTATGACACCAAAATCTGCCTGCAAGTCCTTTCTGTGTTGATCGTCCAACTCAGCCTGCCTAAAGCGGTCTATCATTTACACGTACTGTACAATGCCTGGAGGACTTTCATTTCGATTGATTCGGTTTATCTTACAATGGGCACGTGTTGTTGCTCCACTGACAACAATGTGCCTGAATCTCGTTCTCTCTCTGTAGTAGAGTCTAGAAATGCACGTCAAGAATCAATTTTCCGGCAAACTCAGCCCTCGCACAAAAGACCGCGAGGCTCGTCCGTCACTTTCAAGCACAAGAAACACATCCCGAGCCTGGATTTTGGCTTCTTTCTCCTCATCCCATTGGCCGATTTGCTTCTCCTTAGGCACTGCTCGAGTTCTGTCAGGACCCGGTGTGCCTGCTGCCGATGTAGTGCCTGATGCCAAAGGTCTTCCTGGAGTCCCTGCTGGACTCGCTCCTCCACCTTTGCCGGCGTTCATCCAATCGTACGTTCTTTTATTCTTACCGCCAAAGCGGCTTCCGAGAAGACCTGACACGGCCATGCGTGCTGCTTCGTTCGCAGACTTGTGTTGCTGCTGTTCCGAAAACTTGGACTCTGCTAATTTCCTCTCCTTCTTCGTAGTCTTCTTTTCGGTCTCAAGGGCGGCAGCGAGTGCGATGTCTGGTGTGGAATCAGTCCCTGCTGCTCCTGGTGTTCCTTCTGCATTTGCTGCGGCTCGTCGTTTCAGTCTTTTCTGCCGTCGGGCCTCTTCTGCGGTTCGTTCCGCTTGTGACACACTTTCCATGGCCACAACAAGGCGTGCCGGACCTGGGACTTGATCACCTGAGATGGACGGCTCACTATTTGCCTGAGAATGTGTGCCTATGACGAGGGTAAGTAGAGAATCAACAAAGACGAGAGTTGCACCCTACGCTTTAAACTTGAGCTGCCAACTGGACTCGGCGCACCCTCTTGCACATCAGTGGCCGGTTTCGCCACGATCGCTATGTCCTGCCATTCATCAGGGATCTTTCCTTTGGAGTGTTGTCGTCGTTCCTGCGTTAGCCTGGCAGAGGTACTGATGAGTCCGGTCATTCGAGCCTTGGCCGCCAAACTTAGAACTTTCATAATGTCTGAGAGACGCTCGCCTTTTTGCCCGGTGTCGAGGATGGCCTGACCCTTGTCGATGACACGAGAAGCACCTTCAAGCCCGTTGACGCGCACTGTGGGTGGAGGCGCATGTTTCTGTGTGTTCACCAAGACTCCCGACTGTGGATCAACCAAATGCTCGGTGATGCTGACGTTGCGAATTTTTTCATTTAGGGCGCCGCCCAACAGAAACATGTCCCATAAGGGATGTTGACTGTGTCTTGCAGCTTCCCAATCAGCGCGTGCCTCTTCACGTTGTTTGATCTCCTCCGCCGTCGGCTGATACTCCGGTGCTCGATTCTGGCCATTATCCTGCTCTCGTTGAGGACCTTGCACTCCTCCACTCGACGTAGGTCGTCCAAACGAATTGCTGTGGTATTCAAAGCTCCCTGGCTGCGACTGGAATGACGTCTGCGGTGTCGAACTTCCATAGTAGTCCGGTCTGACCAACATTCTACGCTCCTCTTCAATATCGATTCCGGTGCCTGACAAGATGTCTTCATAGTTCCGATCTTCCTTGTCTGTCGGTCGCTGCGGCGGAGGCATCAGCCCGGGTCGAGAACCAGGAGGCGCAGAGCCATTCATGGTAGAAGTACCACCGGGGGTCGTTGGTTGTGCATTGGGCGTGGGAGGATGGCTCTGTGTAGGAAAAGGAGACTGGGCATCGGGGGAGAGTCGAGGTCGTTTCGCAGCGGGTGGCTGAGAGTATTGCTGAGGCGAGAATTGCTGAGGTGAAGGAGAGGAATAACCGAGAGCCATCGGCGGGGACTGAGCGCCCAGAGGACTAGGTCTTCCATTCGAGGCGGGGAAATCACGTTGAAAGGATGTCTGAGACTGTGGGAGAGGAGGTCGGGATGGCGGCGGTTGTGATTGAGCCATGGTATTCGACGTGGTCATGTTATATGAACTTGGAAAGAAGGATTCCACCGCGATGTTTGTCTTGAGATCTTTTTTCCGAGTGAGCGTCGTCTCACGCTCGGCACTTTTCCTGTCCCTAGCATGCCTAATCGCGTTGTCCCGGCATCCGGAGAAACAACTGATATGCAAGAGGTCTCATGGAGGATTAAAATTACAGATTTGGTGTTAGATGATGTGATGGTATTGCAATTCAAAAGCCGCAAGGCAGCCTGCCTTCCTGATCATGCGTTTTAGAGTCGCGGCACGTGACACAGCTTGGCTAGCGTGTTCCGATTCCAGCTGCCCCCTTCAAACCTCGACTTTGCTCTGTATTCCTGCTCTGGCCTGAGCAAGGGCCCCTGCTCAACTTTTTTGGCCATGCACTCCGTGTGGGCATTTTCAATGATTTACAGGCAATATTGCGAGTGACATGCCCCAGACCGAGACAATTTCTCTCCATCCGGCCAATATATCGCTTGAACGAAACCCAAATGTAGCCTGCGCCGTCACATCCACGTCTCATCTAGACCCTGCGTACAATGGCCACCAAAAGAAAAGCCTCGGCCATGGCTTCTACCGAGGATGAAGATCCAGTTGACCCTTCAGATGAGCTGGTGTTCATCGGGTTGGGTGGATGTCAAGAGGTTGGACGATCATGTCATATCCTCCAATACAAGGGAAAAACCGTCATGGTAAGCATGAGGTACGCTTTTCCCGGTGCTCACTTGAACTGACCAACATCCAGCTCGATGCCGGCATGCACACAGGCCGAGAAGGAATGTCGGCAATGCCCTATTTCGATGATTTCGATCTCAGCACTGTGGACATCCTTCTAATCAGCCAGTAGGTGAACATTTCCTTTCACTCGCCAGGTGTTTTTGTTTTCTGGTCATGTCACAAATACTACGTGGACATCAGGTGGTGCATCCAAGGGTTGCAGATACAAGGTACAATATCAGTGGGCATGAGGGTCAGACATCCCCGTTCATGAATGATCTTGTATCAATAGGCAGAGATCAATACAATTTTGTTCAGCCACCCTCTTGTTTCTACTTTGTTTCCTGGTCCATCTCACTCCCTTGTGATGCGACGAAATTCGACAGCGGACACGGCCTGTTATATTATTCCGTTCAGTGGCTAATAGTATGATGCTTTTACAGTTTCCATCTTGACCATGCCGCGGCTTTGCCCTATGTGCTCGCAAAAACCGACTTCAAAGGACGAGTTTTTATGACGCATCCCACCAAAGCAATCTACAAATGGCTCATTCAAGACTCGGTCAGAGTGAGCAACACCTCGTCCACTTCCGACCAGAGAACATCGCTCTATACCGAAGCCGACCACATCTCAACTTTACCCCAAATCGAAACAATAGATTTTTACACCACACACACCGTCTCCGGGGTTAGGATAACGCCGTACCCTGCGGGCCACGTTCTCGGGGCAGCGATGTTTCTGATCAACATTGCTGGCCTGAACATATTCTTTACAGCAGACTATTCAAGAGAACAAGATCGCCATCTTGTGGCTGCTGAGGTTCCCAATACTGCCAACGTCGGCAAAATTGACGTTCTGATCACGGAATCGACTTTCGGAATCTCAAACGCCCCTCCTCGAGCGGAAAGAGAGAGTGCGCTTCTCAAGTCTGTGTCGAATATTCTGAACCGCGGCGGCAAGGTCCTGATGCCCGTCTTTGCCCTTGGTCGTGCGCAAGAACTCCTCCTTATCCTCGAAGATTATTGGCAGCGACATCCAGAGCTTCAAAAGATTCCTATTTACTACACGGGAAACACCGCTCGAAAGTGTATGGTGGTGTATCAGACCTATATCAATGCTATGAACGACAATATCAAACGAATCTTCCGAGAGCGGATGGCCGAAGCAGAAGCATCGGGAAATGCAAAAGGCGTCAGTGCTGGCCCATGGGATTTCCGATTCGTACGAAGCTTGCGCAATCTTGATCGGTTTGATGATGTGGGTGGGTGCGTCATGTTGGCATCGCCTGGCATGCTGCAATCTGGAATGTCTCGCATTTTGCTCGAACGCTGGGCGCCAGATCAACGAAATGGAGTGATCATGACCGGTTATAATGTGGAGGGCACCATGGCGAGAACCATTTTATCGGAGCCCGAGATGATCCCCGCGATCATGAGCGGTGGAAATACTGGTGTGGGTCAAATGATGGGTCGGAAAACCAAAGATGACGATGCTGCGGTGATGATTCCCCGACGATGCACAGTTGAGGAATTCCAATTTGCAGCTCACGTTACTGGCGTCGAGAACGTCGATTTCATCGAACAAGTCGCAGCACCCCATGTCATTTTAGTACATGGTGAGCGATCACAGGCCGCCCGATTAAGGTCGAGACTTTTAGATCTAAACTCTCGACGACTAGTCCACAACCCTCATGCACGGCAGACCAAGGTTTACAGTCCAGAAAATGGTGCAGAAATCAAGATTCCCTTCAAGAAGGACAAAGTTGCCAAAGTTGTCGGGAAACTGGCTCAAATACCTCCTCCTATGACCACAGAAGCAGAGGATACGAGAGTCGTGAGCGGAGTCCTGGTGCAAAACGGCTTTAAACTCAGTCTGATGGCCCCTGAAGATCTCCGAGAGTATGCCGGTCTAACCACGACGACCATCCTCTGTCGGCAACACATAACTCTTGCGGCGGCCGGGATTGAGCTCATTCGATGGGCGCTGGAAGGCACATTCGGTAGCATTGAGGAAGGAGATTCTATAAAATCAGAGGCAAACGGTCACGGGCTGAATAAAGAAGACGGTATTGAACAGCCGAATGGTCAGAACGGCGTAAAAGGTGAAGAAGCGGCAGATGAAGAAAGACCGACAGAACTACAGCGAACGTTCCTGATCATGGGTTGCGTCACTCTCAAGTGGTCGGGTCGAGAAAAACAAATCGAGCTCGAATGGGAAGGAAACACGATGAATGATGGGATTGCAGACGCCGTCATGGCTGTTTTGATGACGGTCGAGAGCAGTCCGGCAGCCGTCAAATATTCGTCCAACAAGTCGTCACACTCCCACCACGCGAACGGGCAGGAGAACGGCATCGAAATGCTTCACAATCAACACACAAATATCTCCCCGGAAGACCGATTCTCAAGACTTTGCATGTTCTTGGAAGAACAATTTGGTGACAGTGTGACGCCGATTGAGAAACCCAAGATATCACATCAGCTGGACAAGAAATCTCACCTCACCCCTGGCGAGGAAGCCGGCCAGGAAGCCAAAGAAGAAGTATTGGACGATCAAATCGACATCGAGAGTGCCGAAGCGGTAGAACGGGCGAGGTTGGCGGCCCTGGGAATCCCGGTACCAGGGTTGGAGATTCGATTCGACAAACATGTGGCTAAACTTTGGCTGGAACATCTCGACGTTGAATGTGCTAACGGCGTTTTGCGAGACCGGGTCAAGGCGGTGGTGGAGAGAGCTGTTGAAACCATTGCACCTCTGTGGGCAGTTCGCCAACAGACTAAGATTTAATTATTCTCGCACCTCCATTCTTCTAAGTCTAGGTGCAATTCGATGAGCTCCGCACGACAGAACGAGGTGGCAACATGGAGGCATAAATAACCAAAAGGGGATACACATTAAATGGGAGAGCACATCGACTTGGACAAGTGGCACATCAAGCTACCTATCGAAGGATGCGAGCCTGCATGTCTGCCGGGGAGAAGCCTGTTTCAGGGTATGCGATTCGATGAATCGGAGTCAGCTCAATACAAAAGATTCAACCGCCTCGGTACTCAAGTGTTCCCCTGGATGGTACGCCAATGCTTCATACATCGCCGGCCTTGCCCAGAGTCTTATGTATTGCTTACTTGTTCGCGTCTCTCAATTGTTTGTTCCTCAAGTCTATCACTCTGATCTTCGAATTTCTCCCATTCACAAAAAAGATCGTGGCATATAGAACAGACTAACGATATGGCAGTGGCCAACACGAGGACCGCCGTGGTTACTGGTATTGCCCCGAAGACGAGACATTAAAAGGTCATTGTTTCTCGCTCACACTCTATTTCAGGTGGCTGTTCAGGAATCGGCCTCGGTCTCGTCCGACATGTCCTCTCCAAGCCCAACTGGCGCGTGGTCATCGCAGACATCCGACCAGAAGCATACTCAGCCATTTCCCCGTCTCTAGATTCGGCTCGGCATATCTTCATCCATGCAGACGTGGCCTCCTGGGAATCGCAGGTCGCATTGTTCAAGCAGGCGTATGTCTGGTCTGGAGAACGAATCGACGCCTTTTTTGCCAGCACATCACCATGTCCCAAACCCCGAACGACCTTGACGAAGAACCCAGCAAATCACCCATGTTCTGTACCCAAGTCAACCAAATTGGTGTCTTCTACAGCCTCAAGCTCTTCGTGCACTACAGTCGGAAAACGACTCAGGCGTTGAAAGCCGCCGTTTCCAGTGCTACTCCTACATCCTCGTGCACTGCCCTGTACCCCTTCCCCATTGCGCCGGAGTATTCATCCACCAAACACGCGGTTCTCGGCCTGACACGTAGCGTGGGCCAACCGCTACTCGCAACCGACAATATCGCGGTGAACTGCATCATGCCCGCATTCGTCGCGACACCGCTGATATCGCAAGAAATCACGGAACTGTGGCCGAAGGAGTGGATCACGCCGCTCTCGACTATGGCGCGTGCAATCGATGAGCTGACGTGCGAAGACGGGCATGTCGAGCAGGACGGGAAAAGCAACGGGGCAAACGGCGTGGTCAAAGCCGGTCAGGCTGTTGGGTGTGTTGTCGATCGCCTCTTTTACCGCAAGCCTATCGACTATGCGGATGAAAGCCAGCGGTTCCTTATCGAGCAAGCTTTCTTGCCAGATGGCATCTGGATGCGTGGAATCATGGAGAAAATCAAGAAAGACCAGGCGGCTGCTGCTACCACCGCCACCACTACTACTTCTGGTTAAGGTCGAGGTTGAGAGGAATGTATGCGGTCAACCATGGTGTGGAACGGGATGACTGATAAGAATTTTTGATCAGGAATCTAGATATGTTGAATGAACAATGTTATTGGAGATAATCTGCATTGAGCCAGAGAAGTAGAAAAGCACAGAATCTCGCGAGGCCGAAGCCAGAATGAATGAAGCTCTCTACTGGGCTTGCTCGGATCCTCGGTTCACCACAAGTTCATATTGAAAGCTCGACCGTACAGGTCCAACTATCCTGCAAAGCCGAATTTGTATCCACCAAGTTCCTCCTACGCTATTACCAGTGCAAGCACAACAACTCCAAGGAAACGAGACCTTGTTCCTGATCTCTACTTCCGTCTCTACACCATTTACCCACGTAAAAGTTCCAGTTGCTCAGCGACCCTTGTAAAGCCAATTAAGACTACCGCTCACCAGGACTGCACTCTCACACGATCCGCCCCAACTCGACGCGTTGGGTACAGTCGGATTTGAGTCTCATGAACATGAGTCCGTTGGTGATTGTCGTTTCCTTTCACGCCATACCGTGACGGATCTTGGCCTATTCCTGTGCCCGTGACTTCTTTATAGGTAGTGCTGGGCAGAGTCTCGTCTTCTCTCGCCAACGTCGCAGGAAAAAGTTCCGAATCAAAGGGTGTAGTGTTGAATAATTCGACGTATGTATCAGCTGGGTTTCGCTTGGGCGTCTGATGACTATGTCCACGCGGGCCGCTTATGCGTGTTCCGCATCTTCCCTGTTGGTAATTGAAGTGCTGTGTCGATGGAGCCGGAGAGTATATCTCATTCACGCTCCCAAGACATTGTGTCACCCAGGACTCTGCCGGTGCCACAACGGAACTCCGTTCCGGTTGAGGATCTGGGGTACAACGGAGCTGACACGATGGTTGTTGTCGTTGTTGCTGCTGTGGTTCCTTCCAAAGTTCTCTAGGCAATACATATTCTTCTTCCTCGTTGATGACCATGTGGGCATCGAAAAAGCTTCTCGCCATTGTGTTGAAACTGTAGACCGACGTTTTCTCCTTCGCCTGATGAGGGTGGAGATAGGGATGTTGGCCTTTTGTGGACGCGTTAGCCGAGGCAGTGCCTGTGCGGGAGTCGTACTTTGAAGTAGGTGCGACCGCTCCATTGGGGAGATAGGGTGTGCTCACCAAGGCGGCGTAAGGGTGTATTACCTCTAACTCGACTTCTTCCGGATCATCTACCATGCGTCCTTCAGTGACATCGTCAATAGATCTTCTCTGAGAATTAAGATTCTCTTCCCCTTGGTTGGCGTCTGTCGGACTCGAAACAGGAGACACATCTGAACTTGTGGTTGAAAACTGCTGCGTCGATACCGCCACTCCACGCTTTCTGCCCACTCTCACGATCTTCAATTTGTCTTTTCTCACAGCATGGATTTTGGCTCTGACCTGCCTGAGTTCCGCGGCCTCCTCCTCGTTCCGCGACAGAAGTGAATCAAGATCAATCTCTTGCCCTGTCTTCTTCCAAAGATGCTTTGCTAGATTGTGGATCCACGACTGGGCCCAGATCTGAAGTCTAGGATTCCCGTGCTTCGCGACGAAACGGGTCGTCATACGCGATCTGATGGCGCATCGGAGGTCGAGAAGAACTTCCAGATCACTACTGAGATGGGAAAGTATGCAGCCTTCGCATCGGTCAGTCTGGTATTTCCATTTCAGGCTCTGGACCGACGAGAGAAATGTCATCTCATATTCGGCCGGCGCGAGCCACAAGGCGTGCAGGGTTCTCAGTCTCGTCACACGAGCGTATTGTTCGCTGCTCAACAGCTGACACTGGGAGATGAGGTTGTTCAGGCGAACGCCAACTTCGATTTGTATGTGATGAAGTACAACATCGACCACTGTAGAATCCACGTTCTTGTGTAACTTGCAAAGATGTCCGCAGGGAGGTAAAAGTAAGCGTTCTAATCGACTAGGTCTGAGGAGTGAGGGCAATGACCGGGTCCCTTGGCTAAAGCGTTTTGATTGCTCTCGTGAGTCTTCGTTTGGGAGGAACTGAAGGATTGTGGCTAATGCGGGAACATGTTCGGCAGGAATGTCAGCTAGATGCATCTTGTCGGCTAGTGCCGGAAATGTTTGATAAGAAACGATAGCTTACCTGGAATCTTCTGAGTCCAAGTGTTGAGCTTGTTTCCCAAATCGCAGCGAGAAAGTTTTTCGTCTGGAGTTAGCCTGTGTTCGCAAACACCATGCCCTTGCGAACGATGTCGCGTGCCGAAAAGGGATCAGATGGTAGAGAGGCCATTTTATCCTGTCGCTCTGCTGTGAGATGAGCTGAATGAAAACACCCCAAGAGAAAGGAAAGGCAGTTGTTCCGGATGTGCACCAAGACATCCTCAGTGTCATCAGTAACCCTTTATTCAACAAGGGAACCATCAGCAGAGGAGCCGATGAACAAAGCGGATTCACCATCAAGACAATGAAATAACGTCGAATGCGTGGGAGCAAAGGCGAAGCACGTCCATCAGCTCCCGGGCAGGATTGAGACATGCATCCAACAGCTGTAGTTGAAGTCTTGGAGCAGGAATGAAGACAACGAGAAATGACAGGAACTCGTCGCTGAACTGGAAACTCAGAATGGATATGCAATTTGGTACTCCACAGCCTTTTGGTGCCCGCCCATCTTTTCATACACATTACCGGTGATTTGCCACCGACGAGAATAACAAGGCACATAAGCCCTTTCCTGAACTCCGTGGTGACTTTGCAACCAAACTCAGAATCCTGCTTGGCGCTGGACTTGAACATTTGTGACTGATATGACACCAAGATTTGTGTCACAGCAATTTGGCTATTATACAAGCTCCTCAATGCATTCCCTCTGTGTGCAAAATGGCTGGACTTCTGCCGTGCAGACTTCCTGCCACACGGTCCGATATTGACTTTGCACGAAAGCCACTCTTTCGTCTTGTGCTTCGCCTCAACGCTTGTTTGACTTCCTGTTCCTCCTTTGCTGCTTCTTCAAGGATTCTCATTCCACTGTTTTCTCCGTCATCGAAGACCGACCTCTGACTTGATGCAGCTTGTTGCTTTGCTTGATCCATGTCAATTTGGGGTGAATTGACAACAGATGCTTTCGCCGCGGCGGCGTCAGCGTCCACTTTCTTCTGTGCAACAATTCTATCACGTTCGTAGCGAGCCGAGACATCCCCGCCAGACCAAGATGTGCCAAGGATACGGTCCCAAAAGGTGAAGAATGGCTGAGAGAAATTGGTCTTGATGCCCCAACTCTGATGGTGGATATCGTGATATGCCGCATTGTTTGACGTGATATGCTGAAGCGGATCCCATGGGAATGCATATCCGCAATGGTCATCGACTGTTTTGATTGTTGAACAAGTGAAAAACCAAAGCCCTTGCCGAAGGGTCATTCCGGTGATCAAATACGCAATCCCTGTTCCCAGGGTGTCAAGTATGAAGCCTTCCAACGGATGATTGTACAGGGCTCCAAAGGCGTATGGAACATATAACCGATGATGTCGGGAATGCAGAGTGGTATACAGGAATTTGTTCATGTGCATAGCCCGGTGAAGGAAGTACTGCCAGGTGTCGACGATGAGGATTGCTACGCTGAATTGGATGAGGGGTATGCCAACCCAGTAGATCATCTTTGCGGTAGAGAGTTCCCAAGGGGCGAAAGACTGAGTCGCATAGAATCCTCCAGAGAGGGCCCCCGCAACCTGAGGATAGTGGTGGAGTTTTTCTCCCAGGGATGCGGCGTCCACTCCCATCAAAGCGAGCAATTTGGGCAGATGTCTCTGTGCCCGGCGGAGGCGTCGAGCCCAAACGGCCACGTCGTAGTCTTCTCTTCCGATGGTTTCAATTGGGTCGAAGGAAGCGATGATCAATCCAAATACCGTCTGAATTACTTGTTGTATCACCACATCCCTCACGACTTCGTATTTGGTGACATGATTTCGTTTCAACACTTCGGCGGGAGTGTGCAGTCGGTACTGCGAACACAAATCGTACGTGTCAAGGACGTGGAAAAACAACGAGACAACCCAGTACGCAATTATAGGCGCCAGCAGTTGCAGCAGGCAATCAGGGATGCCGGGAATCATGGGTGGACGAGGTGTGAGAGCATAGGAAGGAAGAGGAGGAAGATCTTGGAATGTGGAATTCGCCATTTGATCGACCACGCGTCAGAAACTGCGAGAGGGACAATGCCAGGAGAGGCTCGAAGAAAATATTGGTCGGAAGGCTCGGATGGGGGGTGGCAAGGAGCGACAGGGAGAGGCAGGCGTCTTTATTGGGAAGTATTTGAACCAGAGAACAAATTATCGGCGAGGAGAAGAAGACAAAGTGAGAAAAGGAGAACAGGGAAATTTTGAATTGGAAATGAATTGAATGAGTAAAGACAGTGAATGTGAGAGGTGGAGAGACTGCGTACAGAGGGAAAGGGAGGTTTTGGTATTTGGTGACGGGATGATGTTCCTGGCGTCTCCGATTGCGCTTTGAGATTGGCTTTACGAGGTACGAGCCACGATCCGAGTTCTCTATCGCGAGACACTTGCGTCCCTCGATCACGAGACCGGTCAAGATCTGTCACGTGATATGCCAGGACATCACCTCTTCGCGAACAGTCGTATCGTATATGACCTACGAACACGGGAGGGTAGGGACGGGGGTTCCTGCTGCTATTGGTCGGAGTGACTGAGCGCCTCGAGAGCGACCAAACAGTGATTAGTTAGCTCCAAGCTATCTGTTGAACCTGACCACGGTCGTTCACAAGGGAAATTGTTCAACTAACTCAAATCTCGAGCTACCCAGATCCTATTCGCCAACCTTGTTGCACGCACGATGGAGCACTCGCACTCTGTTTTTGAGCACGCCGTGTCTTTGGGGGAATGAATTGTCCCTCAGGCCAATGGAATCACTCTCGACGACGACGGGCATGTCGCAAAGCTTTCTGCTTAGGCAGATAAATACCGAAGCGCCACTTTGCCGACCTAGACCTCTTCAAGCACTTCCCTCGCCTCCGCCATGCTATCAGCCTCTTCTCATGACTACTCCGGCCTGACTGTTCCTTCCGAGAATGTACGTTCTCTCCTAGGCTATTTGCCCATCTCCAGACTGAGAACTCTGTTCGAGTCTGACAAATTACAGCCATCTGACCTGTTTCAAATGCCATGATCCGATTTCAGCTCGGAGGCGGAAAGAATACCAAGTCATCGCCATGGAGACGGAATTTGTAGGAGTTGGAAGGCTTCTTCGAAAACGTGGGACCATTTGCAACTGGAGATACACCAGACTTCGCTGTGGCCACCGATGGGTCGGGAAGGTTCGTCCTCCGCATTATCACTCGGAGTGACCTCGAGGAGTTGGTCAAGAGAAGATCCGCTTGAGATCCGCTACACCGAGTTGTTTGACATGAAAGACTACACCATCTGACTGGCCGTAGGACTGAGAGAAGACTGATTGAGTCTATCTAAGAGAGAGAGCAAGAACTGAAATAGGCGAAGGGTGCAAGTTGCAAGTAAGCTGCCTCGTGACAAAGCAAACTGCCTCACGTAGCTATCCAACAAAACTTCCCCCAACAACGTAATAATTGTGGCCCAGAAAAATCAACTAGGGGGCTAGCCCCTGAACTCCCGGGCCTCATTTGCGTTCGAGATTGCCAAGCCCTTTGGCATTACGTGATTGGCCAACACCTCGTGATCCGGAAAATCTATAATCCGACAACTACCTAATCCTTTGCTCTGATTGGCTGACTCCACCGGATCCAATCCATGGCCCACCCAAGAATGGGTATGGAGTAGAATGCCGCCTTTGTCTGCCAGGACCCCTTGATCGGATCCGGTCCATGGATTATATATAGACGATGTTGATCACGGTGTCCTGTGCTGTACGATATCCCCCATCGGATCCAGTCCAGGGACCATATGTAGATGATGTTGATCACGATGTCCTGTGCCTGTACCATATCCCCCGTCGGATCCAGTCCATGCCCCTGAAGTAGACGACGGTATACCAAATGTCGAACAAGATCTCATTGAACGACTGAATAGTAACAAGTGCCCCTTTATTGGAATAGGGGTTATCACCCCTATGCAGGATTTAGGGGTGGAAATAGAAGAAAAGGGATCAAACCAACGTGTATATATACCAGCAATCTGGCAGGACCGGTTGTGAGGTAGATAGAGCATTCAATACATCTCAAGTTGTTCCCCAGTTCGACACCAAATTAGGAAAACCGACAACGGTAACGACGATATATCTAGCAAATACCGGTAGATTGTGCTCAGATATCGGCGATGAGAACAGAGCCGATCTATATAGCTAGCCCAAGTAATAATAACTGTGTTGTTCTAAAAGTACAGTGAAAGTCCCGTTCTCGGGATCCCACTCTCACAAAGCGCTCAAAATCAAACGGCGCCTCAAATAACACCCTGTCGGACGATGAGAGATGAAGGAAGTAGTTCTTGATTGTTACACTGATTGTTACATTGTGTGCTCTCTCTCTGTCTTCTATCAAGTTGAGGTCCCGCCTCGCATGTATATATAGAGAAGATTTGCCACCGCCACTTGGCGTCTCCGTTGGTAAGATCCCTTGTATAGCTGAATGTTTCAACACCACAGCTGTTCGACACACCCCATCTAATGTCTTCACGTGTGACACGGCTACATACGAAAGGCCTAGGCAATGCTCTCTCTGAATCAGGTCTATCACCGCCTTGGAAAGTGTTAATCCCTGACTCTTATGGATGGTGATCGCATATGCGACCCCGAGAGGAAACTGAGTACGAGAACATGCAACCCCCTTGAACTCAAACTGGCGAGTCTGAGGGAAATCAGGTACGATGCCCGGGTTACATTGTGGAAAAACCGGCCCGGTATAGCTATCAAACTTGACGAGTATGAGAGACGGCATGGAAGAGGGATCATGGCCCTGGTTCCATGCATAATGTTTGACTTTATTCCATACACCATTTCGGGCTGTACTCAATATTTCAGGATCCTTTGGGCTCCATTCACCACCTCGAGCTCCGTTCAAAATTTTGCACTGCCTTTATTATTTTAGACTTCCCCTGCCGCTCCGGTTTCCTTTGAGACCCCTATGGCGGATATTCTGAGATTGCTGGAACGTTTGCTCAGAACCTGTTTGATATCCTCCTCACATCCGAGAGCATACTCGCAGAGACCCCACCGGTGAATTTCGTTGATCCATTCAAGCAACGCGATCACGTCTTGGTCAGTCTCACAACTCCCAGTGTCAAGAATTCGTACTGTGCAGCCAGCACAAGTCACCTTCTCCTCTGTTTTGGGTTGAAAGAGCCATACTGTCCAACTATCTTTCTCCATTGTCAATCCATAATGACGAACCAATTTGAATTGTTCCGGAACAGGATGAGGAAAGGCGAGGACCTTCAATCGATATCGATTGAACAAGGAAACCAGGCCATCGACAACTACCTGATTATCTGCAACCTGCCTGTCGCAAGTTGTGGCTTTGAACTCAATCGAGAAATAGGGACAAAATGTACGCAAAGCCTTCATATGGACGATGTGTTTGGCATGTCTCAATCATTGAATAGTTGCCCATCTCCTAAACTCGGTCACCAACCTTGGAGCCCCGGTATGCGGTGAGTGGCAGGTTGCTCGCTGTTCAACAAAAGCTGTGGAGCTTCTGCGCTTCAACAATCCGCAGTGGGTTCATTCAGGACGGAAACGGTCAACTCGGTATAGCTGTTAGATGTGCTCAATCTTGACTGATTGATTCTCCTCATCAGAGCTTACACTCTGCTTGCGGACTCGTTACTTCGACCACGAGCTTCCCAAACTGCTTTCCCTTGGCTAGCTCGTCGAACAACTCCTCCATCTGCTCCAAATCATCCAACCCCGAGACCGTCCGTGACACAACAGGTCGAATCTTATTCACGCGCACGCAGTCCACCATATCTGCAAAATCCTTCCTCGACCCCATCGTCGAGCTCATCACGTGGATCTGTCGGATCACCGCTTTCATGCTGAAAGGCATCGAAGGCCCCAGAGTCATTCCATATGACACAATCACCCCGCCCGGTTTGAGCAGCTTGATTCCCCGATCCACGATATCTCCTCCGGCGCCATCGATGATGGCATCGATCTTGTGTCGTTCAGGGAGAAGAAACTCAGCAAGTTTCTTCTCCCAGTCCGATTGATTATAACTGACTCCGGCCTTCGCCCCCATTTCCATAGCCCTGTGCAATTTCTCTTGACGGCTACTCGTCACATAAACGTTACACCCCGCCGCAAGAGCCAGACTCATCGCCATCAGCGCGACCCCGCCTCCAATCCCCGTCACCAGAATATTCTGCCCTGGCGCAGCATTCTTCGACTGCACCATTAGCGCCCTCCAAGCCGTTAGCCCGACGGACGGCAATGCTGCGGCCTCCACATCGCTCAAATGCTCCGGCGCGGGGAGAACGTCCCGTTCGTCAACGAGCATATACTCCTGCAACGTTCCCGTGCCAGCAGCACTGGCTCCGAGCGTGAGATACCCGCGCTCTGACTCCGGGGCGTGAAGGTCGCTGTCCCATCCGAGTCCGGGGTTGATAATGACACGTCGATCCAGCCAGCGAGGGGAGACGGCCGCACCTGATCTGACGACAATGCCGCATCCGTCGCAGCAGATGGGCACGCCGAACGTGACCCCGGGATAGAGGCTCTGACGTAGGAACACCTCGCGATGATTGAAGGCCGCTGCTAGGATTCGGATGAGGAGTTGGTTCCCTAGCGGAGAAGCCATTGGGAGAAGGACTTTTTCGAGCCTGGTTAGTCAGGGTTAATCTATCGGCCGCTCCAGATTGTGATTATTGCTGGACCAATTACAGGTGGGGTGTACCTACGGGTAGGAGACCTCCCCTTTCTTCCCACTGACATGGCAGAGCACAATTGCTTTGGACTTGAGGACAGGGACGTTTGAGAATACTCCATTTGGAGCAGCGCGCGAAACGTGGACTAGACATGACGCTACAGATCGGGGTGTCTGGGTTACGAACCTACAGCGTCGGTGAAGTACTACAACGAATCCCGAATTTCAACCGAGCGAGGCTATCATCCCTTTTCCGGCTGCCACTTACAATCTACTCCTTGCCGTTTCTCCTGTCCCCAACAACGTCGCTCTCCCACCGCTAATACACACTTTCCCTGTCTCCACCACTTTCATCTGGAACAGCACTACATCCCCGTTTCCATCTTGCTTCCACATCTCCGTCCGCAGCGTCTGTCCCGGATCCACCGTCCCCGCAAACCGCGCCTTTATGTTCTTGAACATCCCATACTGCTGATAGACATGCCTCCCCGCAATTCCGAAGAAACACAGGCCATGCAAGATGGGGCGGGAAAAGCCACCCTGGCGACTGATGACAGGGTCGATGTGCATGGCGTTGCGGTCGCCATTGAGCCGGTACAGCGCGGCTTGTTCGTTTGTGGTTTGTTCTGTGCGCACGCGTCCGGGCTGCGAGACGGGGTCCTCGAAGCTGGAGACGAAGAGGCCGACACGGGTACGGATTTTGACTGTCCACCAAATCTGCCTGCACCACGGACGTACGCTGATGCCTCGTTGTAAAAGATGTCTTCCCCCGTGATCGCGTCTCGTGCGGTATACCCCACGACGATGACCGCTGCTTTCTTCTTATCGATTACTTCAACGAGCCGCGGGTACGTGACTAACTTCCCCCTCGTCGGGATCGGATATTTTCGAATCTCAAGGTAATGCTCGCCGTGGAGGAGTTTGGTTGGGTCGTATTTGGGGAGAAGTTCTTCGTCGCTGAATGGGAGGGTCGTGTTGAAGTAGGGGATGGCCCCGAACGTAGGGAGCGCTCGGAAGGAAGAGTTGTTCTCGTAGACGAGGGGCAAATCCGTCCAGCGAGCGCCGAGGGTGAGGTCTACAATAGCATTAGAGGTTGGGGGAATGGTTTTGGATCAGGGTGGGTTTTCTCACTGTATAGGAGGATTTCTCTCTCAGTATATTCGAATGTTGTTCCCTGGATGCGACGTGATTTTGCGTCTTCGATTCTTGCCAGCACGGAAGACGGAGGTAGGAGTCTGGCCACTTCTTTCAGGCCATGCTTGGACTCTTCTGGGTATGAGATAATTCCCCGATGGCTGGCTTCAAGTCGAGTTCTGGCATGCCAACCAGCTGCAAGTTCGTATAGGGCTCCAGTGGAAGGATAAGGAACGACGTCAGAGCATAGTAATGCCACGAAAGGGGCACAATACTCTGGGAGGAAATCTGCGCTGCTTCCTTGCACCGCGACAGCCAGCGCCGGCGTACTTCCAACGGGTGCTATGGTGTTGACCAGGATGTTGTGTTGCGCACCCTCACGAGCGAGAGCTTCTGAGAAGCCAATGAGCGCACATTTCTAGGGCAACGGTTAGCCTCGTTCGCATATCGCCCAAAGCCGATGTCAGGAAGACCGACGGCGGTAGAGTAGTTCGCCTGACCAAGGTTTCAATAGATCCCACTCGTGCTCGAAACATTCACGATCCGACCGTAGCCTTGCTTGACGAGGTGTGGCCATGCCGCCCTGGTCACTCTGAACGTGCCCTTGAGGTGGACAGCCGTGATGGAATCCCAGAGATCATCAGTCATGTTTCCGATCGATTTGTCGCGTACAAAGTCGGCGTTATTGACCACAATGTCCACCCGGCCATAGGCGTTGATGGTTTCTGCGACGATATTTTCGCCTTCCTCAACTGAGCAGGTTACCGTGTGGGCGTCTCCATTGCTCTGTCGGATTTCGTTTGCCACACTGGTTGGTGCTTTGAGGTCGTTCAATACGACATGAGCCCCGAGGCTGGCAAAATACTTCGCGTACGCTCGACCAAGTCTAGGAGTGCAAATTCGTCAGATTGGGATCAGAAAAAGGATTTGCAGGAGTGATGAACGTACCCTGAACCTGCTCCTATCACTAACGCAACTTTGCCATCTAATCGAACGTCATCTTCCGACGAGCTGGGTGGCAGTTTCTTCGCTTGAGCCAGCAGAGTCTGGAGATCGGCCGTCCTTGACGGATAGTCAGGCTCCGAGAAGTCATTGATTTGCTCCCATTTCTTCAAGATCGCACCGGGAGTCATGGATGAATCTGGGCGAACTAAGGCACCAGACGACCGTCGCCAGCGAAGTTTGCTGCATCGGCCGTTTTCCACCTCGTACAGATGACCAGATTCTTTCGTGTTAGATGGGCGAATCAACGTCGCGACAATTTTTGCCGTTCTTTCCGATTCAGATTCCCGGGTACCTTGGATCAAACAAACTGACGCAGATGGGGCCAGGACGGATGCAAGAATGTTGTATTTTGCGCCCTCTTTAGCCAGCGTCTGGATGAAACCGAGTTGACCATACGTTGCCGCTGTCAAATGTCAGGAACTTCCTCTTATAGCCAGGCAAAAGCACGACTGACCCGATTGGAGCGGTGAACATTTCGGTTGTCCTTGTCTCACAATCGAAGCTGTACATAGAATTCTCCCATAGTGCTGCTTTTTGAAATAGGCCCAGACAGCACGTACGTTCTGAGGACCATGAACCTTCAGTATACCGCCGTGATGTACATTCCCCAATTATCAGAGCATACTTTGTACGAGCCTTTGAAAGTTGAGTTGAGCAGAGAATCCCACACATCTTGATCCGTAGCCGCCCAGTCTGCATTCAAACCATCACTGGCATTGTTAATCAATGCATCGATTCGTCCGAACGCCGATATGGCGGCCGCGACTATGGTATCCCCATCGTTCAGCGGGGAGAAGTTGGCTATCGCATTTCCTCCTGCAGCTCGGATTGTCGTGACCAGGTGATTGGCAAAACTCTGAAATTTGTTAACCTCTCATCGTCTCTTTCATGCTTTCTAGAATAGAGACTTACTTGATTGTTGTCGCCATGCACAACAATATTGGCACCCCTGTTGGCCAAACAGGTGGCGTAATCCTGGCCGAACCCGTGGCTAGTGCCTGTGATAACAATCGTCTGACCGTCAAACTGAACTGACATGATTGATATGATTTGGGGTGAATCCAATGATGGACATCTTCTGATAATCCCTGGGCAACTTCAGAGAGTTTGATGTTTTTCAACATTTTTCCCTTCCCGTTCAAGATCTACGGAAAATCCTCCAGAGACGGGGGGGTACTGTGTGTGCCGGGGAAGCTTCGATAGCATGGCATGCCGTCTAGCGGACCGTCTAGCGGACCTCCTAGCTAAGTGTGGAAATTGCCGAGCCTCGTTCCACGGCAAACTTGATGAGCCTATTGGACAGGTTCCCAAGGCTCCCTTCGAGGATATTCGTTTCGGCACCCTAGGCAGAGCTCGCCGAGCAAAGTGACCGTCGGCCGAAGCGATGAAAAGAACGCGAAATTGGCTCTTCAATCGATCTCATCGGAAGCTTCTTGTCATCCATCACTAAATTGGCGGGGGTCTGTAGTCCATCCGGGAGCGACATGAGAGATTGTCACTATGCTGGTCAGGCTACCGATGAGAATCTTAGGGGGATTCTAGGCAAACATGACGCTACACTTTTTTCACAAAGGACGAACAGAGGTGCTGTATCGCCCATGATCATTTAGCCACTCCTTTGGAAAGCATATCTTCTATCTGCGTGCCAGCATGCCGGACCACGAGTGCTCGTGATTTCTTTTTGTGTATCACAATTTAGCCATTTGATCAAAGTTGAAGTGGCTTGCCACATCTGCTGACTCTTTGGCGGCCCTTTCCCGTAGTTGTCGGCGCAGAATCTTGCCGGACTGATGTTGGTCAGTACGGTGTAGCAGGTGACGAATATAAAGGGAACTGATTTCGAGAGAAGGGAACTGACCGGGTTCTTCGGGATGCCTGTGGTAAAAACAACAGCACAGAGGCGCTTTATCTTTGCCGTTCTCTCAGACATGAAGCTGAAAATGTCTTCCGCCATGATATTGCTTCCTGCTTTTCGTACGACATATGCGAGCGGTCTTTCGTCTTCTCCTCTGCACCAGCTCTGAGTCAGGTCATTCAAAAGTCGAGGGACTTCAAACTCACACTTTTACTCCGACTACAGCGGCATCCTGTATATCTGGATGACCCAAAAGGAGAGCTTCCAGCTCCGCTGGAGCCACCTGGTTTCCCTTTACCTTGATCAATTCCTGCTCGACGGGTCAGAAGAATTCCCATGCTCAGCCCAAGAGGCGTGGTTACCTTTTTCCTGTCAACGATGGAATACTTCCCATTTTCATCTCGGAATGCAATATCTCCCGTCTTCAACCAACCGTCTGCCGTCATGGTATCCCTCGTTGCTTCAGGGTTCCTCCAATAGCCCTTCATCACATTAGGGCAAGGCGCCCATAGCTCTCCTCTCTGTCCCGCTGGGACCTCATTGATTCCATCCTCGTCCATGAGTTTCACTTGACAATTTGGAACGGGCTCACCCACGGCCTGAGTGGTTGACGTCTCCCGCTCGTCCCAACTAAGAATTGTTGTCGGTAGCCTGTCACACAACGTTAGCTTATGAGCACTCCATGGTGGGGTGGATTGCGAACTCTGTCATGCCCCAACCTTGCTTTACATTCATCCTTCCCTCTGGCCACAATTGGAGGTACCAACGTTAGCTCCGTGATGCGAAACCGTTGGATATTATTCAGCATCGCGGGCAGGCTATACTGTTTCATAATGTAAACGGGGAGCCGTCGGTAAGGTGCCACTGTGGCGAAAAAGAGAAGTCCTAGTCCGTGATACATTGGTAAGACGCATAGGAGCCGTTATCTGTTTGCGTTGTTCTCGTTCCGCGCAAAACGCGGAGTTAGATTGAAGAGATAGTCAAGTTGACAACAATTGGCGACAAGACCGTAGTGGGTGATTTCGACGCCTTTCGGCACTCCAGTAGTCCCCGAGGGATACAATATTGCCACTGTTTGTCGAACACAGTCGGCAGTGTTGCCCTCAATGCCTTTCCGCTCCTGCGGTCGGCAATCAAATCTTTCCAATGGGATACTCCGCCTACACTCCGGCCGTGACCTTGTAATGGTGCATCATCGAAAATGAACATGCTCCCCCGGTTGTAATCGATGAGCTTCGCCGCTTGCAAAGCGGTCTCCAGACTTGCTTCTGCGAGCAGTAGAAAGCGCGCACCGGAGTCCTGGAGCTGATTTGCCAGTTCACGGGCCACGAAGCCGGGATTGGCAGTCGTAATAATTCCTCCAGCCATGATGCCAGACTAACTCGGCACATTGAGCAAGACCCGTCGCACCCAGCGGATGACCTTTTGAGATGAGTCCTCCCGAGGGGTTCACCACCGTACGGCCACCGTACGTATTGTGGCCCTGACGGATATATTCGTGGGCCTTCCCCGGCTCGCTGATCCCGAGTGCATCGATGAATACCATCTCAGCGGCAGAGAAGCAATCATGAAGCTCGCACACTTTGATGTCCTGCATGGAAGGAATGCCTGCTTCAGCCAACGCTGCTTTGGTTATCGTTCGAGTGATCCCGGCTCCGACGAGGTTGGCAGCAGTTCCATTGAAAGTGGTGATCGGATCCGTGCCCATGGACTGCCCTGCAATGAGAATAGCCTGCGACTTCAACTCAGGCCTCGCATCCAAGAAAGCTTGGGATACCACCACCGCAGCAGCTCCTCCATCGCTCGTGGGACAGCACTGCAGCTTCGTCAGAGGGCTTTCGATAACCGGTGATTTCAGGATCTCTTCGAGGGTATAAACATCTCGAAACTGAGAATATGGATTGCGCTGAGAATGTTCATGGTTAATGCGCGCAATTTCTGCGAAATCTCGTGGCTTGGCGCCGTGTCTAATGTTTTCAGTCGGTCCTTTTGTTGTCCTTTTGTTCGGCTAGGGGGTCATGCTTGTCCATATATTCTTGCGCGGCATTTGAAAACAGTTGAGCAGGCACAGGAGCTTTGGTCAGAGGCCTGATTTGCTCCGACATAGCCACGCTCCTCCCGATCGGATCTGCTCTGTCTTTCCAAAACCTTTCGAGACTCCCCGGGTTCATTTTCTCAAATCCCACAACAAACACACAGTCGGCGGCTCCATAGCCGACGGCATTTCGAGCCATGACCAGGCCGGTCGATGCCGTTGCACAGTTATTATTCGTGTTGTAGATGGGTATTCCCGTCATTCCAAATTGGTAGAAAACTCTCTGTCCGCAGGTACTGTCCCCGTAGCAGTAACATGCGATTCCCTGGTTGACGTCGTCATAGGTGATATGAGCGTCGAGCATGGCTTTGATACCCGCCTCGTATCCAAGTTCTGTGTAGTCGACTTTGCCCCGTGGTTTTACGAACTTGGTCAGGCCGACTCTCAGCACGTAGGCAGGAGCGATTTGTCTCGCCGGCATGGTGGCGGAGATTTTAGAAAGTGTCAACTGCCCTCGCTTTCACGCAACTAATTTCTACCGTCTCATTCTTTTTGAGCAGTTATCACGTCTACTACGGCTCCGCGGAGAGGGCAAAAATACCGCGTCATGAGAACGGTAGGCTCAGTTTATTCCGTTTGCTTCAAGATCGCCAATCTAGACTCTGAAATAAAAGGCAGACTTTCCCGCAGCCAATCAGGATACACAGCGTCTTCCGTTATCCGCTAGCCGAACCGTGAACCATCAGCCATTAGCCGACAGCCTTGCCAAGAAAGGAGTCTGCAAGGCTGCAAGGCTGACCCCCTTCTTCTGTCTCTACCAAGAACTCACCCCTGTTCCGTTCCTTAACTAGGGCATTTTTCTAACACTATCGTGGCCGCAAAACGAGGGTCACCCGACGTGGAACTGATATGGTAGCCGTATAATCGAATTTCACCACGTGTCGCTTCCGAATCGTCCACGTCCAGCTGAACAGAGGCCCACCGTTGAGGAATTCTTTGGTGCGCTTTCCAAAATGTTGCTCTAATTGTGATATTGGTCATAATTTATGTCGCTTCTCTCCCGATCTAATCTTCCCCATCTCTTTCTCTACCGCACCCGATGTCAAGCGCTCCCACCCGGCAAACACTTCTGCAACATTCTGTAAAGCTAGTACATCTCTCTGCGGTTTCTGTCGCAAAGCTTTGATTTGAAGGAGGCATTCGTGATTCAAATGATCCCCAAATCTTTCGCCAAGCTCGTTCATAACCAAGTGTAGGAACTTCGGATCGTCTCCCTCTTCGATGTTAATGATTTTGGTAGCGAACCCACATCCTACCAATTCCGCAGCAGAAATCTTCCGGCCCATGAGCATGGCTTCGTTGGCGAGGGGGATACCCAGTCTCTGTACGAGAGTTTGCGAAGTGCCCACTTCTGCGACAAGCCCGAGTGACGCGAACGGCGTGAGGATGAACGTGTGAGGAGCAGCGTAAATGAAATCGGCGAATGCAGCAACGGCAGCTGATCCTCCAATTGCTGGGCCATTGAGAGCCGCCACAAGGATCTTGGAATGCGTCGAAAAGGCGTGCGTAAGATAGAAGTTGGTCGCGACAAAATTTTGCAGCCAACGTCGGCGAGTATCAGGATCAGTTTGTGGTTGTGGGTTCGAGATGTCTGCACCCCTTCAAGATTAATGGTGTCAGCAAACATGTTGCATTCACGGTCACCACGGGTAAAGCACTCACGCGGAAAAGTAACGTCCCTTGCCTGTCAACACCGTCACCAGAATGCTATCGAGACAATCAATTTCCTGCATAATGCTCGCAAGTCGATACCATTGTCGCGAGGTCAAGGCATTGAGTTTTCGGGGACTATTCAGCGTGATGATCGCAAAGCTGCCTCGAGTACTGTAGGAAACTGCCAAGTCTGAACCGTCCATCTTGGTTTGGTTACCATCTCTTGGACTCTGGGGATCTAATAACGCTATACTGGTCAGGAATGGAGGTGGCTATCATTAGGAGACATCCCAATTGATCCCACGATGCCGAGGGCCGCGGGGCAGGGTATCGAGACAGACGCCGCTTGCCCTGCTTGCCACCCCAGATTGTACGCGCCTCTTAAATGCCTTTCGTTTGGTCAAAGTCCAGGCTCTCTTGCTCAAATCGCTCCCCGTTTTTGCTCCAGATTCATCTCGCTGTTGTTGAATCTGAAGCGCCTGCCAATCCGCTAGTCTCTTCACTATGGGACCCACTCGCTCAGAGTCCCTCAGCTCCAATTGGAGGGATGGCATATTTGGTGGGTTCTTTCGGCACGCTTCTCTGTCTGTTCTTTGGCCTTTCTAACGTTGACTGTCAATGAAAGACGGCAAAATAGTTTTCTGTACTGGAGGTGCTGGAGACATTTGCAGTGCACGGGTGAGGGCATTGGGGTATCTCGGCGCAGACGCATGCATTGTTGGCCGCAACGTCGCGAAGACCGAACGGACGGCAAGAATCCTGGCGGAAGCAAGACAAGGGGCACGAGTCATTGGCTTGGGAGCAGTTGATGTTCGAAACTACGAAAGTCTTCAGAATGCAGTGGAGAGATGCGTAAAGGAGTTGGGAGGAATCGACTTTGTCATGTGAGCCTCTTTCAGCCCCGTGGTATCAACTTTCAAGTGGCTCGCTGATTCTTTGATAGAGCTGGAGCTGCTGGCAACTTTCTGGCGCCCATTACCCAACTGTCTCCAAACGCTTTCAGATCAGTCATCGACATTGATCTCATTGGTTCTTTCCATACTCTCAAAGCAACACTCCCGTATCTAGAGAAGTCAGCCGCGAAGCATCGCTCGGACGGCGTAGCAAGCAAGCCAAGTCTCTCATCCCCAGACGTCGATAGCCACTAACGCTCCGAGGTAGCTCCATCATCGGGAACCGGTGGAAGAATCATTTTCGTCAGCTCGACTCTTCAGTATCGGGGGACAGCGCTACAGATACACGGTTGTGCAGCGAAGGCAGGAGTTGACGCTCTGTCTTCATGTCTCGCTATCGAATTTGAACCTCGTGGTTTAACATCAAACATCATTGCTCCTGGACCGATTGCGGAAACAGAAGGATTGAAGAGGATGGCCCGAGTAGAGGGTTATCACGGTGTGGCGGCAGGCGTCCCTGTTGGGAGATGTGGAACTGTGAAGGAGATCGCGGACGCGACAATATATCTATTTTCGGACACAGGAAGTTATGTCAATGGAGCAACCCTCGTCGGTAAGTTGTCTTTCCTCCTCAACAGCCCGGTCAGTGTCTACGAATGCTAATCTGCATTACGAAGTTGATGGAGGTGCGTGGAGAACTCAAGGTGCAAGTACCAGTCCGGTCTTCCCGTATCCAGAGTTCTTCTTGTCCAGAAGCATCGATGAGAAAGCCCAGTATGCCAAGTTGTAGAAGGCAAGAACGATCGGTATCTAAGTCGGTCCGTGTTAGTATGTGGTTTGGAGGGCCATTTTCATCTCATCGACTCTACTGGCCAGGTTCTTCTGATTGGAAGGTGTGGCTTGATTCGGTCGTCGATAGACATGATGGTAGATCCGCTAGGAGATAGACGTCCAATGACGACTCTTTTGCCGGGCGATATTGCTGGTGCCGCCGGCTGCATCTGTATCTATTAGTGACCGTTCGTTCCGTCAGCCTTGGTTCGTCTAGTCGACCAAACGACATGCCAGATCTGTCATCCTTCTACCTCCGTACTATGAGTTGTATCATGGTGTCAAACTCCTGGTACCACTTGAATTGAACGAGTGGGCTCTGTCTGTTTGCAACTGGTCTTGCCAGATTGCCAGTTAATATACACCTTTAGTTGGCCCCTTCCTACTCCTATTCCCAATCCCCTATTCCTTACCCATTTCCCATAACGGGGTACTGGCTACTGGCCTTCTGGGATTCGGCTCAACTTACAGTGAAGAGGAGGCCAAAGACAGTCTGGATCGAGTACTCCCAACCTGACAAGCACGAAATCTGACAACCCCCGTGGTCGGTTGGCGGGATCATTGTTTCCCCCAACCGCGGATCAAGGTTGAATTTGCTTGGCCGCTCTCAGTGGTTGCACGTCGACGAAAACGGCCCAAAAGCTGGAGATCCGAGTCTGGGGCCCCAGGCCAAGTACCGATAAACTTGATCCACCCCGGTATAAATCCTTCAGACCTTCATCAATAGCGATCCAATATCCCTTCAAGCTATTGAACAGTTGATACAACGCGAAAACCTTGGCTGCTGAAATGGCTTCCAAAGAAGAAGCATCCGCCCACATTGAGAAGGCTTTGGTTCAGTCTGTTCCCACCTCAATGTTCAACGATGACGAACAAACACCAAATACCACTCTACAAGATTGGACTCCAGAGGAAGAGAAGGCGCTGGTGTAAGTGGTCTCAAATTTTCCGATTCTCATGTCATGACAGCCGAAAGATCGACCTTCGCGTCTTTCCCATGCTATGCATCGTCTTTAGCTTTTCCCTTCCTGGACAGATCCAACATTTCTGCGGCTTATATTGCCGGCATGGATGTGGACATAGGATTGGCTATCGGGTTTGTGTCCCACGTTCTCATACCGCTGAATCGATGTTGACTTTGGCACCGTTTCTGAGCAAGATATTCTATCTCTTTACTTGTTTTCTTCATTGGTATATTTGGTACCCCCATCAAGCGGTGAACAAATGCTGACATACTCGCAGGATATGCGCTCTTTGAGCTGCCCTCTAACCTTGTCATCCGCCGTGTGGGTGCGAGAATATGGCTCCCATTTCTGGTCGTTATTTGGGGAGCCGCTGTCCTTGGTATGGGATTTGTCCACCACTGGTATGCCCTCGCCATTTTGAGGGCTATCCTCGGAGTCTTTGAAGCCGGCTGTGAGTACCGTTTTCGTTTCACTCCTGGATGTAGCTGACATGATTGTAGTCTTTCCGGGTGCGGTGTATATCATTGCCTCATGGTATCGACAGTTTGAAACAGCAAAGAGGATCTCCTTCTACATGTCGGCTCTCCTTACCTCGGGATTCGGCCCCATTGTAGGCTTCCCCGAGTCCACGAAAGGCTTCTACTGATGCTGGAAGGCCGCCTACGCACTATCATTGATTCGCATGGGTGATGGAACTTACAGACAAGGCTGGCGATGGAGTATGTGTCTAGGACTGATTGTTGTCATTGGACTGCACAAATGACGTCTCGAAGCGTACTAATTGGCCACCAATAGTATTCATAATCGAAGGTGCTGTTACCATGGCGGCTGGTCTTGTCGCCCCTTTCTTCTTGGTTGAATGTAAGTCTTCTTGGGTCGTCGGACGGTCCGCGAACATTAGCCCCCGAGACAAGGTAAACTGATCAAATGCTTCAGTTCCAGAAAGGGTCACATTCCTGTCGGAGCGACAAAAGCACATCGCCATGGCTCGCTTACAATTGAATCAAGCAACTCAAAAACTGAAACATCCGTCTCTGAAAGAGTCTCTCCAAATGCTCATGGATTGGAAAATACTGGTTACCCTAGCTCCTTCCAATATTTCGTCGCCGCAGACAGCGTCTATGCGCTGGCGTACTTCCAACCTATCATCCTCCGCTCAGGAATGGGATTTAGCTACGCTTTGTCTCAGATTCTCTCCAGCCCACCCTATGTTTTCGCTATCATCATGAGCCTGACCACGGTGTGGGTGTCCGACAAAATTCAGATGAGATGGCCCATTATCTGTGGTCAGTGTATCGTCGCCATCGTTGGGCTTTTGATTGTCCTCTATGCCACGCCTCCAGGGGTTCGTTACTTTGGACTTTTCCTCGCCGTTTTTGGGTCCCAGGCGAATGGGCCGGCATTTCTGGCGTACGGACAGAACCAGACTGCCATGCTGGATAAAAGAGGCGTGGTTGCTGCGGCGATGATTAGCGTCGGCGCGGCAGGAGGAGTCTGCGGTAGTACAATTTTCCGCTCTCAGGATGCACCGGTATGTATTTCTGTTGACCGCTTTGATGATCTTAATGGAATACAGCCGCCCTTTTGATGGTCCTCGGCTGACTTCTCGTCTCAGAGATACCTCCCTGGTATGTGGACCACGATTGCTTTACAAATGGCAACATGCGTGTTGTCATTCTGCACATCGATGTACCTGAAAAGGCAAAATAGGTTGGCAGATGAAGGGAAAAGACCTGCTTTGGAAGGTGTTGAGGGTTTCAGATATGCGCCGTAAAGTGGACCGGTCGGGAAGCTGGGCACCAAAAATTCAAATGTAAATGGAGAAAGGACTAGCAATGATAGTAAGTGAAGGTAGAGAGAAATCCGTCCAAGCAGGTTATATCTGAAGACGAATGATATCTCTGGAGCTGAACTGATGAGAGCACCTTCGCTCAAGTGGACGTGTTTTGGGATCATCCTCACCATACACAGCTTCCGAGTCAGCATTCCGAGTCCAGCTGTGCCATTAATAGAGGGTCTCTCTCTTTCCATGGTCATCGCAATTTGTAGCTCGACACCTATGAAATATCAACCCCTTTTATTGTGATCCATAGACACCCTCCACGGCCACCCTCGCTCCAAATTCCATTCGGCCACCTGATCGTTATCATCATCGTTGTCAGCGGCGTCGTTCCCGTTCGCCATGTCTCCATCAATATCTACGTGTTCGTCGTCTCGTTCGTCATTAGGGTACGTCGGCATAAGGGTTCCGGTGACACAAATTGGGGTCTTGTCAAGATACTGGCGACCCAGTCATAGAATGTCCGGTTTCGATTGCGTTTGGTGATGTCTTCCGCAACCACCAGCAGCGGTTCGACGATGCATTCGTTGAGCTGGTCGCACACCGTCACAATGTTGGGATTCCGCTGCAACTGTCGCCAAAATGCAAAAGTGAACTCCAAGTTTCAGTAGTCTGAACCAGGAAATAACCCCAAGCAGAAGAACGGCAGGACGAGCGGCTGCCTGATCCGAGCACCAATACACCATACTTACCGCGTGGGACCATCCGAGTATCTCAGAGTGTACGAAGCCGTTTACCAATCTTCATTCCCAAATACCACTGCTGGCGCTTCCACCACACGAGAACAAAAGTCAAACCCTCTACTCACTTAGATGTGCCAACCGCTAATTGAAAGCCATAGAAATTAGTGATCTGACCTATCGGTATATTTGATCCCGTGGATTGTTATACTAGCCATGAGGATATGGGTTGTGCCTCTTGGTATCCCCACAGGTAACGTGATAGCCATACCATTTCAGCGAGAGTACACGTGATGTGACGGTTTTGGTGCCTCCCCTCCCGCAATGCGCGGGCAGCGGGCCCAGAACCACAATTTTCTTTCAAGGCATTCCAGCCTGCGCTCGTTCTTCCACTACGCCCCAACCCTTTCCTCCAGATCACCTATTGTCTGCTGCATTCTGTTCATTCGGGAGCCATTCGAGTGACCTTCTCACAAAATGATTATCTACAAAGTATGAACCAGAACTCCGCATGGCCCCCGCCTTGAATGGACAAAATTTAACATAATTTTATTTTTAAACAACAGGACATCATCAGTGGCGACGAGATTGCCTCGGATACCTCCAAGATCATCGACGCAGGCAATGGTTTGTGGGAAATTGACGGCAAAATGATCAAGAAGGGCGCCGAAAACTTTGGTTTGTCTGCAAGTCCTGCAGGTTGGGAGCCAACACTAAACCTGCATATTTAGTTCTCGAGGGTGCCAATCCATCTGCTGAAGGCGAAGATGCTGAAGAGGGCGGTGGTGATGGCGGCGACAACCAGCCAGTACTTGACCTGGCCGATCAGTTCAGACTGCAAAAGATGGAGGGTGGTATGTCCAAGAAAGCATACCAAGGTGAACTCAAGAGTACGTCGGAGGCGGTGGATAACTTTGTCACAAACCCAGCTGACTCGGCCTTAGAATACATGAAGGCTCTTACGGAGAAGTTGAAGGAGAAAGGCACCAGCGAGGAGGATATCAAGAAGTTCCAGTCCGAAGCACCAGCGGCAGCCAAGAAGATCCTGGCCAACTGGGAAAACTACGATATCTACCAGGGTGAATCGATGGATGAGAATGGCATGTATGTGCTGGTCGACTTCCGCGAGGATGGTATGACTCCTTATGCCACCGTTTGGAAGTGGGGATTGGAAGAATACAAGGTGTAAGCAGCATCTTAACTTGGATTGGATGGGTGCGACACCGAGGCCACCATCGACATGACCTGAATGATCACCGCAGATGCACAGCGATAGCATGATATCGATCTCGACCAAGCAAAACAAGAAGGATAGAACCCAACCCACAACTTGTAATTTTGTCCCGGCCGTGGCCAGCTTCATAGTAGCGGATCGGCCTGAATGGCATGCTACTTGTCCAGTTGGTTAGATACAAAAGAAACAAATCATCCTTGTGCCTGCTGCTCTCTGTAATCTTCCAGAGGAGGAAGTAGAGCCTGTACTATCGCATGCGAGAATTTGATAGGATTGCACGACCCTGTAATAGTCCAATCCTGGAAGGGATTCAGGATGCCCATGAAAAGAGGGGCTCTCGTTCGAGAGCGAGAGTTGACCAGGTTGTCCCACATCGCGGCCGACATCACCAATTGGCGGACTCTTGATGGCTCGTATTACCGCCAACATGACAAGAAAGGCCCCGCGAGCATCGTTGAACAGAGCCTGGTTGCAACTGCAAGGGATGCTTGAGTTGGTGATCGGGAAGATTACATGTTATTGGCGTGCTTCGAGCGGAGGCGCAGGCGCGCAGGCATCACTGATTTTTTGCTTCTCCATCCAGCCAAAGGTCCCTCAGAGTTTTTTTAACGGCCGGCCGAAAATCGACATGATTCTCCCTCCTCACTCTGATAAATGTGTCCATGCTTTGATCGGCTTTGACATTTTGATCTCGTGCCCCATTTCCACATTGCCTCCAACCTCTTGCACATTGCCAACAGAATCACCGTCATCGACCTCTCGTGGCCTATGGGTCTCATGCCCATGCTACGATAGTATTGTTGCTTTGTATCCGGCATGGCTCCCTCTTTTCGCGATATATTGGTTTTCTCGACACTCATTGCCTCCACCGTCTCTATTCCCACGACCGAGTCCCCTTCCTACCCATCACTCTATCCAAAAGCCACCTATCCCCGTAAAGACAGGGCTGCAGGCCCTTTCCGCCGTCTTCGAGACGCCATCATTGAGACGATATGGTCGGTCCCCAGCAGATCTGTGCATAACGCTGCGTCGTATTCGAGTCCGACCCGAGCCCCCGAGAATTTTCGTGCACGATATGGAGGAGATGTTGTCCTCCGCTTTCAAGTCAGGACCGAAGAGGAAGCGAAGGCTTTGTCCGAGGCGGCGGACATCTTGTACTTGGATATCTGGGAAGCGACCAAGGAGTGGGTTGATATCAGGATAGCAAAAGACGTGGTCCCTTCATTCATTGGCCTTCTTCCTCCCTCTCTCCACGACTCATATACCCCATTAATGCACGATCTCGCCCGAGCGGTCTACGATACCTATCCGAATTCGGCATTGACCGAAGAGAGTCCGCTGATCTCGAGTCTCACATCACCGCATGAAGGGCGGACAAATACAGGTGTCCCTCAAGACCTCTTCTTTCAAGATTACCAACCTCTTTCGGTTTTGTATCCTTGGCTACGGCTGATGGCCTCTCTCTTCCCTACCCATGCGTCACTGACCACCATCGGGCAGTCTGCAGAAGGTCGGGATATTCCTGCGTTCCGCATAGGCACCCAGTCAGACTACGCTCAGGGTGACTCTCATGATTCCCGGCATACGCTGTTGATCGTCGGCGGCTCCCATGCACGGGAGTGGATCTCGGTATCTACAACGGCTTTCATTGCGTACAGTCTCGTGACTCGATATGGCCATCCCAAATTCCCCTCCGTGACGAAAATGTTGGATCATTTTGACTTGGTCTTCATCCCTGTACTTAATCCCGATGGCTATGAATATACCTGGACGACCGACAGACTGTGGCGCAAAAACCGACAAGCGACATCTCTTCCATTTTGCCCGGGGATCGACCTGGACCATTCATTTCGGTTCAGATGGGACGGTCACGGCAACATGGACAATGCCTGCAGTGATGACTATGCTGGACCCGGTCCGCTGGCGGCCATTGAATCCCAGGCCTTGACTGAATGGGCGCGCAATGAAACAAACAATAACAATGTGACATTTGTGTCATTCCTGGACTTCCACTCCTACTCGCAGGAAGTGCTCTATCCTTACAGTTATACTTGCGATATCGACCCACCGAATCTGGAAGACTTGGAAGAAGTGGCCCTTGGAATTGCCAAATCATTCCGACTCACCCATGGATATTATTATGGGGTGGAAAGTGCTTGTGAAGGAAGTATCACTTTTCGAGACAGAACCAAGAAGACCAGAGTCCAGACAGAGTCGCAGGGAGGCTCGGCCTTGGACTTTTTCTACCATGATCTTGATGTGAAACTTGCGTATCAGATCAAGCTCCGAGATACCGGAACTTATGGCTTCTTATTACCGAAGTCCAACATCTTGCCTACCGGCGAGGAAGCTTACGAAGCTGTTGTGGGATTGGGACGGTGGATGCTGGGAAATCATGGTATTGAAAATATTGATGATCCCCATTCCGTGTGGGGAGAGGAGATGGAGACCTCGGAGGGAGAAACGATATCAACGGCAAATCAGGATGAAGAAGATGAAGACCTTGATGAAGCGGAGTTCGAACTCCGGAGGCGGAGAAGGTCTTGACTGGTGACTTAATTTGATTAGTGGAGGCAAAATTGTGTGCACTTTAAGCAATGATTTTCGGGACCACGGCTATACACCAATGGAACGTTTAACGACATAGATGGCATGGGTGTGTAAAACGGGGTGGCATTCTCTTCATGTCATGCAGCGAATTTGTACGCGTATATGAAGCACGATTGCATACCTTTTGAAGCAATTAGCTACCTAGGTATCTAACCCTGATTCCCGAACCGTACTATGTATGGTATTGACAAAGTCCCTGTGACGGTGACAGGATGTTCAAGGACTCAGCCTCGTTTGTGGCTCAAGCACATTTCGCAAGGTAGTCCTCAGATTTACGAAGAACGGCGTACCCAAGCCTGCTTCCGCAATCCCACGACTCGCTCGCCACCATCGACGTAAAATGCTGAGATGGTCAATATCTAGGACAGAACGTTGGTCAACAGAACGAGATTACCGAGCGATTCTCCGGACTGCTGAACCCGGCACGATCGCGCTGGCGGTGAAAAACGATGGAGAATCAGCTCGTCGAACGACTTGCCACCGGCGATGACAAGAGGTCTTTTAAGTTCCTGCCTGGTTGGGAGGATATCAACCGAATGCTGATGGCTCCATCACACCGAAAGATTCACTTCGGTTCAATCATGCTATTTTATTATCCAGTGCATGCCGGTCAACGTCTGGAATGATCGCGGAGAAAGAGGCAGTCTAGCTGATCGCCCGCTCCTGTCTCAAACGACCGGAGGAAGCACGACTCGACAAACATGAGAAAGACCATGGTTCAGAAGAAGACTCCGACATCGCCGAAGAGAATGTCGTCGACGAGTTCTGGTGGGATAATCAACTGCTGCGTTTGAGGAGCATGAATCGGTCATCATCGAGTCTGCTGGCATCGGCTACGTTGGAAACAAATTCAGGTTGACAAAAGACATACTGCAATTCTGATACAGGAATGTCTGCCGCTCTCCCGTGACTCGAGAGATAATTTCCATGAAAGTGTTGTGCCAGCTCCGCCCCATTCATGCGCTGTCACCGAGGTAAAACCCCTTATCAGCCCAGCCCGGTCCATGCTATGCTATGCTCTGCTGTGTCATTCCCATGTCATGCTACGTCATGATTGATGCTATAATCCCATAATTCACTGTGCCTATACCCTCCAAGGTCGACAAGACTTCACCTTGAAACTCCACCATCTATGCACCGAGGCGCTTCAACTCAACAATAAAGCAAAATTGGAAGCGGAATCGGAGTCATCGTGATAATGGCTTTCAATAACTCACCAAACTAACATGTCCGTCGCCCAACGCCGCACAAGCCAACAGCATGCGGTGCGGATGATACGCGGTAGCGACGATGGGACTCTGATACCCACGACCCGCAAAACTTCCACCGACCACCTGCGCTAGACGGCTGGGCAAAGGCTCAAAGACGCCAAGCGCGTCGCCGGTGGTGTTGAAACTCTTGACTTCGTGTTTATCCGTGCCAATTGCGAAGACAGGCGCATGTTCATGTACAGATAAGCTGCGCAAAAGCGTGGTGGAGGTATGTGCAGGCGTGGACGGGGGATTTCCTTTTTCGACCGGACCGGTGGAGGCGTCGATATACTCGTACTTCGACGGCGACGACGAGGTTCCGTTCATGGTGAGAACGGATCTGTCATTGCGCAGATCCCAGAGTTTGACTTCGCCGTTTCGCGACGCGGAGACGAGTTCCCGCACGCCGCCGCGTTGCATGTGGATGTTGGTGATCCATTGACGATGTTCCCGCCAGATCTTGACCATGGCCGTTCGTGGGTTGAGACGTTGGTCGAAGACTCTGATTACACCGTCTCCGAAGCCGGCGATGAAGATCTGTCCGGCCACTTGATCGCTGGTCAAACTCGTGACGCAGCTGGAACTTCGAGCCGGAATATCGCCGACACAGAGTTCTGTCGCGGCATTCCAGACTTTGATGACCTTGACGTCGCCCGCCACCAACGCCTTGCCTTGTCCCTGTTGCCAGTCGAATACTAAACCGGCATTCTTGTTGCTGGGAATCAGCTCCGTCAAGGCCCTGAACGCCGTAATGACCTTGACTTCTGTTGAACTCTGATAGTTCCTGTAGACCTTCAGAACGCCATCAGAACTACCCACCATCAAAAGGGGTTGATCATCTTCATTGAGAAATTTGGCATCATTAATCCTGCTTCCTGCCGGGTTGCCGTTGCTGAAACGACTCAGTTGTTCGTTCTTTTGGAAATCCCAGATGCTGACGGTATCTCTGTCATCGGTGACGGCTAGATGATCATCAAATTGATGGAACGTCATTTTCATCGGCTGGTTCTGGTTGTTTAGGAATCCTTCCAGGCGAGTCCACTTCGAACTACCGGCCACGCCCTTTAGAGGTTGATTGTCGGCGATGATTTTCTCATTGCGATTACGTCGCCAAAGTCGGGAATTGTAGTCAGCGGAACCAGGCTCATCAGGGTCATTGGGTCGCATTTGCGGTTCGCGGAAGTATTCGGTGGACCACTCTAGGAGAGTGCTTTGAAGGGGTGTGCGCCGCTTTATATTCGGGTCCAAGGGAACGAACCCGGCCGACAGGGGTAGAGGCGCTGGTTGGTATGATCCCGAGGTGCTCGAGGCGTCAGGAGTCTCTGGGGGACGACTCCATTCCGGTGGGAGACGGGCCCTGGGAGTATTCACAGGATGGACATGCTCCCGATTTTTGGTGGGCGATGTCTGAGGAGTGGTGTCTCTCGAACTACTGGCATCTTCCGAGGGGGCACCAAACGCGAGACTCCGGAGGGAGCTGCCCGCTTTTTTCAGGCTCAGGGATAGATAACTTTGTTGTTTTGGTAGCTGTGGGGGGGGAGTGCCCTGCCGTTTGTCGACAGCTCTGAGCGAATCTCGAGATGGGATCTTCTTGAGCTGGGACTCTTCTCTTTTCGAGAATCTTAAGAGGTCGTCGATGACTGTCAATGCCATCTGACTCATGGGCGAATTGATCAAAGTTTCGTGCACATAATCCACGATGAGAGAGGCGTTTCTGGCAATTTCTGGGTGAGGGTCAACAGACAAAATCAAAATTTGGACCCAGATAGCACCGTATATGGTGTTTGCCGAAATCGGAACCGAGGCGCGAGTATCGCGAGTACCGAATTTATTCGACTCCGTCTCCTTGTATGGATGTCTCTCCCGTTCTTCGACAAGTTGTTCGTATGCCACCACGATGAACCTGTTTTCGTACCGTTTCACGAAGGTGGAAAGGAACACGACCAGCTCTTTTCGCACCAATGTGCTGCCATCGGAAGTCATGAAAAGGACCGACGACGCAATTCCTTCCTCAATTTGAGAAACCTGGTCGGTCAAATCCGGGATCCCCAGGAAGTTGGTCAAAGCATGGAGCAGTGCTGCTCGAACTTCCGGGACCGGGTCAAGAGACAGCTCACAAAGTCTAGCATGAGCCATGCATCGGATGCCCATCCACTTGGCGTCTGAATAGTCGCACCACAACATGCTCAAACACAAGCAAGACCATTGTCGTAGCAAAGGATTTTCGGGCTCTGCCATGTTGAGCAAACAGGCATTGAAAAGTTCGGGCAGCAGACAAACAGTCTGGCCTGGAGGATACTTTTTGCAGAAGGTGGCCACAATGAAGGCGCACATGGCTCGATGTTCGCTGGCATTGCCGACAGGAATGTCTGAACGAGGATTCATGATGGAGATAAAGTAATGGATGCCGTTGTCCTTCAGCAAATCGCTCTGCACCGTATAATCAACCGCCATGATGCGAGCCCAAATGAAGACCATGACAGGTTTGAGTTCCAGTGACGCCGCTTGGAGGAGCTTAACGACATAAGGAAAGATCCCAATGCTCAGTGCCAGATGGACGGCCCAAGGACCAAGGTCGAGGAACTTGCTCAACAAAATCAAAGCCCGTAGACGGTGGACTTGACTCAGGAGGACTTGCAGAACAATCGGTAGCTGATCTGGGGCATGATCTTTGGTCGGTCCCGAGCTCAGATACACTTCAAATGCGGTAAGTTGTTCTGAAAAGAACGATGAGTGTTGATATTCATACACACGCTTCCCTTCCTCGGCCTCTCGAAGCATGGGTAGTTGATGCAGGACCATTTCAATGGCGAGATCCCAACTCTGCCAGAGTGGATGTCGATGTGTTTCAGGAAGAGGTGGTGATGATATAGGATGGCAATGATTTGCTCTCATGATTCGTTCACTAAGGAGGAAGTTGCGGAAGAGTGCCGCGACCATTAGATCCTGGCGAAAGAGTTTCTTAAAAAGCGCCCTCGGTAAAATATTCCACGCGATAGTATCAGTGATGGCTGTAAAGATCCAGTTGAGTTCTCCCAACGGACTCCGTCTATCCTGTAAACGGCCCGGGACTGGAATCTTTCCATCTTCGAGGGCCGGACCATTGGGCAGTGGGTTCTGGAGAACAAAGTATCGCAACGCGATGTCAATTGGTGTAGTCAGACAACATGTGAACAAATCGGCCGGTAGGTCGGGATTGGTCGGCAGCATCTCGGTTCTGCCACACGCGGCCAGTTGGATGCAATCCCCGTAGTTCTGAATGGGAGCATTCGGATCTCGTTTTCTGAGTTCCTCATTCTCCTTGTCGTGCTTGGCGAGGAACGTATCGAAGTTGTGGACGATGTTGCCAGCGTGGGAGACATCATAGACAAAAAGACTGGGACCTCCAAGCCATGACTGTAGATCATATATACCGACTGGTATGTATTGAGTATAATTCTTGTTGAAGACCCAGATCTCGCCCGAGGCAGTCGGGAGAGGAACGCCATGGCCGTTGTAATGGAACAATACCCGTTCATCTTTCGCATTGCGCCGCAGGGATATGCAGAACCGTTTGGTCTCGTCGATCGAAGGATCTAAGTACTGTTTGTATCTCGTTCTCAGACTCAATGATTCGTATTGTTCTTGAAGGCGTTTGCCGATCTGCTCCATGATCTTCGTGGTCCCGCCGCTGCTTCCCGTTGGGTCAACCCATGCCTCGAGCTTCGCAGTCGGATTTGTCTTGATCACATCGGGAGGATCTACTCCAATATTGAGGCATATCGCCAGCGCGGCTGAAACAGTCTTCATCCTATCTTTCATGCGCCAGTCCACGCTGGGAAACCTCTTGGATTCCTCCGACTGCGAACCATTGTTCTCATGTCGTTTTTCGGTGTAGTACATGTAAAATGTCGAATGCAACAATGACAGGTATTCATTCGATGTGTATTCATCGTCCCAACCATGTCGAATATGGGCCAGCTTGTCTTCGGACGGTGGATTGAGGGAACCTTCTTTGCGTCGTGGGCCTAGGTCACTCTTGGTGCGCTGCAACGGTAGTGGTCGAGCCTGCAAATAGTCTTCAGTCTCTTGAGGTATTATTCTCGGTGTGGTCGGTCCTGTCCCGTTTAATTGCCACGGTCTTTCGAAAGCAGAACTTGCCCCCAGACGGGATCCATTGTCGGTTCTGTCTCGAGCTCCGGCTTGGTCACCTCCTTGCGTTGCTGGCCTGCGGCGGTTCACATCCAACCCCAGGCCGATATTTGTTTGCCCAATATACGCAGCCATCGTCTCCATATCCGAGGTTCCCTGAGACGCCAAAGCTAAATGAGGATGGCGCATACCCAACAGGACATGAGCGTGGAGGTGATGTTCGAGGACGAAGGTGTGTCGTCGAGTTCAGACATTACCTGCTTGCTGCGGCGGGGGGCAGGATGGGATCAAACACAAAGAGGAATATAAGACTTGCCGGTCACAATGGACCTAGAAATCTAAAAGTGCCAGAGAAATGTATTTTCATATGCTGGCCATGGCGGAGGGGACAAAAGAAATATGAACTGGACCGATGTGTTGGCAGTGACCGACAAGCAGAAAACGTCAGTCATCTGCCACCGCCTTTTGCCCGCGCTGCAATGCGGGGAGACGAGGCTGACATCAAAACTTACTCCTTGCTCGGTTTCCCCATCACAAAGCAAGTCAATTAGTATGGAATTTTCACAGCCTACATTGAATTCCCCATTCATTTGGAATTATCTCCCACCCTATTCTACTCATTTACGCTCAATGGACATCGCTCCTAGCTCAACCCGTTTTCGTCACTGCCAACCATATTATCGCCCCCCAACCCAAGAAAACTCCCAAAGATCACAGATACCAGTCACAAAATTGAATTTGTTCAACGAACATCGGGGTCGGTCATGAATGTCATTGTTTCCATCTGTAGGCTTCAAGCCACCTTGGTCTCCCTGACACTGTTCTCCTCTTCTTCAAGTCGCCTTCTCCAATTTGCGAGGTTGTCACTAAGCTCGGTACCGTGAGTCTCGGTCGTAGGAGTTCTCTCGCTGTCGAACTGCGTGCTGAGCCGGTAGTTATTTCTGCTCGTACTCTCCCATTGCGATCTCAATGTCTCCAGTTCCGAAGCCAAATTGTCCAATGCAACAGACCCTCGTTCGTCGCGAGGCAAAGCGTCATCATTTACCGACACATCCGTCAGACTCGACGCACTCTCATCTCGGTTGTGGCTGATCCCGTTGATGCCATGAGGCATGGGCTGCAGTTGTGATTGTCGCCGATAGTTGCCCACTGATTGACCAACTTGATCAAGAAGTATTGTGACCCTGTTTTCCGCCTCTTGCGCACGCTTCTCGAGCATCGAGTTCTCCGACTTGAGCTGCTCCAGTTCCTTGCCGATTCGCCGTGCAGATTGGGTGAGATCCTCATGGCTTGCCTTTTGTTGGTCACGCTCTGCTTGTACAGCAGCAAGATCCGCCTCGAGAGAACTCACATTCGACTCCAGCAGGGCGATTTGCTTGCTTGTCTGTGTCCTCATCTCTTCGATGGAAGATTGCAACTGTTTTCTTTCGCTTTCCCAAGCCGAAGAGTCGGCTGCCGTGCCAGAGGCCGCACTCGTGCTCCGAACGGTTTCCAATTCACTTGTTAGCTGAGAGTTCTGCGATTTGTATTTGGTAAGCTCCTCCTTCATCTTCTTGAGCATCTTCTCTGTGCCCTTGACGTAGTGAACAGCCGATTGATAATCGTTCTCGAGCTGCTCCAATTTCTCCTTGTAGGTGCTGTCCGCCTCCTGCATGCGGGCCTCAAATTGACTCTTGGTCTCTTCGTGGGCTTTGATGCTTGCTTGTAATTGTTGGTCAAGTTCCCGGAGACGGCTCTGCTCTGGTGTACCAAATCGCGAGCTTGGTGAATGGTCAAAGATTGGTGACCGTCTCACATCGGAGACGTTCATCCCTCGTTCGCCCAAAAGATCCTTAAGGGCGCTATGCTGGACAGCCAGCGCACTGGCGTCCCGTTGATTAATCTCAAGGCTTGACCGAAGTTCGCGGATCTCAGCCTGATAGTTTTGGGCGTCTCGTAGCGCGGCTTGGAGTTGCCGTCGGATTTGAAGAGCTTCCCTGCTGGATTGTTCCTGGTATGCCTCCAAACCGGCAATCCGCTCCTCTGCGCTCCGCAGCTTCTGGGCGGCGTTGTCCGCTGCTTCCTGATTTCGCCTAGCCAAGCTGGATGCCTGTTCTGCCGATTCACGCAGTGCCGCCACTTTCTGTTCCGAGAGCGAGTCATGCTTAGAAGCAATATCAGGGCTCGAGAGCTTGGCCAGGCCAGCAAGCAAAGCGTCACGGTGAGTAGATGCTTCTTTCGCATGCGTTTCGGCCAATTCTTCGGCATCCCGAAGGCGTTTCGAGGTGTTCTCGAGCTCGGTGGTTCTCTCTTCGTGTTCTGCCCTTAGTTGTGATAGCTTTCGTTCTGCGGCTTCTCGGTGCTGGCGCTCATCCTCGATTTGGCGTTCGTAAAGGCTCACTTTGTTGGAGGACGCCGCAACAGCGGCTTCTAGGGCAGCCATCGAAGCCGTATGATGTGCCAATCGAGACGAGGTGTCTTCTTGTGACTTGCTTAAGTCCTCGTGGTCGACTCGAAGAGTTCGCAGTTCTTCTTCAACTTCCGCCCTCCGTCCCGCCTCGGCTCGTGCCAAACTCTGGGCTTCATGAAGTTCGGCGCGCAGCCCTTCGAGTTCTGCTGGATTTCTCCCTTTACTCAGCTCATCATAACGAAGTTGCAAAGCGTCCATAGACTCTTCTGCCAGCTCCCGCGCCTTTCTTTCGGCGTTGAGATCGTTGTGGAGAGATTCAACTTTGGCTTTGTGCTCAGATTGTGCCGCCAGAGCCAGCGCCAGTCGACGTGTCAGATCAGTAAATCGCTCTTGCTCATCAGGCTCTCGGACAGCATCGGGCTGAGGAGTGCTTCGCTGACTTCCACCGTGAGCGGCAAGTTTTGCCCTCGCGTATGCCGCTTCGGTGACCGCAGCATCGCGTTGGTGTTCCACCTCTGCCACTCGCCGCGCCATTGATGAAGCTTGCGTCTCCATTGCTTCTTGCATCTTCATCATTTCTGTCCTCATCGTCATGAATGCTTCCATCAAAGGCCGGTCATCGTCGGCAACTTGGTTGACAGTTCGCTCGTCAAACGTCGGGCTGGACGATGCTCCACTTTGGAAACCTTGCTTTCGAGCCAGCGCCAATTCTGAAGCGTACCATGCATTCGTTTTCTTCATAGTTTCCAACTCCTTTAGTAATGCTTCTTGGTGAGCATTCATCTTGGGGGATTTCGGTTCATCAGGCATGCTTCGCAGACTTCGATTGTCAGCTTGACTTTCGCCGTAGTACCTGCCAGAGGACGAGCGACCCAGCACGCCATCTTCCGTACTGTCAATGGAACTTTGAGCTCGTTGTGACCGTATGGATCGTTGTCTGGCAACGCCGCTGCTGACCAACGGTGCCGCTTCACCAGCTTCCATGGCCTTTGCTTTGGTCTCGGTTCGTTGGGTAGGAGTTCTTCGTCCATGAGTGCTGGGGCTTCCTTCTCTGCTAGGTCTCGTATTTTCCTTTTGCACATCCCTGATCGCCGGAGCCTGAACCATCCCGTCGGGAGGGATAGCTCGAACGGAGTCCGGGCCCGTCGTCACACCTCTCGTGTCAATAGGTGGTCCATTGTATCTGCTCTTAGGTCCATTTGACGGAGACTGGACTCCATTTACACGAGCCGTCGGGGCTTGACCTTGCGGCGGAGGTCCAATGGATGCTTGTGCCATCGAGGATCGCGGGAGTCGGGAGGCTTGCGGGTTCTGTGAAGGGTCCGGACGCTGAACTGGGCCTCCAGAAAATTGTTCACGAGCTGCCATCTGGCTTCTTTGGCCCTCTCGCGATGTAGATCGAATTGGCTGTGCAGCGTTTCGAGCATCGGTGCTCGGCCTCCGCGTCGGACTGTTCGGTTGCTTCGAATCCGAGGATTGGTTTGCAGCCGGCGTATCATTGGGATACCGGATTTTGGCGGTGTCAAGGACATATACCATGCTCAATTCCCCCGGGTCACGTGGAGCCGAACTGGGTTCGCCAGCCAGAACAATGATCTTGTCTCGATATGCCGTCATGCTGTGACCGGATCTCGGGGATGGAGAAGGGCCCATATTCTGAAAAGTATACCACCTCTTGGAAGTAATACGGAAGGCCGCCAGGTCGCCCAGATCCGTACCCTCCTCGGTCCGGCCACCAAAGATGTACATCACATCATTGACCAATGCAGCTGAATGGCCTTCTCTCGGTGCTGGAATATAACCAATACAGTCTTGCTGAGTCCAAGCATTCGTCGCCGGACTGTACGTCCACACGTCATTAAACCATTGAGTTCCGTTGGTGCCCCCAAACCTGTATATAATTAGTCTCTCACCATCCACCAAACCGACGGCATCACTTACAGGAACAGCTGGTCGTTGTAGCTGACGATAGTATGATTTGTTCTTGCAGGCGGTATCTTGCCGCCCTGGCTGACGCTATCGCCCGCATTCTGCATCAAAAATTCCCACTGATTTGCGGGGTTTTGCAGGGCATTCAAATCGAATGCTATTAGATCATTGAAGAAGTATCCTTCGACTTGGCCTCCAAAAATGTATATCTTGGAGCCTAGGATATTGAGGGTATGGCCATATCGTCCCGAGGGCCGTGGACCCGGAGGCGCAGCTCTGGACCACTGACGGGAAGCTAGAAGAATAAGCGAGAATTCCCCAAATTTGTCAGGACGCTCCACTTACAAGTATTAAGCAGGTACAAAGTGTCATCAAGCACATCAGAATCGTCCATCTTGGTATCGCCGCCAAATACAATAAAGGCATTGCCCACAAGTAAACTGGCATGTCCAACACGCGGACCGGGGCCTTCGGAGACAGTGGCGATGGGATAGCAGGACAGATTCCCCCCGCCGGACTCAACCATCCATAAGTCGCCTCGGACCATGGAGCCATTGATCAAGCCTCCCATAATGTAGATGTCACCGTCTTTGGAGGCAATGGCGTTTACGGCAGCGCCGTACCGGGGAAAAGGGTTGGACTGCGGAGTAGGGAAATTGAGTCGCCGCTGCGACCAGGGGTAGAGAGCAGCATTAGGGACTTGATTCCCCGGATTCGAGGGTCGCGGCTACAAAGAATATTAGTCTATTGGGTTTGGATAGGAGGATCGAGGAGGAAGCATACCCCCGATTCAGATTCAGACCTCTCTCGCCGCGGGTACCCAGGCGCATTGGCAAGTGTCGAGCCCATCGAAGTCAATGAGCCATTTGGATTCATATTTGAATTAGGCGGAGGTGACTGCGTGGGTCGCTCTCCGGCTCTGTCGATGGACCCATTTTGAACAGAAGAGGGGGTTCCGTCAGATGTGTGAATGTTTCGACTGGTAGGCGGTAAGCCCGACGGCGCAGGCGCGTTCGCGTTCTTTTTCGACTTGAATAGAAATGCCATGATTCGTGACTCCCCGATCCAAGCGGAGGGAGGAACCGTTTGTTACACCGTTCGGAGATGGTGCATACGGTCAAGGCGTCCGGCAAGGGGATATTAGGGAGGTCCGGCAGGATAAGATACACTCTAGGGAGTTCGCAGGGCTTGCTTCGGGCAAACCATGGATGTCGTTCATGCACTATTCGTTCACTTCAGACTCGGCCGGAAGGAAGAGCAAGGAGGAGGTTAGAAGTTCAAGTCGAGGTCGAAGTCAGGCTGGGAAACACGGGTCCGTGAGATGGTTGAGGCGCAGCTTGATTTCAAAGTTTCCAATCGCCAAGTGCCAGTCTTATGCAAGGTACGAGAACACCCAGCACTGACAGTCAACACGAAAGATGTCGCGCGGGCCACACAGACGACTTGGTGGCTGATATTTGATACACGCGATGACGGTGAGAGGTGGACGTGATGGGCAAGGCGACGATTGAGGGCAGATACAGATGTTGAAATATTGGATATAGGAGAAGGCACGTCACAAGTCTGGCGAACAAAAACTTTTAGCAGGAGAGGTGGTCAGAGGACGGCAAAGCCGCAGAATCCAAGAACCCAGGTCGGACTCCTCCCCCAAGAGATGTGTTTCAGGGGGACCCATCGAGTTAGCCTCTCCACCGCTTACAGGGAGCAGGAGAATCAGCTGGTTAAGCGCTTCCCGATCATCTGCTGCGGGCGTGAGATTTCGCCTAGTTCTGGTGCTCGTTGACAACGGGCGACCGAAAATATCCCAACGGGCGCCCTGCCCGTCTCCACGTCCCTTGATTGACTCGTTGCCCCCTATTAGACTTTGCGAACCCGACGATTCCCTCCAGCTGTCAATCAGTCTGCCAGGCTCTGTCTCGTCAGCTGCAATTCTCTGCCGGCACCCGACGCACCAAGCAGAAAGCCCGGATTTTCCACGAATCCGGGCCTGAGGTTCTCCCTGGCGTCGCACGTGACACTTTTGCCTTATCGCTATCAATTCAAACAGCCGACGTAACACCAGCGACCAGTCTGCCGCAACCCTCAAATTATCGATCCAATCCTACGACCTTAAACCATCCCTCAGCTTTGCGTCCGAGCCGGCAAAGAGCAATATCATGGATCAAGAACTCAAATCCTTTATCGCGGAAATGCCGAAAGCGGAACTGCATGTGCATCTTGAAGGCTGTTTGACCCCGACCCTGGCACGCACGTTGGCCGAACGCAACAACCTCCCACTGCCACCGTCGTTGTCGTCCCTGGACCAATCGTCAGGCTACTCATTCCACGACCTGGCCACGTTTCTCGCTGTTTACTATCCGAACCTGGCCGTTCTACACACGGAGGCAGATTTTCGAGACCTGGCCCTGGCCTATCTCACAAAGGCGCACACCCAGAACATAAAACACGCCGAACTCTTCTTTGACCCTCAGGCACACACCTCACGGGGGGTGCCATTCCCAACGGTCCTGCGCGGCTACCACTTGGGACTGTTAACGGCGCAGCGAACGCTCGGCATCTCCGCCAGCCTGATTATGTGCTTTTTGCGAGATCAATCGGCCGAGTACGCGATGGCGACCCTGATGGAAGCCCTGCCATTCAAGGACGCCATCATGGGAGTGGGTTTGGACTCGGACGAACGAAACAACCCTCCATCCAAATTCTCCGCAGTATTTCAGCGCGCGAGCAAAGAAGGCTTTCTGGTCACCTGTCATTGCGACATCGATCAGCCAAACAGTATCAGCCACATTAGACAGGCAATCCAGGAGATCCAAGTCGATCGCATCGACCATGGGACAAATATCGTTGAAGATGACTCCATGGTCGAAATTGTACGCCAGAAAGGCATTGGACTGACCTGCTGCCCGGTCTCAAACTCGGTCGTCACTTCAGATTTCAAAGGTAAAGAAATCGCCGATCTTCTGAGGCGAGGGGTCAAGGTCACGATTAATTCAGACGACCCTGCGTATTTCCGAGCCTATGCAAATGAGAATATGGAAAAGATCGCAGAGACTGACTTGACGAAAAAAGAACTCATTCAGCTGCAAAGGAATGCGTTCAATATTTCCTGGATTTCATCATGGCGGAAGAGCCACTTCCTCTCCCTCTTGGATGAGTATGAGAATAAAACTCTAACGACCATGTCCAACGGCATCTGAGTACTGACGACATTTGCGAGGCGAACATAGGATGGGGGGTCGGTTATCGTGGTACAAAGCCGGAAAAGCACATCCTCCTTACCCTCCATGATTGGGATTCTTGAAATGGACCTCACCAAAAAAGGTGGCTCGCAGCTGCACCACGGCCGCTATTTCAAGGATGAACTCTTGAAGGATGACTGCATTGGTTAGTATATGGCCAAGACTTGCCTGGCTTCGTTCGCCTTGACCGCTCGGGGTCACGGCTCCGGAGTCTCCACTTTCCGCCAGCGCGAGACGACGAGCGCCTGGCTCAGGACTGGAAGTTTGTTTGCGTCCCGCATGCAAGGGTAATGATGTTGATGCTTCCTCCGGTACTTTTGAATTTATCAGGTTGACTGGAGTCCTTAGTATTGCGGCTGAGGCAAATGATGGTTGTTTCGGAGCCTCCGTCTGTCGAATTAGCCCATCATTCTCGTCTGGCTGCACTGAATGACGCAAGGGAGAATAACCAATAGTGCGTTCTGCGAGGCTAGCACGGTGGCCGCCAGATTTAGCAATCGCACTGTCTATAGACCCAAATTCGGTAGATGGTATCTTTCTGCCTCTCGGTGTCGTCGGCCGCGATTGTGCCAAAGAATAGGTGCCCGAAGGCGAGTCACTCTCGTGAGACTGTCCTGAGAAGGTTCTCATATTCGACGGACGAGTTTGCGGCCCTTCCTCTGCGAGCTCGATTCTCCTCCTAGAAAACAGTTCGTCCCATTCGGCAAATTGTGATCGCCACTGACGCACTTGCTCGGTCAGTTCACCTATGATGAATGTGACGTTGCACGCCGAGTTGTCCTCTATGGATCCTTGTTCACGTGAGGGCAATAGCCATCCATTGAGACCCATATGCTCACATACAGCTAAAGCCATCAGAGCCTCGGTGAGATAAAGATTCGTGGCCGTGTCATTTGAGAAGAAGTTGCGTAGTAATGAGATAACGGCATCAAAAAGCTTACACTCGCGGGCGATAGACATGTCTCGTACGTCCAACAGGTCGTCATCAAGTTGGCTCGTTACAAAACAGCTATGTTGTTCAAGGAGCACTTGACCGTCCAACAAAGCGGCCTGATATGAAGTATCCAGCTCAGCATTATTGGATATCGCCCCAGCATGGTCAAATAGCCTTCGCAAGTGTGAGTTTAATTGGCGTGCTCCCCGTTGGGCGGGAACAATTGAAGTCGGCTCGAGCCGGAAAAGGCTCCTCAACACGTGGCAGTGATGCCTCTCCACGATGACCGACAACAATTTGAGGCAGGCGTTGACTGTTTCTGGATGACTGGATTTCAAACTCATGACCATCAAGTCGAGGAGGCTGAAGAGATTCGGAGAGGGGCTATCAGCCACTTCTGCAAGGGCCCTCAAGTGATCGATAGATTTCCTTCGACTGACAGACATACGCTGCCGTCGGTGGGATCTTTCTCTCGGTTCTTGGGGCAGATTAGATGAAGCCAGGAGGTAACGCAAGACACGATCCACGAGCTGGATGTGGTCAACGGCAAGGAGGATCTGGGAGAGATGTGCAATGACAGCAGCAGTGGAGCCTCCTTCCACGTCTGATGATTCAAGGAGTGAAGGGTAAAGCAGCTGTTGGACAAAGAGCACCTGAAAGTGGTCAAGCAGCGTGTCACTGACTTCGGTGGACTTGCAGTGACTCAACGTATCCTGCCAAAATGCCAAATAGGAGAAAAAAGCCTTCGAATCCTGTTGAATGTCTTGAGGGGACTCAACGAGCGAAGCCAAAGTTTGCGGGTGGTCCGACAAAGTGATGATCGGAGGCGCTGAGGGTCGGCCACTCAGAGACGTAGACTGTCTGCTCAGCCTGCTGTATAAAGCACCGAGACCACTAGCCATTTGAGGCGCCAAATCGCTCTCGATCATCCATGTTTCCAACGGTTTGAATTTGGAAGCAGTCTCGGTCAAGTACAACAGCGCCGTCCGAGCAAAATCGCCCACTGATCCATCGTGATGGACGTATTGGACGAGAACGTGGAATAAGGGAAACTGACTCCGTCTGGTTTCGTCTGCCGCACTTCGGCCACGCATCGATTCTCGGTCGGGATAAAACCAAGCTGGAAGGATATCTGGATCCAATCTGATCTTTGTGGCAATCTCGAACAACAACTCGACCAGATCTGTTTCCAAGCGTTCTTCGACAATGACCTTTCCTCCTATCGTAGCGAAGGAGACGAGATCTAATAATGATCTCGTGAACAACTTGCTGTCCAGGAGCCCTTCTGCCTCGCCATTGATGAGGATGTGGAAGAGCTGCGCAGAGGTGTTGATGATTTCCACATCGCGAGAGCCGACTGCCAGCTTGGTGATAATGATGTATGCCTGGCTCGAGGCGACATATCGAAGGCAGGAGTGTGGTGCCGCTCTGCGTGACTCGTCGTGAAGGATCGTCTCGAGACGGTGGAGGAGCTTCGCCGTGTAGTTCAAGGCGGCATCTTCAACGCTGCCATTGCGCCAGGTTTGCTAGACTGCAGGTCAAATGGGAAAACTGGGTTGAGGAGGTCACCAGACTCACGGTCAGAGCATTGCATATGCTCTTACAGGTCGCAAGGCGCTCGGCGGGGGTGTTGGTTCTTTGTTTCGTCGGAGAGGAGCTGGAGCCTGCGATCAGGCGCGTGAGCTGCCCAAGTCATGCCCCGGTTAGAGCTGCTCAACCTCGTACAGCATTAAGCCGGTTTCCATGAGGAGACTCACGATGTCCATGTTCTGTGACTCATATTGGTACAGTTAAATTGTAGGGCAAATATACGACTGGGCAGTAACGTCGATGCCGCGACTCGGCCAGGAAATAGATTTTGGGGGCAACTTTTACGAGTCCCGTTGCGGTGTCAGCCCGGCACCGTCAGTGGTCACTAGATCGCAACTTCAAACGGGTCAGGCGAACCAAATGATGCAAGGCTGACCGCTTTAGAGTCACGAGTACCAATGGTATGCTGCGCCTTCTTAATCTCCGAGTCTTCCCATGGTCAACTTGAAGTCTTGCCTTCATGAGCACACTTCCCGTCCATTTAGTGGAGACGTCATTCATTTTGCGCTCTGGAAAGGCTGAAACCTTGTTGCTCGAACGACCCCCAACAAAGGAAGGAATTCGGCCACGTACTGCTTGAGATATAACTTATCAAAATGGCTGCTCAAGAAGAGAAGCGTACAGAACAGGGAGACGTCATGACATCCACAACACCAGTGACTCGCCGTGACAAGAGGGATTCGGACTACGATGGTATCCATTCGGGGATAAATCACTCCGCCAATGAAACGCATGCCAACAAGTCGACGACCGGATTGTATTCTGAACATGGACACTCGATCAGTCGTATCCGTCCCATGGCCCAACACTCCGGATGTTCGGTCGCATCCTTCTTCAACGGCCTATTTACCACCATCATTGGGATCGCCACCCTCGGAGCAAGCATTACCTTTTCGTACGTCTTGTCCAACAATACTTCCATTGCGCCATCCCCAAACCCAACTTTCAACGTCCGGCAGGTCCAACAATTCCTGGCCATCAGTTGGCTCTTGTTTCTCCTGGCCCTCGGATTCGCTTCGCTCGGTTCGAGTCTTTTGACGTTTTTCAAAGGTCACTGGATCGCAGACTGGGACGGCATGAACGGCAGGATCAGTCAATGGAGCGTTCAGATGTATGCGGTCTGTACCAGTGGGCTCCTCGGCGGTCTCACCATTGGTGCTTTTGCACTGTTGTGTCTAGTCGTGGTGCCTTATTCTGCGGTGGTGGGATGGATTGCCTTGGGATTCACAGCTTTCTTTGGGGTCATCGTTCTTGTGGCTGTGATCAATCAGGCTCCCTGGCCTTGGCGGGGCAACACGCCACCGTCGCCTACCAGACACCACACTGCTTGAAAGTGAACGTCCATATTCAGTATCATGGCGACAGCGAGAACCTTGAATGATTTTCAGGGACGTTGGACCGGTGGTATCATTCAGAAGCTATTGTTTGATTCCAGAGTGGTTGAAAGCCAGTAGATGGCGGGATTCGTCGTTGTCTGAGCAAGAGGGTATGAGCTAAATCAGGGCGTCTTCCCTCCGTGGTCGGAAGGCATCTCGTTCATTCCTTTGCCGCAGATTGGTCCCCAAGTAAATTTATGCAGCAATCGAAGCTCGACCATGTTGGTGTGATTCCTACACCGGTAACAGACCTCCAAGTCCGATGGAATTGTTCAGTGACAAACGCGGATGCTTCAGTCGGAGTCTTCATCGCTCGTGGCTTTCCTCTTCCTGCCTCCCTTCCCCTTTTTTTTGGGACCAATATCCTCTTCACTATCTTCACTCTTGACCTCGGATTTGGCTCTCCCCTTCCTGGATCCTTCGTCAGGTACATTTTCGCAGATGTCGGTCAGAAAGTCAAATTGCCCATCTTTCATCAAAGCCGCCTTCAAATGCTGGGCGGTGACTCGTTTGGAGTGGTTTGCTCGGGCTTCTGCAGCTCCCTTTGTCACCAGGGCGATCATGAAGAGCTCCAATGCCTTGGCTAGAAAACGTCAAAACATATTTCAGAGTTTTAATAGCGCTCCGAGACTTACAAACTGCCGTGGGAGTGGCCTGGGCAACTTTGCCAACATCCTCATCCGCTTGCATAATGCGTTTGATTCGGGCAACAGGAAACTTTGTTTTCACATCGATACCATGTGAGGGGTCTGTAGTGGCCATGGGCACGAGGGATTGGAGGGGTCGTGTTTGCTCCGCCTTTATGGACGTAGCCGTGGTTTCATGTGCGGCAGGATTGTAATCCAGATCCAAGTCCTCGGCCGCCTTTTTCGGGCGGGTTTGCGGCATGTCGCCGTATGACTGAGCCAAACCTGACGGTGGAGCCGAAAATTGTCGGCTGGTTGGTGGGTTAGAGTAAGTCGGGTTGAACGGCTGACGATGTTGAGGCGGCGAGTAATGCGACGAAGTAGGGTTCGTGTATGTCTCAGCGAGAGGTTGAGACGGCCTTGATGGAGAGGCTTGACCGGCCGGATTAGGAGTTCTGAAATTGTGAGGTGAATATGTCTGAGTCGGGAACGATGACTGAGTCCGAAAACCAAAATAAGATGTGGATGGAGTGGTGGTTTGGGGAGAAAAGAAAGGTGAAGCGTCGTATGAACCTCGAGGTGAGTTCGAATATCCAGGAGGGAAATTCGGATCTGCCTGTGGTGCGTGATAGGATGGAATGCGGTTCAGTCTAGGCAGTGGGGCATCAAAGCCTGAGAGATCCGGCGAACGGGGTCGATATTCAGGTCCAGGGTGGTCGTGTTCTTCACTCATTGCTTGGGGATGCGGTAGGCTGGTGGCGCAGGACAATTTTCTGATTATTGGTATGGGGCGGTGTGACTTTGCGAGAGAATTGGGAATGCGGTGCAGATGAAGACATTGTGGGAAGGGGAAAGAGGTCGGCTGTGAAGAAAAGCACCTGGTTTAGATGGCACCGGTCTTCATTGTTCAAATTATTGTGGTGAGGTCCCGGCGACTTGTCCCTTTGGGTATGGATATCACGTGAACAGATACAAAAGGATTTGCACGGGGGAAATGAAAGATCCCACGTAATAGTGGTGGCGGAGTGATGAGAAAACAGCTGATGAAGGGGTGAGGGGTCGAAAGGGGGAAGGGTTATGTAAGGCTTGTCGGAGCAACTTGGACGAGGCGGGCCTTAAGTAAAATCTTCCAGCCGTGTTTTGCAGGAGGGGATCAACAACATCCTAAAAGGTTTAAAGTTTGGGGAGCGAAGCCACTCCCAGTAGTCAGCCACACATCATCCCGCTTTTGATCCGGGCCGCACTTATCAGGCATCATTCATATTAATCAGCCTTGCCACCATTTTGGTGTGGAATTCCCTACGCTTCGTCATGCACATTATTGGTAGATACGTTATCCAATCATCTCTACTTGTCATTCTAATTTTCGCCAACCCGACACAACAAATCTGCTTTCCTCGCCGCCAAATGATGACCGACCAAGCTGGAGATGGGACTCGGGAAGATTAATCTCAAGACAACAACCCGGTCTTACCAGACTGTGGTTGTTGATGAGCTCCCCGAAAAGACCATTGGTGAAAGTCCTGAAAACTTGATCTAATCTGATGGCATTCTTCTACACCTTTGAAGCCAGACTCGAAGACATGATGAATTCCGTCATAATATCCAATCCTTGCAGTCGCTCTTCCGAGCTCTCGCCCAAGAACAAGTTCACCACCGGCCAGACGTGAAGGCCTGCTTCCCGCCGGTGAGTTTTCACCACAGCCCCGTTGTTCTTCATATGATGGATCATTTCTTCGATGCCAGGACGAAACACTTCTTCCGCTCCGTACAATACTCGATAGCCGTTCAATGGTGACGCCTGTTTCCAGTGCACCGTGTTCAATCCTGGCGAAATCACTTCGTCGGACTTCACGGCTTCACCTGCATATTGATCTGCATACCGATGCAGGCTGTTTTTATCCAGATAGTCACTCGGCGTGTTCTGGTTCAAGTCCGAAATGAGATGTGTCCAGGGAGAGAGCAATATGGCCAGACCTGGGCGATGCAGTGATTGAAAATGGGGTTCCTGTTGAAGCAACATACTCAAAATTAACGTGGCCCCTGCTGAATCTCCACTAACACAGATCTTGGCTGCCGAACCGTCTCCAAATGTTTCTCGCAGAAAAGTGTACCCAGCGCGAGTTTCATTGAATTGCGTTGGCCACCGAGCCTCTGGGACGAGAGCGTACTCCAAAGCAAAAACAGCCGGGTTGCGGAATCCACTGTCCCTCAGTCGAGTTACCCAGGCCATGAGAAACTCGATGTAGAAATACGCTGAACCCATGGAAAACCCACCTCCTACCAGAAGATACGTCAGCAAAGATGCTCAGATCCTCCGCAGAGCATTCCACCGACCATGAGAATAGTAAATGACGATGTCAGGTTCCAAACTCGGGTCATCAACTATCCAAAGACCTTTCGCACCATGTCTAATAACCTCCCGGTAAAACATGGGGCAGCGTAAATAACCGTGCCGGAGCAGACGGAATCGGAAGAAGGGATGGGCGACCCATTTGGAAAAGAACACTCTTCCCACGCTCGCTGGGATGTTGGCAAAGGCGTATCGAACACAGCGGACAACTATGTCCTGAAAGATGGTGGCGTGTTGAGTAAAGGGCGATCGTTGGTCTCTCTTAGTGAAATATCGTTCACGTACAAGCTGGTATGGAAGTTGAAGGACTGTCGATGAGGGTTAGTACATCTTACGTGTAGATCAGCAGCCTTCCAAACCCAGAAATGGTATTACTCTGAGCGACACGGTCGCCACTAAAAGAATGTCTGCCTGGTAAAGTAGTTGAGGAATGAGAAAGACAACAAATGCCACACAGTCGATTCCATTGATTGGTCCTAGAATCATGGGGACCCTTGTTGATTGCTGGGGCGTACGGGACTTTGGGTTTTCCCAAAGAGGACGTCCAATGATGAGATAAAAGATCAACGAGTGTGTAACGAAGGGCGTAGAAGGGAATCAGAACGTCAAGAACCCCTACGCGAAGGTTCATACGCACACAAAATCTAACAGTTTATTTTTACTGATCTCTCCAAAATCTGGTAAGCCATTCAAAACGATAGTGGGTGACTTTTCTTCATCTGTTGAGCCCGTTGAACAGAGCACACAGATACCGGACCAGATGCAGGCTATGCTGTATGCGAAGTAGTGCGTGTTAGAGATGCCGCCAGCCATGCAATGAAGGGAGTACCGAGCTTGCTATGGGGAGATCTCGCCTCAGGCCGGGCCACTTGCCACTGGTCGGCTGCTCGAATGACCACCGCCTGCGCCATGCAAGTTCTTCGTGTGTACCCCTTCACTGACGTGCAGGCTTCCTTCCAACATGTCCACCCTTTACTTTACTTGATTACCAGGATTTCATCATGCTATTTCTGAAATGTATACATAGCGTGGTGCGAATCATGCTCGCCATCAGTGCAAGGTAAATGGCATGAATCTACCAGGTCCTCCAAGATTTTCTTCCAGATTTCTGGATCATCGCATTCTGCCAACCACTTTTTGTCCATCAGGCGATCAAAATTCATCAACATGGCTCCTGTGACCTTGGACACGTCTTTTGCAGAAATAGTTCGGTATGTCCTCGAGCTCTCATTGCCCCGTCACCAACAACTAATTTCTGTAGCACGCTCGACTGGGATAAAGTCCCAGACAAACTCCACTGTGCCGCCTGCCATGAGTTCAATCTCAATGCCCACAAAACAACCTGTTGCGATACCTACATCTGCGAGGCTTGTGAGTTCCATCTCGAATCGTCTTCAGCATAGCTAACCCAAGACAGGTTTCACCAAAGCCTGCGGCGAAAGTTGTCCCACCTGCGACCACAAACCATTCACCAGTGATGTCTGCAAACCGAACAAAGCCATGCGTAATACCATAAAAGCATACCTCAAGACAGTAGAGAAGGCCAAAGCCGATGAGCGGGCCAAAGCAGTCACCAGCGAGGAGGTCGTTGTCCAAGCAGACGAACAGCGAGACAGGTTGCCATTAGAGACTACAACAGATCAGCAACCTGTCAAAGCAGCAAAGACTGAAGACACTCCTTGGACCGATGTTCAGCCTTCGATTGAGGTAAGCCACCTGTTCCGGGATTCATCAAAGACCCTGACTGATCGTACCGAGGATCCCGACCCAGAGGCAGCAGAAGCCGTGGATGACGACGTCGAAATTCAAGTTGAACTGGAGGAAGACCAACAAGAGATACCTACACAACATGTGATACCGGTTGAAGAGACGACTCCTCAAGACCAACCTAAGACGACGTTGGAAAACCAGTCCTACCCACGAGACCGACCCAATGCTTCTCTCGATGATATGAACGGGTTCGACTTTTCAAACATGATGAACGGGCTCGGCAACATGGATTACAACCAAATGATGCAAATGATGGCTGCGAACGGATTGAGTGGTTTCAATCCAATGATGGGTAAGTTTGTTGTTGGACGAGTACAAGTCATATCACCTTTACTGACATCCGTAGGGATGCCTATGGGAATGAATCCAATGTCAGCTGGCATGTTTGGTGGATTTGGCGGTCCAAACGATGGCATGAATGGTATGAATAACATGAATATGGGAATGAACTTTAATCCCAACCAAGGGATGTTTTCTGGCTGGAATGGTCAAAACAACAATATGTGGCAGAGTAATAATGCAAATGCATTCTCGAATGGCATGGGCGGTGACTTCGGCCCCCACTATGGTTTCAATATGGCCCAATCTGGAAACTTCCAGCAGTCGTACCCCACGGGTGATTTTCAAAGTGGTTACTATGGTCGTGGATATGGTCGTGGCCGTGGTCGTGGCCGTGGTGGCTATGGTAGAGGCCGTGGTAGCTTCACTCCATATTCACAATATCACCAACAAGGATTTCAAAGTGGACACGATCAGAAGCAATCCGATAGCCAGACCACACAATCTCAGACAACAGATCATCGCCCCAACGATAAATCCACCGACGACGGATATCAGGACAACAACACTACCGATACCAACCATGAAGATGATGAATTCGCCCCTGGCGGTCAAGAAGAGGTCCAAGAGGCTCTGGGTGATAACTACCAAAAGTCGACTGGGGATGAAAAGAAGACCCCTGACAACCCTGTCATCGCCGAAAACGACGTTCCCCAAGACAAGGAGCCCGAACAAAATAATGGTCCTCTTGATGATGCAGAACCCAATGACTCCACCGTGCAAGACAACAAGACCGTTGCTCCAAATTCGCATCAAGCTGATCACAGCAAGCCAATACCAGCAGCGTACAATGAAGATCTTCAAGGACCAATGCCACCACCATCGGCACCGCTGGGTCCATCGGCTCAATATGGTGATCATGGCTTCCGCTCTCGAGGAGGTAGATTTTCATCTCGTGGACGTGGTTCGATCTCCATGCCCAATGGACATGTTGCTTCGCCAGTAAAATCTTTTCCACATGTACCGCAAACTGTTGAGGCCAAAGGTGTCGGTGTCGTAGGTGCACCAACTGGTCCTAGAGCGATGCGTGAACCACCTGCAGCTGTGAAACCGGCCTCTCGATCGGCAGAGACAGGATTTCAAATAAAGGGCAGGGGATCCATGACATCTTCTCGGCGATCGGAATCTCGTGATTTCGATAGAGACCGCAGCAAGACACCCACGTACCATTATGATGAAGAGAGAGACAGGGATCGATCGAGACGACGATCAAGACAAGAAAAGCATGGCAGTTCGAGGTATGAGGCTGATGAACAGGAACAGTCAGACCATCATGATAAGGACAAGCGGCATAGGAGATCGAAACGAGACACTCAGGATGACTATGACAGGGATGAACGAGAAACTTCATATTCTCGATCGGACTCAGTAGACAGAAGGTCATCGAGACGGAGTCGCGGAGACAAAGACAAAACATCGTCGACATATCACTCATCACGGACTAGCCGGTACCATGATGAAGATACCAATGGAGATTACGATATGGACGATCACGACGACTCAACAAGGTCAAAGAGGGACGAATATGATGGTGAAAGCAAAAGTAGGCACCGGAGGAGCAAGTCCTCAAAATACAGCGAGAGGGATCGCGATCGTGAAAGAGAGCGAGAGCGGGATAGAGACAAAGATAAAGACCGCGACCGAGACAGGGAAGACAGACATCGGAACCGAGATCGCGACCGCAAACGTTCTCGCCATGACCGTCACCGCGAAGAGGACAAGCTGTACGATTACGACTATAATTACGACTATGAGCAAGATGCAGAGGACCCTGAGTCCCGGCATCGCTCAAGGCGGCCCAAGAAAGACCATCGACGTGATGACGAAGATGGCACAACTACCACCAATGGTCGCTCGCACCGATCAAGTGCAGCAGGGACGCCAGTGCCGGCAACAATATCGGCGGATGCGGAGAAAGATCCACATACTCTGGAACGTGAGGCGAGGAATCGCGAGAGAATGCTCAAGGAACAGCAACGAAGACAGAAAGCCGCAAAAGTTGGGCCGGGAGGCGGTAGTGGAAGCGGGCGACGAGTCACGTATAAATACGAAGATGAGCTCGAACGAGGCTTGGTTGAGGGTGAAAGAGTAAGTGCGAGATGGAGATAATACGAAAGAAGAATTCTGATCGATCTTCTCCACTATCGTCCCTTCGCGGTTGGCTTTTTCCTTTTCTCTGTTGGGGACCTGTTTCCCTTTTTCTGCGGTCAGGGACAGGACCTGTATGGCCGGACGGGCGGATACATTGTGAAGATGGTGTGGTTACAATCCCGGGGCGAATATCACTATTCCTCCCCTTTCTTGGGCTTGGGGCGGGGGGATTCTCAAACTTCTTGGAATCGACCTTTGAGACGGGGCCTGGGCTAGGAAGGGCAGAGCAATGTTTCATGTCCTGGAAGGCTTTATAAATATGTATATTTTCCTCCCTGTTGAAGTGCCTCAGGGAGATGATGAGAAAGGGAACCAGAAAGGGGAACGTGAAGGATCGGAATACGCAAAAACAAAGCAAAATGGGGCAATTATTGAGCGGTACTCGATGAAGCATTGAGATATTACTAGAATTGGGAGTCATGCGTAATAGTCCTGTGTCTCTGGTTCATGAAAGACCTCTAGGAAAGCGAAAATATGTGCTGAATCATAGTCTATTGTACATGATACTCCGAATTCGGTGAAACCCATTCCGATAGCCCCGGGGTTTTTTGACTGCAGCTGTTCCTGGGGAAAAGGGAATAAGCGAGAAAACCGATATCTTGTCCTATCCCATGTATCGCACCATCATGGGCACGTCTGAAGTCGCAAGATGTGTAGAAGTGGGTTTCGAAACCGAAAATCTAATTGCATTGAGAACAAATTCACATTCATGTTCGTCTAGCGTCACATTCAGCATAACCCATAGCACAGCGCATCGCAAAGTAGAATAAACCAGGGAAGAAGATTCAACACTTCATCACCATCGTCCGCCGTCCACCGTTCCCAATTCTCCAGAAAAATATCCCCTTCTAGAAGAAACCGAAACCACCCAGTGCCGTAACCACATACAATGCCAGCCGATCAATTGAACCACCAGCAAGATCGACGTAGAAGCAGGTGCCGACACTGATGAGGAGGCTGGCGAGGGATCGCAGTTGGAAGAGAGGTAGGTTCGTACTATACGTAAAAAGAGATGTGGGTATTGGAAGCTAGAAAACGGAAATAGAGGTAGAGCTAGAAGCAGAAACAGGGCAAGGGATTGAGACAGAGATAGAAGAAGAACCAGAGCCAGAACCAAAGGGGGAGACGAATCTTGAGAACAGGAGAGATATCAATATCAAAGATTCAAATCTCTGGGCCTAGGGTTCTTGAACTCGTCTTCTTCGGTTCCCGTTTTAGCTACTGGACGCATTGTCTTGCGCTTTTTCTCAAGAAAACACAGAATCCCGGACTACAAATAGATGAGGGCGAAACTATCAAAAAGGAAGAAAAGGAAAAGAAAATCAGCAAACGACAGGGGAGGAAAACGTCATTTGAGGGGAAATTGTATACGTACCATTATTCAGAATGCCGCATATATCGCCACTGCGCTGTTGGGCGTTGAATAACATGATATATTGCCCGGTAGACCGGTGAGGTCCGAGTACCGCGTGAATGCGGTCCCGGCCATGCATAGAGTTGTAGTCGAAAGTGAGTTGTGATGAAGCAAGTTCGGTGTAGGGTAAGGAAACCAAGGTCGGGATCAGTGCGAGCAATGTCAGATCGTTGGCGTGGACATGGAGGACTGGATGAGTTGGGCAGAAGTCAAATTTTGTCATGTGGACTCAACGACTCGAATCATGAACCGAAAACCCCCAAGCACCCAAGATATGGTCAACTTTTCCATCATAATCGACACTCTCTGGAGACGCGGTCTTGAATTTAACTTTTCTTCATTTTGTCGAATTCTCAGCCTTGCGGCCTGCTTTGCTAACCCTGTCACCATCTACTTCTTGACTTCTTCCACATGGCCACAAATTCAATCTTATCTTTGACTCCTAATCCCACTCTCTTGACCCGCCCCAGCCGAGCCAGATTCTCGGCGATTTTGTCCAGAAATGCTCTGTCTTCTTTGATCGCGGGACCTTCTAATTCTTCGCCACCGACGAGTGTGTCTGCATCACTCGCCGCGGTGTCTGATGGTAGGGTGTCAAAATAATGGGTCGTGTATGACGTCGTTTTCGCCACTGCTGGCTCCAATGGTCGTTTTGATGTGTTATACACTGCCTCTGCAATACGAATGCGGATACAATGCGTCGGTTTACTGCACAGATTCCATAAGAAGGTCACATACGCGTGAGGGATTGGAGTCGTGACGTCAGGGGCCGTGTATCTCAGGCTGACTGGAAACACTTTTGTTCGCGGTGGTATGGTCAGAAGACTCGGACTCATTGGTAGGATCCCTCTTCCATTCGACGTGGTACATTCGGGAAATACCGCCACGACTCGGTTTGGGTTTTCTTTGAGCAATGTTTCAATGTCCACCAATCTTGCCCCCTCGGGCGGGTGGAGCTTGGGATATGTGAACGTCCGACAGACCGCCGTAAACAGGGATATGGGTTCCACTTGCCGAGCATATGGATATGTGGCCGCGAAGACTGGATCGAAGATGGCAGACAGGTATAGAGGATCAATCGGCGAAGCGCTGGAAGATGCTATAACAGAGCCATGTTGAGGAATTCTGTCCACGTTTTTGGCCAAAGACCTGCGAATCTCAGCACATGCTTCTTGGGCCTGAAGTGCGTTGGAAAAGATGCGTACCCTTTCTTTACTCCGTCGATTTGTAGATCAATCCACCATATCCCAGGTATGCCCAAGATGCACCATAGTGAAGCCTTTCTCCCCAAAACACCGATGGGCATCCATTGTAATATCAGAAAGTATGAAAGAGCGAAAACCAGCATCAGCGGTACACGGCAGATGAATAGGAAGAAATGAAATGGCAGACGAAGGCCCGCAGACTCGGTGGGAATGGGAAGGAATGGCGCGATACCAGAACCTGCGAATTTGTAAGTTGTCCTGGCGTCGTGAACTGGTGTTGGCGGCTGAGAGACCATACCCTTGTCACGAAACTGCGAGAACTTCTCCATGTAGGGCCCGTCTTCTGTACCTCACCAAAATCGCAAAAACCGAGAGAAATTTGTCAGAATCGTATGAGGAGAAAATGGAGGCAACATAGCACAAATGATACGTGCCCCAGGTCGCGAGATCATTTGTTCAGAAGGCAAGGGAACCCAGAGAAACTGACTCAGGTGAAAGACCGGTACATGGCGAGGAAATCGGGTAACCTGGCTGGAATTGGAGAATGGGCAAGAAGTGCCAGAACAGGGTGGTGTACCAGTGGACCCAAGACTCCAGTCACTCGGCATCGGCGCCGAAGAGGAATTTGTGGATTCAGCAGTTGACGATGATGGAACGACTGATGAAAATGAAAGATAGTGGTTCCAGTTGAGTGCCAGTGGTCAAGTGGCATCTATCGTCGGTAGTGCTACAGTACAGTGGAAGAAGCCTTTTGAGCCTTTCACATGTCATTCAGTGCCAGCGACGCACTGGCACAGGCCAGCCTGAGATCACGTGGACAAAGGTCAACCAGATCGTGCCGCTTTTACTGTTTGAAACCACCCCTATCATCTCGACTCGTCTTCCAGTATCTCTTGGCCGATGCAAGATCATCCACAGACTTCGGAATCAAGGCAAAATTCCGGGGATCATTCAAATATGGGCCATCTTGCTGAAGATATCAAGTTTCCCAAAAAGCCATTCTTCGGTTTGAAATTTCTTTCTACGTTAACAGCAGACCCCAGACTTAGGTCTGATACAAGGTCGATATGTCTGAGTGCTGCATTCAAGGCTCCCTGTGGCAAGGCTCTCCCACCGGGGTAGAGAAGACCCAGAGATGTCTCCCAGTGGCACAAATTGGATTTCCCAAGCTTCATCGCTCGCAATTCGAAACCGGTGAGAGAGGGTGAGATCCTCGCATGTGCTCAAGATCTCCGCTCTCAGTACAAACGAGTAGGGGCCATTGGCTTCTGCTTTGGAGGCTGGGCTGTTTTCCGACTAGGTGCCAAAAGCAACGGCAACCTGGTGGACTGCATCTCTACAGTGCATCCAACATGGCTGGAGAAGAGCGAGATAAAAAAAACATCAGTGTACCGGTTCAAATCATGGCCCCGGAATTCGACCCGGAGTTCACCCCAGCGCTCAAGGGATTTGCCAACAAGACTATTCCCACGCTGGGGAGTACCCTATGATTATCAGTACTTTCCTGGGATTGAGCATGGCTTTTTCCTCGAGAGGAGATGAAAAGAACCAGGTCGAGTACAGAGGAATGCAGAGAGCCAAAGCCGCCGCTGTGGCTTGGTTTCGCTTTTGGCTGCATAATTCGTAAAGTACGGCAAGGTAAACTGAGGAAGGGAACCTCGAGAGAGTGGAAACACGAAAGGGCACAAAAGATCGCCTCGAGACAGTCGGACTACGTATTGACAGTCACAAATTGTAGATACGATGCTAGCTCAAATTATAAGCGAACTTAGTAATGTTGCAAAGGGATACTACCTGTATTCTTGGCGATGAAGGTTACAGAGGATTTGAGATCCTGAGGGCTGATAGTGGAGGAAACAGATCAGCCAAGTCTAAGAATGCCAGCCTATCCAAAGAGGTCCCTGGATCAAAGGGAAACAGTCTCCAACGAGTTGCATAAAGAATGAGACGATCAGTCGACGTCATCGAAGGCCTTCGCTTCAAAACCACCGAGGCCATGAGGCGTGTTCAAGCATTGGATGTTCTTCCCCCACTTTCCTTTGCTCGTATTGAGACGCCTGGCTGGCCAATGGCTAGGAGCAAAAAGCTTTCTTGGGCTCCATCTGAAAGACCCGAACTAAGCGTGAACGAAATCACGAGTCGAGGTGAGCTAGGCTGAATTATTTGATAAGGCATGGCAGGATTCCTAGGGCACGAGCCACACCAGTCCTCTTATCTTACTTTTCATTGCCTTCACACTTCCTGCCGCTTCTACTGTCGGGTCCTCTAATGTCTGTAGGTCAAATTCGAATCTCTTCCTATGTCTGGAACCATCAGTGGAGTTGGCCGGAATTTGGTTAGACGAGACATGTACGCTTCCACAATAGTGGCATGAGCATGGATTCGTCCGTTCTATACGAGATCGAACAAGGCCTAGGCCTGTTGTCCGGGATCAGATTCAACATCCAGCACGAAGGAATGTCTTCACATGTGCCCCACTGGACCCACAGCTTTGCGCCGTTTGACGAGCCTTGCGTGACTGGGCTTCAACCTGATCATTGGCAGGTAGGCCACGGAGAAATGGTACTCTTTGAGAGCTCCGGTGTCTCTGTACCCTACCTGACCGTTCTTGGGATCAGAATGATGTCCAATCCTGATGTATTCGTATCGTTCCCGGTCATGTCGCGGAGCTCCAATATCGACGTCCCCGACAACAGTCTGAAGGACGCTCCGGTACAAGGAAGAGTCAGGGTAACAGATCGATCCCTGCGACGAGATATTCACTTTGCGCTATACTCTCTTGCCAACATGGAAGTCACTATTTGGGCTTCTCTCGAGGCAATCACAGCGATTGATGGACACGGAACTGCCCCTTAGTGACAGTTCAAGTCCATGGTTGCATTGGCGCTGCCCTGATTTATGTTCCCGCGAGTTGCCGCTCTTCGCTTTGAATCAAGTTGTATTGATAGCCTCAAGCCCTGTCTCGGCTAAATTCCCAGGCCGCTTATTCCAACACACACTCGTACAGACAGGTAAGTAGCATTGCATCAAAGAATCATCCCTCTGCGCTCCCATAGTGCACCGAACCCTTGACCACGAATGATACCATCGGCATGTCGCCATCTCGAGAAAATCAGAGTCCGGCAGACGAAAAAAAAAAAAAAAAAAAAAGAGCAATTGCCAAAACGGATCAAACGATCAACTATCGCAAGCTAGGGATAATCCCAAGACAAAACAAATACTATCAGCGCAAAGCCATTGCGATCGAACTCCAACAGGGAATTTTCCGTATGGGGCGAATACCTGGGTGAACAGAGGGACGACGCCTTTATCAACTGGAAAAAGGAGATGGTGAGAGAAGTCGGGAAAGACCATGATGGACTAAATACATTGCTATCAAAAACATCAAACTAAAGACTCCAGACTTCATCGGGATTTGATCATGTCGGAGCTATCGACAGAGAATTCGGATACTTTAATTTTCACGCAAATTCCCCAAAGGCCCCGGGTTCTTATTCATGGGTTGACACTCCCCACCGAATATGCCTCGTCAATATAACACCAACCTCCTATGCGCTCAAAGAACTCCATCTTCCTGTCCGCCACCCACATTGGCTGTGTGATTGCCAGATATGGCTCATAGTAAGGCTTCGTGAGCTGGTGTTCCCTGAACCATTTCTCATCTTTGGTCCATACTTCGGTGAAACGAAATGTTCCCGGTTCAGCTCCAGAATGGAAGACATCAAAGAGTATACACTCTGGTTCGCGAATGCAGGCAGCCCAGCAGGGCCGCAGGGCCGCGAGAAAGGGCTCGACGTTGCTGGGATCCACTTGGATTGTAACGTGGAGGGTCGTATAAGTGCTTCCCAAGGATGGAACCATCGCCATGATTGCTATGTGATGAGTCGAATTCGGGATTTTCAAAGAATCGGAGGGTTGTCAAATAGTGAATTCTGAGGCGTGAGAATTGACAGATAGAGCATGAGGGCAACATGAAGGCTGCCTATTTATGTAAATACATGTTTCTTCTTTGAAGGAGGCATTCGGGGCCCTTGCCAAAAACGATTCACTTTTACATATGCTCTGTGGCCTTACGTGTCTCTTTGGCCTCGATACTTACTAATATATAGACGCTGGCGCATGCACTTCCGATTCTGGAAGATCTGATAAAATTTGGGAAATTTGGTCTTCATGGTGACGAGTGACAAGCCTTATAACTAATGAACTGCTTTGTCAGCCGTGAGGTGCGGATGGAATCGTAGCTTCGGAAAAATGGCGTCGCAGAGATCGGATATTACCATGGGGTTAGACGATGGTCTCTCCATACTTTTGAATACTGAGGCCTTTCAGGGCCTCTTATTTGTGTTTTTCTAAGGGAGGGGTCTGGGGGTACACCGTCCAACCAAGGTAGGCTTTCCCTTTGGCATCCTAGGACACAGGCGGAGTTTCCCACCTTCCTGTTTGAGCATCCCCCTACTGCTGGCGCATGACAGTTCATCTTCCTCCAGTGTCGCAAATTGTTTGTTTGGGCTCGAAGGAGACTGATTCCCAGACAGTTGGAAGAAATCCTGGCACAACCGTATCGTTGGCCTGCTGGGCTTTGGTTGACTCGAAAATCATCCTCCATCATCCTCCATCATGGCGGTATCATCATTCGATGTGACGGCCATTAGGGCCCAATTCCCAGCCCTTGCACAAAAGCAGGTCTTCATGGACAATGCCGGTGGGGCTCAAGTTCTCAAATCAGTCATCACGGCCATATCAGACTACCTGTCTCTCAACAATGTTCAGCTTGGCGCCTCATACCCAGTCTCTCAGACTTCGACGACAAAGTTCAATGAGGGCCACGAAGCAGGGGCAAAGTATATCAACGCCTCACCAGAGGAGGTGGTCTTTGGTCCCTCGACGACTCAATTGTTTCGAAATCTGTCAATCGCTTTGAAGATTGATCCCGGGTCTGAAATCGTCTTATCGAATCTCGATCACGAAGCAAACCTTGCCCCTTGGGTCCAATTGGCAGAGTGGAAAGGGCTCACCATCAAATGGTGGATTCCGACTGAAAACACCAACTCGAATCCCAAACTGGAGCCTGAAGACTTGAGGGCATTGCTGACGTCCAAGACACGATTAGTCTGCTGTACGCACACTTCCAATATCTTGGGTACTATCACAGACATCGCGGCCTTGTCAAAAGTCATTCACGAGACGAATCCAAACACCTTGCTCTGTGTCGACGCTGTGGCGTATGCTCCTCACGCCGCAATTGATGTCAAGGCCCTCGGCGTGGATTTTTACTCCTTTTCGTGGTATAAGGTGTACGGACCTCATGTGTCCATGCTCTACGTCCGTGAGAAAGCGATGTCACAGCTCCAGAGCCTCGGCCATTATTTCAAACCCGGAAACACAGTGGAGGAAATGCTGGGTCTTGCTGCGGGCAATTATGAATGTGTCCAGTCCATACCGCAAGTTGCGGCATATATTGATCAAGTGGGTTGGGACTCGATAGCTGTGCAGGAAGAGACAATCCAGGAGATATTCCTGTCGTACCTGCGATCAAGGCCAGATCAAATCAAGATCTATGGGGAGCCTTCTTCGAATAGAAAATTGAGGGTACCGGTTATAAGCTTCAGGGTCAAGGGCCGGAGTTCACTGGGAATTATTGACGCCATTGAGGCAAAGTCTCCGTATGGGTGCCGCAGTGGGCATTTTTATAGCAAGCGTCTTTGCGAGAATGTGCTTGCTATACCTGACAGTGACGATGGGGTGGTCAGATGTTCGCTTCTCCATTATAATACGGTGGAGGAAGTCGAGGGCCTGGTGAAGGTGTTGGATGAGGTTATTAAACAGGGAGCAGAAAACGGTGTCCAGGCTGCCAAGTAGGAAAGGTATTGCTCACTGGTAAGAGGCGAAAGCATCTTCTGGGTAATACATCGCCAGCTGGATTCTCTCTCATTCTCGCCCTGAAATCCTACTGGCACCTGTTACCCGATAACGCCAGAGACTTGTCCTGCAATGTCGGTGAGAAAGGGTCTACCAAGGCAGGAAGAAGGATGGTCGTGAAGCCCTGAATTGTGATTGGCGGATTCCCAGTTTGGTAGAATGTTTACATCACGTGATTGACAAGCTACCCTTTATGCTTGCCCACTTTCTGTGTCTCAATTCCCATCATCTCTGCTTCACCAAGACATATACACAACCTGACCGGTGAACTCTGTCGTTCTTGTGTGAATAAACTATGGTCCTCCAGATTTGTCAGAGCCCTCGATTGGATCAGGAACATTAACTCCCCTGCAAAATGGCCGACACAGAAAACGTATGTTTTGAATCACCGTCATCACCCAACACAAACAAGACCCTCACTGACGTGGACACCCAGTTCGTCTCTCAACTTCCTCAACCAACTCGGTATGCACACGCATCGCCACAGAGACAGCTGACCGAGTTGACTGCGTCGGCAAACAACTCGCGAAGTGCGATGCCTCCTCCGACATTCACCAGCCATAAGCGACAAGGATCGAATTGTTTGTATGGTCCGAAGGAAGAGACGGGAGATACTGACATTGATGGCAGTACCTGAACCAGCATCCAAGAGGAAAACATTAGCCGAACGCGCTGGCGAGCCTATCAAACCTATTGCGGCTGCTCCCAAGTCCAATGCTCCCGTCAACACGACATTTATGTCCGCTGCTCAATCACGAAATCCTCCCACCTTTTCCCAATCATATCGGAGCAATGCCCAATTCTCAAAAAGTACATGCACCTTCTCGGCCAGCGTCGGTAGTGGCATTCGGGCCCCCTCGACCCATCCCAGCTCCAGTGTTGCACGACCAAAGTCCTCACTCGCAAAAGAGAGGGGAACGAGACCGGCCGATTCGAGGCCTGCTACATCATTAGGTACCCGTGGAGGAACTCGGGATGATGCCAATAACAAACGTACGGCCCCTGTTTCCAATAACCCCCCCTTTGATTTTGCCACCCGTTTTCCCGCGAGGAATGAATCCGTGATCGTGAAAAATGGCCTTCGAAGCATTTCCTTCGGCAAGGAATTTGGTCCTCCCGTAAGACCATCGAACGCGAAGCGCGAGTTTTCAATCACATCTTCGGTCACCTCTCAGCTCTCAGAACTCTCGTTGGGTCGGCAAACACCAAAAGCGAAGGAGGCTCGACCTGATAACCCTTCCAGAATTCCTCGGCCATCACCATGGATTCAGGCACTTCCGGAGAGGCCCTCGTTCACTCCCCAACCATTTCCTCAAATATCTCCCCTTCCCCCCCACAAAACAAAGGCAGGAACCTTTCTGACGAAGTATTCTGATCTAGAAACTTGGGATCCCGAAGAACAGTATGGCAATATGGAAAGAATGTATGAAGATGTCTGCAAGCATTACAAGCAGGCAATGGAAGATAATGTGGAAGCAAAAGAAATCAACAATACCTACAAGTCGACCATTGCGAACCTTGAACGAGAACGGAGGGACGTTACCGAATCTATGATCGCACTGAGATGCGAATTGGAAACGACCAAATATCGACTTGAGGCCGCGGAACAAACCAACCACGAACTAAAACGAGATCAGGAAGAGGAAGTGGAAGATATCAAACGTGAAAATCGAATCGCATTCGAAAATATTCGCCAGTCTCATCGCGAGGACGTGGATCGTCTAAAGGCTGATCACAGAGAGGAGATACGAGAATTGAAGAGAAGACTGGAAGGTGAGATTGAAAGTGAGAGAAGTCAGCGGTTGCAGGCTTTGAGCCAAGTTTCCACTCAAGGAGCCCTCGAAAGACAACGCCATCAAATAGACCTGGAATCCAAAGAACAGGAGATTCGAGGCATCAAAGCGGAAGTGGAACGACTCAAGGCGGACCTTGAAAGAGAGAAACTTCTCAATGATGATCTTCGCCGCAATCTTTCCGTAGCAAGTGCAAATGCAGTGACCATGGAAGGCGCCAGACAGGCGCTCCAGGCGAAGATCGAATATCTGGAATCAGACAGCAAATCTCAATCCGAAGCATATGCAGCCATGGAGAGGAGAATGAATGAAGCTCTCGACAAGGCCGTTGAATGCGAAGAAAAACTTAGGAAGGAAGAAATACTTCGACGAAAACTGCACAATCAAGTTCAAGAGCTGAAGGGTAACATTCGCGTGTTCTGTCGAGTCCGACCGACCAACAGCAGTGATGACGCTGAAGAGGCGGCCAAGATCACGTTTCCAGAGACTGACGAAGAATTGAAAGATATCGAAGTGAAAGGCCCAGAGGAGACCAATAGTCTTGGAAAGGTCACGACCAAGACGCACCAATTTTCTTTCGACCGCGTGTTTGATCCGTCGAGCAACAATGGTGAGATTTTTGAGGAGATCAGCCAGCTTATTCAATCGGCACTGGATGGATACAATGTCTGCATCTTTGCCTACGGTCAAACAGGTTCAGGAAAGACATTCACAATGTCGTCAGAGGATGGTATGATCCCACGGGCTCTACGTCAGATTTATAGCACAAGCAAAGAACTTGAAAGCCGGGGGTGGAAGTATACGATGGAAGGCAGTTTCGTTGAAGTGTACAACGAGGAGCTGCGAGACCTGCTCGGAAAAGATGGTGACAATGAAAAGGGGAATAAAAAGCATGAGATTCGACATGACATGGCAACCTGCGAAACGACCATAACAGATGTGACCACGGTGAATCTCGATAGTCAAGAACAAGTCGAAGGAATCCTGTCTCAAGCCATGTCGAGACGGTCGGTGGCGGCGACCAAGGCCAACGAACGAAGCAGTCGAAGTCACTCCGTCTTTATTCTCAAGCTTGCTGGTCACAACTCCATCACCGGCCACCAGAGCAAAGGGACACTGAACTTGGTGGATCTTGCTGGTTCAGAACGCCTTTCACATTCCAAAGTCGAAGGGGCCCGTTTGAAAGAAACTCAAAATATCAATAAATCACTTTCCTGCCTCGGGGATGTCATTGGCGCATTAGGCCAACAACAGGCGACTGGAAGTTTCAATCCCCGAGAAAGTGTCAATGGGGCAAGCGGCGGCAGCTCCGGAAGTGCTCATATCCCATATCGAAACAGCAAGTTGACATACCTCTTGCAATTCAGTCTTGGTGGAAACAGCAAGACGCTCATGTTTGTCATGGTGGCCCCGGAGAAGAAGTGTCTTTCCGAGACGATTACGAGTCTGAAGTTTGCGGACAAAGTGAGCCGAACGCGGATTGGGGTTGCGAAGAAGACGAATGGGAAGTGATTTGGTTGAGGACTCTTGGAGAGCTCTTCGCGTTGAATATTGGAGTGTTGGAAGGGGGATGTCCTGCTCAGCCGGTATCTTTGGAATGGTGTTCAAAATCGGAACGAATCACCACGACTGACTCGGAGTTGGAATTGTCAAATTGCTGACAGATGCTGCGAGATTGGATCTGGTTGGTACGATTGAATCACTGCGAGTGTTGCCGACACTGACGTACTTTGAAACAGCCTGGAGAGTAGGGAGCCTGGTAGCTGGAATCTGGCGATTGAATTGTTTTGATATAAAGACGTGAGTTCACCGATGACAATGAGAGATGTTTTTGGTTCCCAGATGAATTGACTACTTCTTGTATCTCCTTCATGGGTTGTCGTTCTTTGTCTACCTGAATACGTGTACTTATTCCAAAGGTGCCGGAAGGGCTTGCAACACCATTCCTCAGTCAGCTATCGCCGGCCTAAATGAAATCCGAGAAGAAAAGGTTATTAGAGCATATTTGTGGTCGTTTTCGTGGTCCAGTCAAGTCCGGATCTCCTATTCCTACTACATGGTATACCAGACCTTCTTGGCATCGAGTTGTTTTCTTCAATCTCCCTGGTTCTTGTCCCTTTTTATCTCCTTTACGATCCCTCTGGAAATCCACTCGGCGATCCCCATCGTCGTGATCATGGGATTCACCCCTGTCGCACTCGGACACACACTCGCATCCGCAACATACAGCCCATCGATATCCCAGACTTTACCATGCTTGTCGACGACGCCATTCTTACTCGACGAACTCATGCGGCATGTGCCCATCTGATGCGCAGAGCCCACCATGCAGGGGTCCGGGCTCGTTAGGCCTCGAGCACGTATACTTGCAAGCCAGCGGCAGAAAGACTCTTCATCCACGTCCACGTCTGTCGAGGTGTTGACGGCCACTGATACTGATGATGGCCGCACCCACCGCTCTCCGCCCGGATGGCATGTGTCAATCTCCGAAGCGCCCATGACGAATTGAATGCGCGCAGCGGCCAATTGGCCTGCGAGCAGGTGCCGGAGGTCGCGGGACGAAGGGGTATAGGCGATGCGCACCCGGCGGCGCGTTGGATCTGACGGGTCGAAGTATACACGCCCGCTGTCGGCGTCCCGGGTAATGGAGATGAAGCCGGCACCGTGGCCGTGTTTGGCGGCGTTGAGTCTCAGGTCGAGGGCAGACGAGAGGATGGGTTTTTGCGTTCGGGTGGCAGGTACGCGGAACGGTAGATTGGCGATCCCGAACGCGGGGGTTGAGCAGATGGCTTCGATCTTGGGGCCGTGGTGCGCTCCGTCCTGATCCTCGAGCGAAGTCACGGCGACAGTCAATATCGAGCCTTCCCATGGGTTCGTCCGTTGGGGCCAGACGGACCAGATCGTGCTGGTTGGGTGGAGATGCAAGTTTGCGCCAATGTGTGGGTTTATGAGCCCGCTGCGCAGGAGGACGAGAGGCGAGTTCAACGCTCCTGCAGCCACGATGATGCGCTTAGCGGAGATTGCGAGGCTGCGTGTGGTTTGGCGATCGCGTGATGTCCACGTTGCTTTGACGCCAGCGGCGGTTTTGCGGCCATCGATGGTTTCGAAGACGATTTCTTCCACGAAGGCGCCTTCGACGAATTCGGTGCCGTGGACGGCGGCGTCGGGGAGCCAGCAGTTGGCGGGCCCTTGTTTAGTGGTGCTTGCGCAGCCGTACGTGCAGTAGCCGCAAAAATGGCGCTTTGACGCCGTGTTCTGCGGTACCACTTCAACGTTCATGCCCAGGCGTCGCGCGCCTTCGAGGAGCATGCTGTTGGTGAAGTTGTGCTCGATCTTGCGTAGGGATTCTAGGTCTGTGGCTTTGGCCACGCCCATTCTTTCACAGACGGTGTCGAGGCAGTCCTGGAACTCGACGCCCGTGAAGTGAGGGAGGCCGCTGGCCGCCCATTCTTCGCGCACGGCGTATTGTGGCTGTAACGATGCGGACCAGTTGACAGTCCCCCCGCCGCCAAATGTGCTGCCGGCTAGTACGACTATGGAGCCGTCGTCGGATGCGACGAATCCGCCGTTTTCCATTAGGTGCTCTTTTCCTTCATTGGGGGACATGGGGAAGTGTGTCGAGGGGAAGTGATAGGATTTCTCTAGGACGAGGCATTTGAGTCCTGCTCGGGAGAGGTGGGAGGCTGTAACCCCTGCTCCACAACCAGAGCCGATGATGATGACATCGGTGGTGAGGCTGGCGGGTGTTGCTGGTGAAGTGAAGTCGTGGAATTTGAAGGCGTAGCTGGGATTTCGTTCGATGTGTTTGGGTGTTGGGGGAAATCCGATCACACGGGGGATCTGGAGAGATGTGGCGATCCATGATTGTCTTGCTAGACCGCTGACGGAGCGGAAGACCGCGCGGAGGGGCGGAAGGCGGGAGTGGGCCCAGTTGCAGACTATACTCGTGCGGGTTAGGAGGTCTTGAGTGTGGATTGGCGAAGAGTAGCCCGTGAGCAGATAGGATCCCACTGTGGTATTGAGGGCGGAGAGGACGAAGCCTAGACCTTTGACACCTGAGGGTGGGATGAATAGTGTGAATTGCCGCGCCACATGTTCCCTGAAGGCTGGTTCTGGGACGATTGATTCTGCGAGATAATCTTTAACTACATCTTCGGAGGAGCCCTCGGGGAGGTATTGTTTGAGCTTAGAGACAGCTTGGTCAAGCTCCGCGGGGGAGATCGCCGAGTTCTTTTCATCACTGCTGACGGAGATGGAGGGAACAAACACTCCCATGATCGAAAAGAGAATGTCCCACTGTTCTCTGGTGAAGACCTCGACTTCAGGGGTGGGGGGCAGAGGTGAAGGAAGTGACGCAAGGCTGGATAGGACCTCTGTTTGAGACATTTTTCTCTGTCGCAATTATTCTGGGAGGCAATTGTACACCGGCTGATTAAGATGGACGTCTTCTGAGATGGTGAGAATCGTGAGGTTTGCTTGATCCCCAACTCAGCTTATTTGAGCAACACGGTTGCCGTTCGAATAGTAATTGCCGGTATAGAATCAGGCGGACAATGAAGATAGATTTGAATTTGTTATACAACTTGGAGTCTAAACCTCGGGCGGGGAGTAAGCGACAAAATGGAACCCGAGTCGGTCCCCCGCGGAGTATATTTTTCGTACAACATATTCCATACCCCATGGGATTACCGAGTTGGGTTGGCGTTCTTCAGCTTCCCGTTGGTACCTTGGATTGGTCCTGGCCCAATCCTTCAGGATCAAGGGCAATAGGGCCGCCGGCTTCGTTTTTGTTCGATCAAATTAACGAGGACAAGTGAGTCGAGCGCAGACGGCCACCGGAGGAGCACACCGCGCTGTCATCCATTGCTAAAAAAGGCTGACGTGGATGAGAACCAGTAGTTTTGGAATTCCTTTCAACGAGATGAGATGCTAGTGGCAGAAGTAAAAGCGGTACTCAATGCGAAGAAGATCGCGAAGATTTGTGCTTTTCGATTACAAGAACCCAGGCCGGCTCTGGTTTGATACAGACTGACATGCGAAACACAACCATGCAATGCCGACCGGAGGCCGTCGATCGAGGCGTTTCAATCTCCGGGCTGTCCTGAAGCTCATCCTTCCGCTTGAATCTCGTAGCTGTTGGACTTGTGTTTGGGTTCGAATCGAAAATCTGGATGCGCAGGACCCAGGAACATTTCGCTGTCATTTCCTGTCAACATTGATTCTCTGGAATCCCAAGGATAAAATTCCTTACCTGATCTTAATCCAGTCCTTGTAATTATCACTGGCCATCAATGTCTCGAGTTCGTCTCTTCCCCTATGTCGAGGTGGTCGATCCTGAAGGTTTGGTGGAAGATACTCCAACATTCCGACAGGCACATATCGACAAGCAAAGCTCAACCACTCCAGCAAGAATCGTCGTGTCTGTCCAACTCCGATTTCATCACTTCCCCATGCTTCCAGCCCATATCTGCAAAATCGCTCCACGATTTGTAGTCGTTCCGAGGATGACTTGTCCAGATACTGGCCTGCTGCTATCTCTTCGAAAAGCCACGGTTTGATGAGTGCACCTCGTGCCGCCATGACTCCATCCACTCCTGCATGTTGGAGATGATCATAGTAGTGCTCGTGAGAGTACACATCTCCGTTTCCAATGAAAAACACCCGGCCATTTTTCGACCCTTGGTGTCCATTCGGCTGATCTCGTTCGTCCGTCTCGTGAATCGTGTCAGTCAAGGCATCCGCCTTCTCATTCAGTTCCCCGATCAAGGTCGCTGTTTCTGCAATGTATTCCCAGTCTGCTGAACGGGTGTATCTCTGCTGTCTTGACCGTCCATGAAGGGTGATGGCCGCCACGCCACAAGAGCCACCTCCTGGGCTCCGTCCACCACCTAGAACCAGCCTCTCTACCAGCTTTTGTGCCGTCGGTTGTCTGTCACGCGTACCAGTTCGGATCTTCACTGTGACTGGAGTTTCGCCCGAGACCGTGTTCATTCCACGCAGCATCTTCTCCAACTTATGGGGTGAGTCCATGAGAGCAGAGCCGGCTCCTTCTCTGTAGACCAAGTCAATGGGGCATCCCGCGTTGAGATCAATCACTCGGAAACCTTTGGGCATCAGCGACGTGAGGACTTCCGTTGCTTTGATTGCTAACCACGGTTTGTTTGCCGCAATCTGAGCGCCAAATCGGAGGTCATGGCTCGCGTCATAGTTATACACAATGTTGACATCGCTTTTGAGTGAGAATGTAGGCGGCCGAACTTCCGATTCATGTGCCTTGATGAGAGCCCACTCCGATTTCTGCCCCTGCAGTAAGGGTAAAGACATGGCCATTTCAGAATAGGTAAACGTCGCTCCCAACGAAGTACATAACCGCCGAAAAGGCAAATTTCCCTGTGTTGTTAGAGGGGCCAGGATTGGTGTCTCAACTCCGAAGTAGAGACGGCGTTTCTCGGATGGTCGAAGTGGAGGGTCTTGAAAGGCAGCTCTGGAGTCGATCTGGTCTTCCCCATTCGGCACACCTTGTTCAGTTTCTGGTTCTGGTGACGACGAATTTCGCACGGATCCATTTGCGCGGGCTCCATTTTTCCCTCTTTGTCCTCGGCCTTGGTCGGCTGGGTCTTGAACTCGTGTGTTAAGCCACTTTAAGAATTCATCTGATTTGGGTGTAGAAACTTTCCTCTTGGTCAACTCTATTCTCTGCTGAGGCGGTAAAATGTTGGCAACCCCGGTCTCCTCGCCCTCCGAGGAAATCTGCGCATGTTTTGCAATCAGATCTGCATCCTCAACCAAGACAAGTTCTGATCCGGAATCACCACGTTCGACCTCTTTGGAATGAGAGCCGGCGAAACGACATTTCCAACCAGCAGGACATCTTCCCTTTATTTCCCACACGGGACACAGGCCGTTGAAGGTGGTGAGGTCTTTTCGCTTGTATTCTTTCAGGTATTTTCGGATATCATGCTCGAAACGACAATCGTCTCCATAAGGGCATGGATCAGGAGAGAACTCGGGTCTGTGAACTCGAGTGGAACACAAACCTACTTCGTCTCTGGAACTACCATAATCGCGAGCTTTGTTCTGACCTGACTTCTTTTCGCGATGTTTACCTTTGGGTTTTTGGCTGACGGGCTGTCTGTCATTATGACGGATTGCTTCTGCAGCATCGTCATCCGGGTCATGGTGACGAGACTGTGACTCTATCAGATCCTCAGGCTGGATCAAGAATTCTTTCTTGATAGGGGCGGTCCCTCTTCGCCGTTTATCTCGCGGATGTGACGAGATGACGGCTGGATCTAATTCCTCAACATTGCGCTTAGCAGGGACCGAAGAAGAATTCAATTGTTGAGAGTCTGAAGCAGAAATGGTGTGGTCGTGTGAGGCACCATTACGCAATGGCCGAGACGGGTACGCAGAATTTTCGGCCATTGCTTCAGAGAGAAAGAGATAGCTGAAGTTTGACCTTGGCTAGAAGCAAGGAAAGGTCTTTACTCCAAATTCAGCCTGCGTTCAATCCTGTGACCACTGCACGAAGCAACAGTAAATGAGAGACCGATTCGAAGATCGAGATGAACCTGTCGAGGCATTGTGTGAGTCTTCGCCAAGTATCTCGGAAATCTTTCCCGAAATATGCGGCTACTATTTTTTTCAATAGGCCGAGCTGCCTGCACGGGCGTAGGAATCAATCAATAATCAATCAATCAGTAAACACCATTTCCAGCATGATTGACATTTGAGGGTTTCTGCCTTCCGGTTGAGGTCAACCGTCTACTCTGATTTCAGACACGCTTCTCGAATGCATGCGAACTGACTACAAGTCTGTTCTCGGGGGACAATCAATCCAGGTGTGCACAACCCACCCACCACACAACCGGATTGAGATCAGGCTGCTTTGAACAAGACGCTGAACACTTCAGTTGTCCAATCGAACGCGTACCTCAGCAAGTATAATGAAGGGTTCGTTTCTTGTTTTTTCTCCTGAGGCTGTGCTTACCGCGTAACGTGATTGGACCTCGGCCGCGATGTTTACTTGAAGGATTCAGGACTCTTCTTAAAGGGGTATAGGTTTAGGCCCAATACCGGGCGATCGAACGGGATATAGTCTCGCAACTCACTCCACTTCTCGAGAGTAGATAATGTGATGAAACCTCTCAACGTATAGCTTTCTCGGTACTCGGAGTTTGGAGTTTCTGCGATTCCTCAAAAGTCTTTTCTTGCTGCCGTCTCATCCATCGACAGATTAACCAGCACTGGCGGGCCCATCGCATCATCCTCGACGACTTGAAGCATTTCATCCACAATATGTGTTGCTTCACCCAAGCATCCGGGGCGCACCGCCTTGAAATCGCCATTCGCCTTTTGCTCCTTCTTAACGACTCCGTGGGGCCATGAGACTCAGTTTCGCGACTTTGCTCCCCGTCTTCATGGTTCTGGGATCGATCTTTGGCGTATCCATCATGTTCAATCTCTTCCTCACCTGTTTTAAAATAACTTCAAAACGTCCAAGATTGAACAATGCCAATGAGGTCCGGCGTCCGTCGCTCATTATTTTGGCAATTGAGCTTTGAGGCGTGTTGACGTTTCTCGTCCTCTTCACCTGGACGACCATTGAGACTACCCACACTAATCGCTGGGAGCATAAGCCGACGATCTTAATGGTGTATGCCTCTGTCGGAGCCCTTGTTGCACTGTAGGTAAAACCTTATTCACTGGCTGGGAAAAAGGCTCCCTCCAGGGTCCCATCTCCCCTTCTAGCAGATGCGGACTGACCTTGCCTTTCAAGTTTCATGCATGGCTGGATGGCTGTGACGAATCTCCTTCGGTACATTCACTATCGACTAAGCTTGAGCGCACGACGCCCTTACTGCCACCAAGCGCTTGGAGATAAAGAAGGGAACCAGCCTGATGTACCTCCGTCATCTTTCCTGGAAGAGCAAAGAGTATCAGCTCCAAGAGAGAGCATTTCAGCAAATTCTGTTGGCGAAGCGGAAGGCGACAGTCTCATCGTGAAGATATCCAAATAAACAGCACTGTGAGCAGTCCAAGAGAGATACAATTGTTCCCCTGCTCAAGAGAAGATTTGCTGGAAACAGAGTCGACATATGTTTATCTTGTATCCAGGCTGATGGAATGCCGTGGGGGGGTGTAGGAGTGGTGCGGAAGGGATGAGGAAGCTTCATTGGAAGGGTCGATCCTGTTATGTTGATCTGAAAACGATATCTGTCCTATGGAGGTGTGAATCATATTTTGTCAGTACATTCAGTCTTTTAGAACCACTTCTTCAGGCCAAAGAAGCCTTCAGCGGCCTTTTCATGATGTCCGAAAATGTTCGCTGTAAGCCATGGGGAAGTGTCACATCCGGGTTTGTGTGCCAAATAGCAGAAGGGTCCAGTAATTTGCAGCCTCTTTCAGCATGTCTCACCTATGTGGCGGGTCTGTCGGGTTCAATCACAGCTGAACCCGAAGGTTAAAGGGTTGGAGGCTGCGCCATCCACAACCACAGAGGACAGTGCTGACCTTCCAGAAATCCTTGGCAGATACAGGGGGGTCCAACCACCTCACGAGCAGCTCGGTGTATTTCCTCCGTGTCAAGTGCCAATGTCATCAATAGTCTGGACGACATTGGAAACGTTATTCATTGCGGAAATATGAGAACCTGACACAGAGAAGCGAGGTTCCATGTTGATGGCTGAACGGGTTTCTCTGCCCTTCCCCCACTCGAGGAAATTTCAGTCCGAGGTTGGGATTCAACAATCATGGCCCATGCGGTACGAAATATCCCGCTGTGAAGACAGCACGGCCCTTCGCCGTCTCCTATCCATACGGGAAGTTGCCATCGTATCGTCAGCTGAGCCATAATCATTGGTCCTCCGCCAGATCTGAGGTGGCCACTAGTTGGCTCTAGGACTGAACAAATCCGCCAATTCTCGGGTGCATAGAGATCGGGGCACGAGCACAATCACCAAATTCAGAGTCCAACCCCAACCTAATCTCACCCACCGAATACGCTGTCAAGGCGTGTGTTCGGGGCTCTGAACGTCAAAAGGCAGCCACGATCAGTCCAGATCGAATCAGCCTCGACAGACCATCTCCAAATCCTTCGACGCCTCCTATAGCGTATCCTACCTTCTCATCACCTTCATGCATGTGACAATCTTACTCAAGAGAATGAGAGAACATCACCATCGTCAAAGATCCAAAGACTAGAGCGGTCGACTGTGGATGGAAACACACAGGACAGGGAATCAACTTGTGATTTTGCAGGTCAGGTCATACCGTACTGTTAGCAGAGAGATCGATGTTTGTTTGCCAGACTCTCCGACTGATTGACCACCAACACCAATACTCCGACCATGATCGGCATCGTTCATCGTCATCATCATTGCCTCGCAATTTGATGATCGCACTATCTCCGATACCCGTGTAGCCTCCAAGCTTGACCGCCCTCGTGGGTTGGTTCCTTGTACCTTTACAGAAATCGAGGGTCCAATGACATACACTACACGGCGCCTCGTCCAAATCTTGCAAAACCTCGGTACACCCCTTCCCACGGGGCTAGTGCCCATTATTGGCGGGTTATCTATATCACACCATTGACTTCGCCTTTACCCAAGTTAACAGGAACGATGAATTTCGGGTTGAGGCTAGTCATGATGAGAGCTCGATACCCTTGGGAGATTCTCTCGTATACGTCTCCAACGAGGCCGATGGGTCGTATGCTTGGTGCTGTTATCATAGTGATACCTTCTGCAATGTGTCGTGAGCAACCCCCCATCATATTTGGCGTCAGCTCTAAGCCTTACGAGACATCCATTGTTGGGAATTGGTCCGGTCTCGGGGTCCACCGAAAAGTGTAAAAATGGGCCGGGATGAGCGAAGAAGGTCAAATTCGGAGGGCCCCGCGGAACACTCCCACATGTTCTTCCCGTCTTTGTGCAATTGTACAGACAGATGTGGTCTTCATCCTGGAGCATAATGTAACATTTCGTCAGGTCATCCACGAAAGGAGTAAAGACGCCGTTGACCGAGACGGATGCGATTTCGCAATGAACCATGCAAATTGGACGGGGGAGAATCCGGAAGTTGCAAGCAATGACCCTCCACCAACAGCCGAACTTGGCAGACTCTTAGGGGGGTTGGTGGAATATTTTGAGAGTGTGTGTGAGAAGTCAAGCGACGGAGCGGTCAATAACTGGTAATGCAGTTCGGAGTAATTCCAGGAAGCACACCAAGTGATGCAAACAAGATACGTATAACGAAACGGGCGGCTTTGTCGTTTACGTTTCTTCTTGGAGGTTCACTACTGGCCTCGTCTCTATCAAACTCAAAAAGCGTACATGCCTGAGACGGAGAGTTCAATCTACGTTGATGATTCGAGTAACACCAGCTAATCACGAGCTTTCATCTGACGGGGCTCTTTGATCTCGTCAATGTCCGACCAGGGTTGTTCTAAACTTGTTCCATCCATCCCACGAATAGCGTTCGCCTGTGGCTCTGCATCATGATCACCAATGGCCCTTAAGCGTACTCTACCGGTTCGCTCCTCATGTTCTTAACTACATCTTGATGTTCCGATCATGATCGAACTTCTAGTGGCATCGCGTATGAACGACAGCTCTTCAAGCGATCACTGGAACAGCAGAAGATGAAGGAGGAGCCACAGTTTTAGATCCGGGCCCAGGTGAGATTATGAGATTTGCTCTTGCCTCCTACATTCGTCACGGTCTGACGACGGAGGTGATTTCGCATCTAAGATCCGACTGTCCGACCCACGTTATACTTCGAGAAAGCCATGGGCTTCTTTCCACGCGGCGCCACAAATCTCCAATCTCCAGGACTCGAGAATCCTGACACTGACTTCTCCTGATTAGGAAGGATCTGGGTCAAAAGGGACTGTTGCTCCATAGGCGTTGATGGAGCTGAGGGCAGCAATAATGGTCCCCGAACAAGGCCGGCTGCAGCACGCCTTTTGATCCGGGCCTTGAGCGCGCCAAAGCCTGGCAGGTTGACAAGAGTGGGTGGGTGCCATGACAGACATGGAACCTTGTCAGGGTCACACTCGAGGCTTATCATTGGCGAGTTGGCCTGTTGACGGAGAAGCCCAAGAAGGTTTACCGACGAGCCACTGGACAACTTTGTCGCATTAGGGTCCATGGATGGAGAAGGCAAGGTGTTTGGGCTAAGTTTTCGCAAGTTGACCAAAGTTGGGTTCCGATCACCTCCTTTGGGAGGCTTCGGGTAGAATACCTTCCTGGTCAGACAACCTGACCTCCATTCCTACGAGTGCATTTTTGCAATCATGGATGAGCAATACAGAAATGAGCAAACAGGCAAACAAATGTCTTTGAAATCCAGCGGCAAATCTGAGGGTTTTTGCTATGGCGCTAACCAATGCGGTTCCAAAGAATCTTTGCTGGCCGACATCCGGCCTCAGCCTGCCACCCTCTTCAACGTCGAAGCTGGCTAATGGCAGGAGGGACTAGTGCGCACAATGACTCGGCGAGGCCATGGCTTTTCTAGCCAGTCGCTCCCTTTTTCCCGGATTTACTTTCATTTGTTACTCCTTCTGCTTCCGCTCTTCCTGTGAGATGTCTCTCCAAGAGCTTACTGATAGACTCCTTGATCGGCAACGCTCGGTGATGTAGAGGCTTGCTCGTTAGCAGCTGGAGATTCCCAAGCGGCTCTGCACCGGATTCCAAGCAAGAAGGTGTGCGGAATGGAATGGTTTGGAGGGGGGAGATGAGAGGAGTCACCGTCTTGGAGCCCGTGGTCGTTTTTGATCTAGCGGAATAAGTTGGAGGTGGTGGTCAATTCATCAACCCGTATATTTCTCTTCCTGTAGATGTACCATGTAATGGTGGTGGCCGAGGTACCTTATGGGACGACTTGGACCGTGGGAACACGGGAGGTGGCAGCAGAGTGGAAAGGCGGGTACCCACAGTCTCGAAGGAAGGACCCCGGCTGGGTTGCAGTATACGGGCGCTCAGTGCTCAACGCTGGGCCTGCAAGTTAGTTGCTCGGTGCCGCTACCGCCAACTCAACCGTCACGGTACGAGGTCTCTTAGTCGTAGCTCTTCACTGCACAGCACCGCGCTGCACTGGCTTACTAGGCGGACTCGGCTCGACCACTCACTACTATACCTTCTTCCATCATCCACCCGTCATTCTCCATTGTCCTGCTCGATATCCTCGCATTCTGTTCACTTGTCAATACGATTCTCGACGGGAGTATTCCACCATTGGATAAACAGCCTTATCCTCCATACGTATCTTCGCCTCAACGTCGCTCATTACCGCCTACGGCCCTCATCTCTCACCGTGCCTCATAACGGTCCGACGCCGGTTTCATAACGTCACAGCCTGCTATCAGCGACATCAACCGGGAACCTTCCTCTCTCCTCCACAACGATTCTCCAGAAAGTCTATGTTTGAATACGAAGAAAGTCCTCCGCCACTACATCACTCGCCTTCTCCGAGTGATCGGTCGCATTTCACCTCTCGAGATACGACCCCGGTGACCCCCGTCGGCAACGGGCCATCATTTGGAAAGAAGACAGAGAAGGACTTTCTACCCTGGTTCAGGAAACCCATCGACGTTGGACGCACAACTACAAGACTCTGCTTAGATACTTCGCTTCTCGAGCCCGACTTCGACGATAATACTTTCCCAACCTTTGGCGCCCCGCCGCCGGTTCGGGGAATGGCGAGCGTAGCCAATCCACTCGATATTTCCGTGAGACAAACCTCAACTTCTCCTCGTGGTAATCAGCCCTCGAACTTGACTTCCGCGTTACAACGAAGTGATAGCGAAGAGAAACGAATGATGGCCAACCAAGCCCCAGAAACTACTCTCACCCGCCCGATCCCCCAGATGCCTTCAAATGTGTCCGATGATTTCACGAGATTTGAACATGGCGCCCGACCGATTTCAATGAAAGGCATGGCGAATGACAAGGCCAGACGCGAGAGTATAGCGCAGAGCCTGGGCACCGGTATGAGCTGGGGAGGAATATCAGCCGGGAGCTGGATCAGAGACGAGTAAGCGCCCCCCTCTTCCTTTCTACCCTACTCCGACTATCTTGTTTCTAAATATTTACGACTGGACAGTATGATGATGTCCGGAACCTCGCCCTTCACCTTCAATTCTCCATCCTTTCACTCGTCTTCCTATCTTCCTAAACTTGAGGCCAATTTCATGAAGGATTTCTCTTGCTGTGGCCTCACATTGCCTACTCTACATGACCTGCTACAGCATTACGAAGAAGCACACGCACAGAAGGATTCAGTACAAACGGATGGAAATCAACAGGCGGTTCCTGACAGCCGAGCGGCAATGGCAGCTACAACGGCAGCTCAGGTTCAACAGGAGGCCCAACACCGGAGCCAACAACAACAACTCTCCCAGAATGCTCCCGGCCGGCCATTTGGAGCACAACAAACGACAACCCAGAATATGCCACGTCAATCGGGTTTCTCCAGCACCTTGCAGACCATTCCCGATATGGACACTGTCGAGGATATGGAAATGGATGATATTGACGGTGCCGATGAGACCACACCACCCTCCAATATGTACAGTCAAAACCAATCCCAGACATCCCCACAGACCTCCTTTACCGCTCCTGCACCACCCCAAATTCCACAACTCAACACGACGATGATGCAGGGACACCAGGCATATCGACAATCCACACCGAATACTCCGGTGGCCCCCGGTCGGACTTCTGCGCCTTTCCAGGGGAATAACGCCTCGTCGACGCTCATGGCAAATCCCATGCAACAATTCCAAGATCTTCAAAGTGCATATCGCGGCACCCCAGATTCATCAGCACCCGGAACCCCCGGTGAGCTGGAAGACGGTCTCATGAGTGGGATGGACGATATGTCTATGCAAAACAATCCCCTTTTCAACGGCGGTCAAAATGGGTTTGGTGGCTTTGGTTTCGGCATGAACAACGACATGATTGATCTGTGTATTGATGAGCCAGCGAAACGACTATTCTCACCTGGTACCCAGAGCATGAACCAGGGTCAAGGACAGCAGATGACGCAGAACCGGCTCGGGTCTGGTCAATATGGGCCTAATAGCGAAATTGCACGGACCATCCGTGAACGACAAGCCGCTGCCGGATTGCCCGACACGACAACCAACATTCTTCCACACGAGGAACCCAAACCGTTCCGTTGTCCCGTGATTGGCTGTGAGAAAGCTTACAAGAATCAAAATGGTCTGAAGTACCACAAATCGGTAAGGAATTTCATCCTCCGTCTGTTTTGATCGTCATTGCCTAACCGTGAGTCAGCATGGACACAATAATCAACGGCTTCATGAAAATGGAGACGGTACGTTTTCCATTGTCGATCCCGACACGCAAGCACCCTATCCTGGAACAATGGGAATGGAGAAAGAAAAACCTTACAAGTGTGATGTTTGTCAGAAACGTTATAAGAACTTGAACGGTCTCAAATATCACAAGTCGCACTCACCTCCTTGCAATCCCGAACTACAGCTTAATGCGAACAAGAGCCTATCGTTAGATATACCAAACTTGATGGCAGGCCAAAATCCAGGGAACATCGGAGCCGGTCTCTCGGGCGATCTCAGCATGATGTAAAGACGATACCCAGACATATTCTTTAAAAGGAATGATCATTACAATTCGACACTTCGAACAGCGTGGCTGTCATCTCGAAGAGATTGCTTTTTATTAAAGTTTTTTATTAAATTTTTTTTTCCCCCTTCGTTCACGATGTGAGACGGCCGACTATCGGAGGGAAAGGGGAATGTTCACCAACGGGCTCACACGGGTTTCTTCGAGATCAAGATTATTGTGGTGGACAGTGTTTCTCAAAATCAACTTTCTATTCAATGCCATGGTCAAGGTTTGGGATCGATATCAACAAATCGGCAGAACTGTCGTTGGGCAACCATGCTCAATCAAAAGTTTGGTCACCAACACAAGCCAATGGTCATGGAACTTTTATTGCTTGAAATTTTTTTTTACCCAAAAGTTGTAACTTGCGTCGGTTTATATACAGATCGCTGGGATAAGGAAGGAGAGCATGGGATATCGATGCTCAATTCGGTTCTACTCAACTTGACCGCGGCGTTAATACGGGGGGCTTGGCTGAACCGTCAGGGCGGAAAATCTTCACCAAAGTTGCTGGTTCTCCTGGAGGAGCGAAGGAACGAAGGAGAGGGATATTTGTACAAGCCTCGAGTGCAGCGATTTCCTTTTTCCTGGGATGGTGTTCTTCAGCAAATGCTGCTCATACGTTGTGATTCTCGGTCTGATTACGTACGACAACGATCAAGAGGGGGAGAGTTTGCTTGCGATAGCGATAGACCTGGAAGAAACGTGGGGAGGACGATATTTCCTCCGGGGTTTGGATATCTGGACCTGCGATTATTTGGATTAGGCTTGCACTTCACCGCGCAAGAGCTAGCAGTGTAGGCCCGAATAGAATCAATGTTTGTGGTGAGAATGTTTTTTCCCTCTTTTCAGAAGCGTGAACCAATTTGATCTTCGATTTGGGAGATCACTCGGTGGTTATGATCGATTCGACGTTTTGTTCCGACTTAGTTTAGGATCTGTAACAAAAATCACAGCAGGAAACCCCCACATGTAAGATGCTTGATGCGAATCTTGCCTCATGCTTGTAGTCTGGAACCTCTAGAGGCCTTGTTGAAGAAAGATCAGCCGATAACTTCTGCCAATGGGCAAGTTTATGAGACAAAGGCACGGAACACTCGGTCGAGGTATCTCCGGGAGAGGGAAGTCTTTGAAGGTTCGCGGACCTTTTGGTCCATCGCGACAAGGGGCACGGGGCACGGGGCACGAGTCGTACTCCCTTCAGGCGCATGATACCGTGGTATATTGTTCATTGTTGGTGGGGGCAGAAGAGTTTGGCAAGGTTTCAGGCTGAGAGGCTGAATGGTTGGCCTGGACGTGGTTCCGAGTGAAAGAGGGAGCATCAGCATGAGGGTGAGGAGAATAACTCGAGAGAGTTGTCGGTCGTCGCAGAAATAAATGCCCATCAAATTGACGGCTAAGTGATGGAACAGGGGAGATTGATCCGCGAACTAAGCGTATGTCCTATGTTCCAGTTGAGGGAATGAGGTGGAGGCGCAGCTGGACAGCGGATGCCCATGTTGACGCGTATCTTTCAGACAAGTAAAAGATCTCTTAACCCACGGAGTAACTCAGATGACTGAACTGCCACTTATCCCTCGTGCCGCTCCATCAGCCGTCTGACAGTGGCACTTGGGTCCATTCTTGTTCATTGACCACTGATCTGATGCCCCTGGCTGGTTTCTTCCATTCCCCATCATCCTTGCGTACACGCTCAGAAGTTCTGCTCCGTACTTTGTTTCCAGATCTCAAAATTCCCTCCTCCTCGAACCACTCCAACCAACCATACATCCATTTCTTCGTCTCGCGCACGCAGAAATTCGACTTTTGCCCTTCCTTTTCTGGAATTGTCACTCGTTGTCCACAATTGAGGCCCCAAAGTTCTCACGCCGATCCTTTTCCAGCAAAATCCCATCACCCCCCCACCGCACATCAGCTCCCCGGAGTCCGGACACCATTTTCCCAGCTCGCAGTCGATTACCTCGAAAACCGTACACTTTGGCAGCGACGAGCGAATGCAGAATTCGGCGCATTAAACAGCTTTACCTCTGACCGAAACTCTCCCCAAACCCCTCTACACTCTGTGACGGCCGTTTGTTTGCGAAACATCTCGTTGTCTTTTTGCTTCATACGAAACGGGGCACGCCAATCCGCCCCTCGGCTACGCGCACAATGTTCAGCATGCTCCAAGATAAATACATTGGCCTGGCGCTGGCCGTGACCTCGACTCTGGCCATTGGCACCAGCTTTGTGATTACGAAAAAAGGCCTGAATGATGCGGCGGACAAACATGGATTTGAAGGGGAAGGATTCGCATATCTGAAAACGCCTCTATGGTGGGCGGGGATTGCCTCGTTAATTGTCGGTGAAGTGGCCAACTTTGCGGCATATGCTTTTGCACCCGCGATTCTGGTCACCCCGTTGGGAGCACTCAGTGTGCTTATTGGAGCTGTCTTGGGCGCATATTTCCTAAATGAAGAGTTGGGGGTGTTGGGAAAATTGGGCTGTGCCATCTGTCTCCTGGGGTCGGTGATTATAGTATTACACGCGCCTCCGGACCAGGAAATTGAGACGGTGGATCAAATTCTGGGTTATGCCATAAAACCAGGTAGGATGCGCGCTTTTGAAACTCCTTTGACACTCTACGGGACCGGAAACTAACTTGTATGGCGTAGCCTTTATAATCTATTGTTTAGCGGCCATCGTGTTTTCGACAGTCATGATATACAAAGTGGCACCTGTGTACGGCAAGAAGAGCCCTTTGATTTTTATCTCGATTTGTTCCACGGTCGGGTCGATATCTGTCATGTCGGTCAAGGCGTTTGGTATTGCGTTGAAGTTGACCTTTGCCGGGAACAATCAATTCACCCACCCATCCACATACGTCTTTATGGTTGTCACCATAGTCTGCATTTTGACGCAGATGAATTATTTCAACAAAGCTCTCAGCCAATTCTCGACATCTATTGTCAACCCCTTGTACTATGTTACCTTCACCACCGCCACCCTATGCGCCTCATTTATTCTCTTCCAAGGCTTCAACACCACCGACGCCGTCAACACCATCTCTCTCCTTTGTGGATTCCTGGTCATTTTTTCGGGAGTGTACCTTCTCAATCTGTCTCGAGGCGACCCAGACGGTCATCGATTATTGAACGGGAAGATTCCAGACGAAGATGGCATCCCCACCGACCCGCTGGCGGGATTGCAGACACGAAGAAGCATGCAGGCAAGGAGGAGTTTGGATCCTCACCGGCGGAGTAGCAGTCTTACATTCAGTCCAGGAGGACTACGAAATGTGAGTGGAGAAAGTGCGGGACTGATGCACAACTACGATGTGGAGCACAATGCTTTTGGATTGTCAAACCTAGTGGAAGATCCAGAAGAGGTGGAAGGAAGTGGAAGTTCAAGTCGAAACAGAAGCAGAAGCCCTGGCGGCGAACCTGTGACAAGGATGTATGAGAGGCCTTCTCAGAAGAGCCTGAATCGATAACACGATTCCAAATGGAGGATGGTTGGGATTTCTGAGTGTTTTCTTGTAATGATATCCATGCATAGGTACGGTTTCAAGCGATGAACAAACACAGCATTTACGTGGCCCTGGGAAGAGGGACCGGTATGGGTCGGGATTCGGTTTGGAGACAAAGAGGCCTTTTCAAAGACACATCGATATGGGAGCGAAGAATCAAAGTGCTGAATTATTTGACTTGAGGAATTCGAGGTAGGACATGACAGCGAAGATGTATCATTTGAAGTATACACACGGAGTGAGATATCGGACATCAGGACTCCTCCGGCTAGTCTTGATGGTCCACCGTAACTCGCCTGTTGAGCTTGTATATAAAAAGGGACCACCCTGGCGAAGCTGTCTCATTAGCTCATACCTCTCTTTCCTCGTATCAACCCTTCCCCCCTCTCTCGCTTCGAAAAGAACAAAGTGAACCAGAACCATCAACAGCAGTTATATAATTCCCATTCCTGGCGCGGGATCGCTTGGATAGACCTTTGCCCAGTAACAGATAAGTTCTAGGCCCGATGTGGCCTTTCCTCTGTGATGCTACTGCCTGCCAAATCCTTCGATGACTGCCACCCGCTCACTTGATGAGAAAGACTATGACCGGCAACGAGCTAGGTCTCGTGCCCACGCCGTGTCGGTGGCACATCACACTCGACGGATCGCCATAATACCGTCAGCAGCGAGAAAGAAACGACCCCCGGCCGACCAACGCACCCACAACAACCACAATCTGGACCAATTTCATCATATCCTTCGTCCAAAACGGAGCACTTATTCTCGATCAATGGCTATCTGTCAGAAAATTCCCAGGTCACACCGTCGAAGGCGTTCCAGACCAAATGCAATGGATAGGGATGAAATTGATACTCCCACACGCTGCACCGATCTTCACAATTTTCCATGTGGATAGCTTCTCGGAGCGAGCCTGTAAGGGGCTAGCCCCCTCGAAATTGATGAAACAAGAGAATTAACGTGAACGTCGACCAGTATGTTTCAAGTTCCGGTCCCCAGAGTGAGGGTACGCAATACTGCATACCGGTTCTTTTGCCTCGAGTTCTATCGGGCGTGGAAAGCTTAGTCTGATTATCGGTTTCGACGAAAATTTCTGCAACATGATGGATCTGTATTGGCTCGTCTCAAAAAGGATTTGGCCTTGGGCAGAGACAACATGGTCATTGTGATGAATACAATCTTTCTCCTGGGTTTTTCTTGCTCTCAGACATCTTCCTGACGCACACGATTCAATCAGAAACCGATATCTGAAGAATTTTCCCGGTGATCTTCAAGAGAGCACCGTGCACCGCAAAATTCTGAAGGTTTTGTTTGATTCTTTGGGTCAAATCGATCAAGCAGAATTTGACCGGAGATATTGCAGTATGCCTCAGCCCTTTGATCTTGACTGGATTTGTTTTGAATCCTAACGTATGGTAGATTCAACTGTTGGACGGATCTCCTCACTGGTCAACCAATTTTTTGCTGAATTCATTCTGGACCGTTCAAGCCTAGAAAGCGTGCCAAATACTCACCAATCCAGTGTCGATTATGACGGACTACGCCTCCGCTGACACCGTTCCTTACGGACTTCCAAAGATGAATCACGACCGGTTTAGATATCAAAAGGACACTCCGCGACTGATTGGTTGATTGTCCCACGCCTGCCAGTACGGCCAGGATGCTTGCCCGAGGTTGAGAAGAGATTCCCAGGTTTGTTGACGGGTTGTCACCCTTGAACTGTGACAGAACCGAGCTTCGAAAACGCCTGGTATTGGCTCCGATTTGCTATGCTCATATGAGGTTGATTTCGAACGCTATTTCATCGCTGCCCAGTCTTCCCATGCTATAGCAAAAGTCAAGCTCACACTGGACGTGTGCCTGGTGACCACAACCTGTACCGCAACTGCTGAGAGCATGGTGTGGAGATGGATGGTCTTGATCGACTCGTATCGAAGTGAGGGAACAGGACTCGCCAAAGAAGGAATGTCATGCTTGGAGACCAGAGTCCTTTTAATACAATCATGCTAGGCAGTGGTTTTGTGGTGGAAGCCTCTGCAGCATCAATCAGCATAGGAGATACTTCAGTAAATGCTCCAGCCTGGCGCTGGCAGAAATGAAGCCTCAGTGACGCCATTTTTTTGAGACCACCGCATTTTCATTGGACGGGCACAGGACGGCGGCAGGCGCCTCTTCCAAGAAGGCGGGTGATTTTTATTTGAGGTTGAGTTCAACTTGGCCAGCAGGCAACTTTCAATCCACCACCACCACCTCCTCCTCAAATTGCCTTCTTTCAGGTTTCTTATTGCTCTATGTTGTATTCCCGACGATATCCGCCATTAAAATCGCCTTCTAAGCACTTCTGACCATAGAGATAAGGCCCACCTATTCTGGAAAACCCAGGCCTTGCGGCCAGGCGAAGCCTCACCCGACATGGCATCACACCCCTCCAATTTATCTCCCACCAGTATGCGTGCTGTACAGCCTTCACCGCGCACAGGAGCTCAAAAAGGTACGCCTTCCAGTCCCCCTGCATATTCCATGACAAACGAAATATCTCACCTTGCGTGGTCCTTGGGTTCTAAATGTGGTGGCAATCCTGCCACACTTCTGGGTCGTCTGTCGCTGGTTTTTCTTTTGCTGCATAACTTAGTTACACTGGGCCGATAAAGCAAATACATGTGCATCAGCGGTCAGAAATTCGCAACTATCGGTCACGCGACACTGACTCTTGATCGAATGTGCCTGGATGGCATCCTGCTTTTACACGATCCACAATCCATGTGCTTGGGCCATCGGCCGTTTGCCTTCCTTTTCTTGACATTGTACCTGAACTAATTCTCTCTCTTTTCTTTCTTCAACAACAGGGGTGACCATCTTCGACGAGCCTGAACATATCGAACCTGTCCGCATCACCGACTACGATACCGGTACTTCCCCTTCGCTCGTCGCCTCTCACAGTCCGAGACTTCATCGTGCAAGTATTTCTGGCAAGAAAATGACCGGTCGTCCGGCTTTGCCTCATTCCAACTCTCTCACCTCCACCACCAACCCTATGTCCTATCTCAGTCTTGACAATAACCCGGAGTCCGGCGAGACGACGTCAGAGAGCAAGACCCCGAATCTACAAGCTATGCTCTCTCAAGTCGTTGAATGGCTGCAGGACGAGAAAACAAAGCAACAGAGACGAAGGCACCGCCGACATCGTCATCACCCTCATCATGCCCCAATACCAGTCGAGCAGTCAGACGAGAGCTCGTCGAAAGCGTATGACAGTGCCGTCGAGAATGAGCCCGATCTCTCTCTTGAGAAACTCGAAAACATCCTTTCTGGGTTTACCTCGTCTCCGTTACAGTCACTTCATCGGCTAGCCCATAAATCTTCCACCTCACTTAGCAGAAAGGGATCCATCGCCAAGAAATATAAACGAGGCTCGATCGTGCCCCAATCCTCCGATACCGAGTTCTTTGGCGATGAGATATTGGTGCCTAATGTCGAAGCATACCTGGACAATTCCAAGACCATGGCCTTCACCGGTGGCTCTGCAGACACCGACACTAGCGACAGTGCCAAGAGGAGAGACTACGAGCACTGGGTTACGTTCAAAAAGGATATTGTGCGTTTGACGCATACGTTAAAGCTCAAAGGCTGGCGTCGTATTCCCATCGATCGGGCAAGCGACATCGACGTCGCTCGTCTAAGCGGAGCCCTCACCAACGCCGTCTATGTGGTCCGCCCTCCCCAAGATATGTCGAAATACGACAACTTCCACGCGGGTACCGACTCCTCCGCTCCTCCCGTCCCAGTCTCCAAACGGCGTCCCATGCAGCTACTCCTTCGCATCTACGGGCCACAAGCCGAACATCTCATTGACCGAGATTCCGAACTTGGCATCCTCCGCCGCCTGGCCCGCAAACGCATCGGTCCTCGTCTCTTGGGCTCATTTGAAAACGGCCGTTTCGAGGAATTCTTGCACGCAAAGACCCTCACGGCCGACGATCTCCGCGTTCCCGAAACGTCGAAGCAAATCGCGAAACGAATGCGAGAGCTCCACGATGGGATGGAACTGTTGGAGTCCGAACTCGCCGCCGGTCCCGCGGTCTTCATCAACTGGGACAAATGGGTCGATCGATGCGAGAAGGTCGTCACCTGGCTCGACGAGCAAGTCCACCAAGCCGAGACAGAGTCAAAGGGAGACAACGCTCGCCGCGCGCCGCCCGTCAATCCACGGTACATCCGACGCGGATTGATCTGCGGCGTGGAATGGCCCATTTTCCGCCGAGCATACGAAGCATATCGACAGCGCCTGATCGGACAATACGGCGGAATGAAAGGACTCCGCCAGAAACTCATCTTCGCGCACAATGATACACAATACGGTAATCTCATGCGTCTCCAACCGTCTGGCGAGTCACCTCTACTTCAACCGTCAAACCAGCACAAACAACTCGTCGTTATTGACTTCGAGTACGCGTCTCAAAATACCGTCGGCCTCGAATTCGCGAATCATTTCACCGAGTGGTGCTATAATTACCATCATCCAGAATTGAGCTTTGCCTGCGACACGCGCCGCTATCCAAGCCAGAGCGAACAGTACCGCTTCGTCCGCAGCTACGTCATGCATCGCCCTCAGTACAACCCGGCCGCGAGCGCGACGCCGAAGATGGAAGGAAGAGAAAAGACGAATATCAGTGATTTCATGCTCGATGCGCGTGCACCGGGTGGAGGCAGTCAGACTGGGTCAGGGTTCGTGAATCCTTGGGGCGACGGGATCGATTACGACAAAGAAGAGCGAGAACGCGAGAAGAAGCAAGAAGAGCAAATCCAGGAGTTGCTTAGTGAAACTAGACTGTGGAGGCTCGCGAACTCGGCGCAGTGGGTGGCGTGGGGTATCATGCAGGCGAAGGTGCCGGAGTTGGATGAATTAGAGAAGAGAGAGCGAGCAGCAGCGAACAAGAAGAGTGGAGCGGGTACGCTGGTCGAGAAGGTCCAAGATATCGTTGGTGCCAACAAGACGCAGAAGAATCAGCCTCTTCATCCCATGTCCGACCCGTTGACGGAGGAGGAAAAGGTAATCCAAGAGCAAAGTCGTCGGGACGGACCCGAGGGTCAGCGGCAGGAAGAGGTACACCATAAAGATGATGAGGGTGCGCAGACGGAAGAGAAAGACCCGGCGTGTGCTCATCCAAGTGTCAATGGACATGGCACTGACCATGACGACAACCTCGTCAACGGCGATGGCAGCGGCAATGCGGAGATGAAGCACGCACAAGCAAACGCTTCCGAGGACGTGAAAGATGCAGATAAAGCTACAGATAACGAAAGCGCGGAAATCGTGGGCGAAGACGAATTCGATTACCTTGCCTATGCTCATGACCGCGCCATGTTCTTCTGGGGTGATTGCCTGACCATGGGCATCGTGAAGGAGGATGAGTTGCCTGAGAACCTGATGAAGAGGGTCAAGATTGTGCCTTTTTAATGCTCATTCAATGTCTTCTCCTTCTACCTCATACATCCGTGCAAGCATGCATGAATCGAAGGAGAGGAGGAACGAAACGAAACCAGACGTTCATCATGACGTGACATGGCGTGGCTTGGAATATAGTATTATTGGGCTGGCCCTGTCGGCGTGGAACAAGTCCATGGATACTGGGCATGAGGTTTAACGAGCGATGAGATACGACGTGGGTATGGAGTTCGTGTTGGAGTTGAGTTGGATGCTACTTTTATTCGATTTAACACGGATTGCGATTGGGGTTTATCTTTTTGATGCTGGGAATAGACAAGGGAAGGAAAGGATAAAGACACGATATTAGGATAGAAGGAGGAGGAGGAGCAGGAGCACAGCAAGGGCAGTGGAAAGGGATGGGAAGGGATTACATGTTGCAGGTTACCAGGTCCCCCAGTAGCAACGTACATGCTTAGCTTTGGCGACAACAGGTTATCAACATATATAAGTTTCCACATTTCAACAAATTCTACCCTGTCTTGGTACTCTGTCCTGTCTTTTATACTATTTACAACACTCGCATCCCGGAGCCAGGCACTTAAGGCATCATCTCTAGTAGAATTCAATGAAAAAAATTTTAAACCTTGATCTTTACACCAGTATAATCCAGTCCCAATGCAAGCCCCGTCAACACCAACGCATACAGCATCAAAATCCCCATCGCATCTATCGGCGACATATCCAACGTATTTACAGTCAAATTCACGAGGCCCGTCAAGAGGTTCGCGACCAAGAAAATAATCAGACCATTCGTATTGAATGTGCGGAGCACACGGGATGTGGCGTGGCGGACCATGTCTTTTCTCGTATCAGACTTTTCGTAGGAAAAAGATGGGCCGCAGTCTTCAATCAGGCCGAAGAGGAGGAGCTGTGCGTTATTGAAAGCGACGATCCATAATACATAGGGTAGGTTTGCGAGGCGCCGCGAGACGTTGAGGTTGAACATGTACAAGCTTGTCGAAAGCCAGTAGAGGCCGGAGTAAAGAAGGGAATGGGTCAGGAGACTGAGCAATATGAGTTGGCGTTCGCGCCGCGTGAGGCTGAGGCTGTTGTTGGCGTCCCAGATTTTGTGCTTGGAGGCTGTTTTCTTTTTGAAGAAGAACACAGGGTCGGAGACGGGTTCATTGAATCGGACAATCCGCCCTCCGGTGCCGCGGCCGGCGAGGTAGATGGCTAGGTATCCGATGAAAGAGAAAATGCCTTCGCGGTTCATGGATAGGAGGTCCGGGCCCCGAGGGGAGATGAGGATGTATTCGAGGAGAGTAGTGTGGGTAAGGAGGAGTTCGTAGGCAAGTGCGAGGACTAGCGCGAGGATGTCGTAGGACTTGAAGATGTGGTGGGTGATCAGGTCGGAGAGCTCGACGAAGGGCGGAAGTAGAGCGAGTGTGAAGAAGAAGTTCCAGTGCACGCCGTATTCGGTGACATGTTCGGCGTAGTCGAGGCCTTTGACAGACCAGAGGCGGATAAAACCCAAAATGAAAAGGGGGGTGGAGTGGCGGAGGACTTGGAGGAAACGGGCTGTGAAGCTGCTTGAACGGGTGGTTGAGGACTTGACCAGTGTCCGAGCAGAGACGACGCCGGCGGAGAAGACGAATGAGCCCACGCCCAGGTCCATAAGGGAGGTTCCCCAGGTTTCAACTTTGGCGAAACGGCGTGGGAAGATGGGGAAATCGACGGCAAGAATGGCAAGACAGGTCGCGATGAGCATGGAGCCACGATAGTGGGTGAGAAACGGTCGGACGGGCAGATGGGGGGGATCATTGTTTGAGGAAGGAGTGAGTTTTTTCGTTCGTTGTTGATGTTGCTGTTGTTGTTTGGACTTTGTCGCAGAACCATTATTAGAAGGTATAGACGGGGCATGATGGCCGGTGTTCAGGAACAAGAGGAACAGTGCCGGCGTGGTGAGGAAAATGCTTAGAACCAATGGAGCAGAGGAGTATATTGTGATGGCGAAGAGAATGGCGCAGATGTTGAGTAAAAAATCCGCAATTCCGGCGATGAGAGTGTAAGGTGTGAAGAAAGATTGACGCTTCTGTAAGGCTGTCCAGAGAAGGACTGACGCCTGTCATCGGTGAACTCATGATCCGGTAGCAAAGGAGAAAATATGTCTCGACGTACCCCTGCGACAAGAGTGACGAGGTTGATCTCAATCAGAGAGCTTCCGGAGAGATGGGAGACGAAGGCCTCCTTGCGAGCTTTGTAGGCTGCTGCAGCAGAGGGAGCTTGCTCTGAAGACAGAGACATTTTGGGGGGGGGGAACAAAATTATGCTTCTTCTGCCATGATGTGATGTCGACAGTCACCAGTAGATCGATATGTGGCAATAGTGATAAATACGGAGTAGGTGGCAGGATGGGTGGGGTGTCTTACCTCCCAATCGGGCACCCATTTCTCGCCAAATTGGCTGCTCGTTTTAGAGTTTAGCACTAGCCGTAAATGGCAATTTTTTTTTTTTCGTGTTTCACACTAGAGCTAGTTGTACAGAAGTACGCATTCTGATTGGTCTACGCCACATACTAGATATACCAGCAAAATCAAAATGAAATTCATTCTCGCCGCTGGGCTTGTGTCAAGACGTTGTACAACTGGATCAGGATCCAGCACATTCCAACACGAGTGGTGTATGTGGTGTATGTTTTGCTTCACGTTCGCATCATTGAGATGTCACGTTGTGTTCCTCTTCCTCTAGCATTCATCACAATGTCCGACCACGACTGCAGTCATATCACATCCTGACATTCATGATAGATATGTCCCTTCTCTGGCTCTGGGCATCTTCGCTTACTCGATCATGGAAACCATCGGACATGTTTTTCAACTCCTGGCATCACAACAAAGTTCTTGCTCAGTTCCTTATTTTGTCGCTCAATACTTCTACACCGTCGTGGCCCCAGTCTTCTCTTCAGCTGCGCCATATACCAATATATCCGTCATGATGAATGTTGTCGGTCGGATATATGCACCACTGTCACCAAGACTGATATTGTGAATTTTCGTCTTTTGTGATGTCGTTGCAACCTTCATCCGAATCACAGGCGCGGCTCTCGTCGGTCGAGTGTATTCTCATCAGAAACGCCCCGACTCCAACGTTTTACTTGCTAGTCTGGTTTTTCAGGCGTTCGTATTTGCTGAGTTCATCCTTTGCTTGGCCTTGTTCATATACAAGGCAAGAATATTCATGCAGAAAGATCTCAAGATCTTCTCGGTGCGGTATGGGTGGCGTCTCTTGCAAGGTCTTTTTGGGTATCCGTCCACTTTTGACGTGTTTGTCAGTTGTTGGGAATTTCGTACCGATTGTCGTGGCAGTATATCTTCTCAAATACGGGCATCCTGGCCGATGGCTTGAAAATGGACTCTTCTTCCATCGTGGAGTCCTTCAGACGGGTGACTGAAGGAGTAATGTGTCGGGGTAGAATGACTCTTGCGCTTTGTTAAGAATGACCAAATATTGACTAGCCACTGCCCAGCGCGCAGACATAATATCCAACACTTTTCTCAGCTGATGATAGGCCTCGGCCATTTCCCTTGATCCCGATTCGTGAACAAGCCAAGCATAAGTTGCTGCGGCGGAATAAAAGCAATCGGCAACGAGGGGGCTGATCGCAGCGGGATTTGCGGTTATGGTCATTTGGAATAGGTGACTCAATTGAAGAACATCTGCTGCTGTCGATCTCAATCCTGCAATTGCGATGGCTTGCATTTCGGTTTCTTCCACCGTATGATCACCTCGATTCGATTCTGTACAGGTGAATGGATCGCATAGGTGAATCAGGGCACTGTAGCACAATGCCAGTGGTGTCCCATACCGCATTGGCCATCGCTGAACATCACTTGGCAATAAATTAGCCAAGGCTTGGAGCGTCCGATGAAGTTGAATGGCTTCGCTGAATCGCAAGGGAGCATCAAGCAGCCTGTCATTGAGCAAACGAATAAGCCTACCCAACAGATGGGTTGCTTGGCACGTTCGTGCAAAAGCTCCTGCTTTCACACTGGTGGGTGAAGAGACGTATAACGGTTCACTGGTTGTCATCTCTCCTCCATCCCACAATGCGTCATCTGCCGGGAGGACATCATTCCTGGCAGGATCATCCGTGGCCAATGGGTGACCACAAGTACCGAGATTCACATGTCTTGTCACCAGTCAGTTTGGATTCATATATCACTTGAGCAGCATACCGATCGAGAAGCATTGTTGCCCACCAAGTCCGTTTCATCTCTTCAATCTCGGCCCAAGCACCAATCTTTTTCTTGAGTGCTTGAGGGGCATGTCGTCGGTCATTGAGACCCAACGCATGTCCTAGCCGAGCACAATGTCCGGTAGTCAGATATGCAGCGGGATATATTGCATGGCCAATCTCATAAGCCGCAATCAAGATGCTTGCCTGCAATGTCTGCAGAGATATCAATCCGACGGATTCCGCCCTGGAGAAATGCCGCTTGGTGAGCGTGTAGAGTGGCGATCGGATTCCGGGGGAATCTCCTGAAGGCACTTGAATAATAAGCTTCATGGCAAGCAATAAGAGCGCCAGTTCAAGGGAGAGCTCGATTGACGGATTGCACAAGGTCAACTCCATGCGCTTTTTGGAAATAAATGGCAGCCAGGTGTGAATGTTGGCAAAATATCGATCCACGACATCCTGAATGTCGAGCATGGAAGTTCCCAGAGTGGCGAGAATCTCGGACGGAACAGCAAGTGCCGGTTTGGTAATAGTCATGTGGGCATCAGTGAAGACTTCAGCATCGAGGAAGAATGCTGCCGGGAATGTGGGACGGTTGTCATTTGCCAAACCAAAGTCGGTATTTGTTGTGTTGGGGCTTTTACCGATGGATCGCTTGGGTTCATTCCAAAACATATCAGAACGTCGACCTTCAAGACGGGCCTCCAAATCTGCAATTTTCTGTCTCATCATGGCAAAATCATCCGCGCTCGGGTGGGGATTGCTTTCCGAATAATCGCATGATCGAGACATTCGGCTGCAGAGTGAGCAGCTGGGAAGAGCTTTGTCGCATTTTCTCTTTTGTTTCCGACAGGCCACACAGGCTTGAGGTGCCTTAGGTTGATTAGGAGGACCTATGTCCATTGGGATGAAGACACTTTTAATCGGTCGGCGTGGAACCGAAGCATCGAGCTCTGCCGGGGAATTAAAAAGACACAGGCAAGAGACGACGTTGCCTGGGATATAAGTTGTGGTCTTTTTGCTTGATGGTGGTTTTGGATATGCAGCCTTACGTAAGAACCAACTTTCGAGATTGGGTGCCCGTATGAGAGAAAGAAAGACGAAACAGCACTTGTTCCGAAGCAATGATCCAAAGTTGACATTTTAGCACTACAAAAAGACCCATTACTCCTCGAGTGATACATAAATCTCTCAGCATCATGTCGTGTACTTCTTCTGGAGAGCTTTCGCTATCGTCGTCAGCTGGATGTTGCTCGTTCCCTCATAGATGGCTCCAATCTTGCTATCGCGGAACATTTTCTCCGCAATTCCCTCTCGGACGAATCCCATACCACCCATCCACTCGACCGCCAGACTACTGACTCTCCCGGCTACTTGACTGGCGTATAGCTTTGCCATGGCCGCATCCGTGACGAAGTCTTCACCTGCTTCCTTCTTTCTGGCGGCATTATACACCAAAGCACGAGCGGCACAGATTTCCGTGTATGCCTGAGCCAGTTGATGTTGCATACCCTGGAATTCACCGACCAGCATGCCAAATTGTTTTCGATCATTCCAAACGTATTTCGCAGCATTCTCCCAAGCTCCCAAGGCCAATCCGGTCATTTGTGCTCCAATACCTATCCGTCCCTCGTTCAGGAGACCAATAGCATACTTGTAGCCATGACCCTCGACACCCAAGAGGTTCTCTTTGGGAACCTCAACATCGTCGAAATTGATCACACAGGTACTCGAGGCACGGATTCCCAGTTTCTTCTCTTTCTTGGCAATGCTAAATCCTTCCATCTCCTTGGTGACCACGAATGCAGTGATACCCTTATAGCCAGCTTCGGGGTTGAGGTTCGCAAATACAAGGAAAAAGTCGGCCTCCGTGGAGTTGGTGATCCACATCTTAGATCCATTGATCTGGGATGGTGTTAGCATGGCTGTCGGTGCGGCGGTGACGCGATGCACATACCTTATATCCGTTCGCTGTCTTCTCTGCCCTGGTCTTGAGTGCAAAGGCATCGGAACCGGAGCCCGGTTCAGATAAACAGAACGACCCGACCGTGTTTGTCGCCAATTTGGGGAGCCATTCCTTCTTAAACGCTTCACTGCCATATTTGAGGATAGCGGTCACCACCAACGTGTTGTGTACGTCGCACAGAACAGACACTGAAGGATCGACCCGGGCAAGTTCTTCGATTCCAACGATGGCAGAGGTGAAGTTCATTCCAGCACCACCGTATTCCTCAGGAATTTCAAACGCCATGAGACCTTGTTCAAACATTTGCTCCACAACGATGGGGTCCATCTTTTCTGCCTCATCCATATCTCGGACTTTGGGCGCCACCTCTTCATTGGCCCATTTGGACACCGACTCTGCAAGCATAGTTTCGGTTTCGGAGAAATGAGTGATGGGAGTGGGAGTGAGAGATGTTGCGTCGAAATCTTCGGGCATGTACGGCTCCGCATATCGCCGCCGTGTCGTAGTGACAAAAGCCCGCTTTCTGCAGAAGGGTAAGCCAGGTCCAATCTGAGGTGATAAAAGTCCTACGGTAGAGGATTTCTTCGAAGGAGAGTTCTAGTGGCAGGAGGCAGGGGAGCGAGAAAGGTGGGCGCTTTGGCCAGAGTCCGAAAGACTCTGATGGAAGCCATTATTTTTTAAAAGAAATCTTCAAAGCATCAAAGACGACAGTGTTAGAACTTCTGACTTCGCCGGTAATGTACACATAAATAGGAAGGACATGCCCAATGGCTACGGTCAGAAATATTGAACAGGTCCTTCGAGCTTTTGAAGGTTGGCTGGTTCCTCGGCTACGCACGGGCGGCGGGTTTGACTCGGCCGGTCAACCCCAGAAGTCGTTAGGAGGGTTCATGGAGGTGCACCACCCCTAGATGGCAAGGTCTCTCATTTTTTCGGATCCGATCTCGCAAAATGGGAAGGTAGGAGGGGAAAGAAAAAAAAAAAAAATTAATATATTATTGGCATGTGCCAGGTACGAGGACGCCCGCGCCAGATAAACCGAGATACGCAGCAGTTTCCCCGAGGCCCAAAAGAACTTTTCGCTCGACCAGAAATGTGAAGGTCGTTGCGAATGTGGCTGGACACTTCTTGTGGCGCAGCATGACGTTTGTTCCCATCAAGATCCCAGATCCACGCAAGGTTACTGGTGATGCCCAGAGCTGAGAGCGTTTATCTGCTGCTACTGCAATGCGCTGCCAATATCTTATAAAAAGAAACGGCGTAGGCGCCCAAGTTGTGGTCCTGAAAACCTACTGTCTTTTTCTCTGATCAGTTTTGGAATTCTTCTACTCTTTTCTTTTGTCACTAAGGCTTGCCCCCAGACGTCACCCGATTTCCTGTCGACTGCTGCGATAATGTCTGCAGGTCATTCCGAGCCTCAGGTTCTCTACAGTGTGAACAATATCACAGCATATTCGGTCCAGAATGGAGAAGAACATCCCATCACCGCCTCAGGGCCTCAGACGCTGTCGCTATTGATGGTGCCTACTGCATCACCGTTCGCCGACTTGTCCACGACCGAACCCACAAGTGCAGCCCCAGAAGAAGACTTTTATCTTCATCTTCATCTTCCCCCCGAAGTCGATCTTCCTCTACCTGCGACCACTCAAATCTACCACAAACCTCCAAGCAGTTACCTGATTCCCCGTTGGGACTTGGGTCCTGATGCGGGCGCTTTTATTCGCATTCAATTTCCTTCAGTAGGCTCGGGCCCTGGAAAAGTTACACAAGAGGAGGTAGATACATTTGAAACTATCCTTGCCCAGTGTACCGCTTTCCTCGAACGCGCCACGAGCACTCCCAAAGGCTTTGAACGATACAATCCACAAAACTATCGACCTGGAGAGGGTTATATTGGCTCGAGCAACGGGAAGGATCAAGCATCACAACATGGACAGATTGTGCTTATTGACGAAGAAAACGGAAGCGTAATTGGGGAGCTGCAGGACAATTATAATGTGGTGGAGGCATCGTCAGTGAAACCTGGATCAAAGAGTAAGCAGCCCATTCCCGTCTCTTTCACCCCATCCTAATGCGGCGTACAGCACCAGTACAGATTCAATTGCCGGCCGAAGGGCAAGGAAATCAAATTCGGGTGGACAACGTCTCTGAAGAGTATCTTCAGATGGCCAGACATCCCGCTTATGCGAAGTCCACCATTGTCCAGACCTCGGCGACAGCGTCCAGGCTCATCGTGACGAGCTCGAGTTATCTTGCCGAGAAAATATCCTCCGGTGCCGATTCATTCCAAAGAAAAACACAGCCGAATCCCAAACCCATGACTTTCTCCCCTGCGACTCACGCGCGAATTCGACAAATTCACTCCTTCACTCAGGGTGCGGTGGGTCTGAGCGCGAAGACCGTGGGACAATTGGGCAGATGCGCACAGAATTTCGGTGCCTCGCTGGCTCGCAAGGGCGAGAAGAACAAGAAAGGGCTGGGCAAAGATTACAAGCCTGGCATTCTCAACAAATCCATGATCGCCTTCTCTACCATCGCCGACGGTATCGATCAAGCCGGACGCAATTTACTTGCTTCGGGTTCTGCGGCGGCCACCAATGTTGTCAGTCATAAATATGGCAAAGAAGCTGGTCATGTGGCGCAGGGCCTGGCCGGCGGAGTCAAGAACGTGGGTCTTGTTTACATCGACGCCATGGGAGTGTCTCGGAGAGCAGTGATCAAATCTGTCGCCAAAGGTATGGTGGTCGGGCGGATGCCCAATGGACAACAGCTCGTGGTCGGTGCGGGAGATGGAGGGGTTGTGCCGGCTGACGCTTTACATGGCGACGTCAAGCCTAACGATTCTTACGACCCCGGCGTTTATGGAGGGCCTTCGCAAGCCGGGGTGAATAAACCGGGATACGGAGTTGAAAGTTATGGGAATGCTGCAAACGGACCGCCATCATATTCTTCTGGTGTTGCAGAGCCACCGGGATCAACGTGGCAAGGAGAAAATGTGCGCGAGAAGCGATAAGGGAAGTTATGTTTCACGAAAACGAAAATAGGTACGATGTAGGTCCATGAAGACACGATCCAACGTTGTTCTGGAACACAGATCCGACAGGGCCGGTTTTGGATGAAGCAGTTAACGCAATTGTCCAATGGTGGAGATTTGGGCTTCGACATTTCGCATACAAAGGGCTCTGTTTCCCTATTTCTGAATCTGGGTTGGATCGATGCAATTTGCGCTGCATGACATTCGACGGTCGGATGTGGCTGAAACCCGTCATTCGGTTGAGCCCAGGATCGATCATCTTAGGGATTTGTACCGTGGAACGAGCCGGCCTAAGTCGCGGTTCTCTCTCTCTCTTTTTTTTCTCCCTCTGCCGTTCCTCAAATAGGGCCGAGAGAAAAGGCACCAACAACCCATGTGAAGTTCACGCTCCCCTCATCTGCAAACTGTGATGTGCAGACAACTATTTGGTAGCATGCGCCCACAGCCACAACAGGGATGATCCAAATCGCGTACCGGCGAATTTCGATCAGTCACCAATCAAGAAGGACGATATGCAAGACGTAAAAATATCAGGTTTGCACTCTTCATTCAAACAGCTGTTATCCGGTCGGCCGAGGAAGAAAAGTGGTGTGAATGTGGCCGCGGTCAAAGTCCCAACCCAAAGAGAAAAATTCTTCAGAAACCGGCGGCGGATGCCAGACTGCAGTGGTCCCCGTTGGGTTGGAAAAGCTGGTGCCAGAGGTTGCGAAAGGGTGAACGGAGCACGGCGAGAGTCCAGTAGATGGACTTCCCGAGAACGCGGACAAATTTGATTCGATCAATGGGCGCGTTTAACCCGCCCGTCGCGTTTCAGCCCGTCAATTTGATCAACAAGGCCACGAGAAATTTCGCTAAGCATAGAGAGGAAGGCATTTCTGCTCGGCTTTCTTCCAATATGAAAAAAGTAAAAAAACTGATTGACCACTCCATGATGTTGTATCCAACACGGTAGTATCTCTGATGGCACGCAACTTGAGCCCAAAGGTAGCATTGTTAGTTTTCTGCGAAAAGATTACCGGCCCCCTATTTCGCGCATGCCGCTGGCGGGAGACATAAATTGCGGCGACAGTGACAGACAGAAGACAACCCGGAGCGGCGGCGGGCATTCTCAAGTGCCTAGGTACACAACACCCAGGAGGCGCGAGTTGGAGCAACCTGATATCCTTATATTACCTGAATCCTATTAGCAAGCACTCCGTATCTGGAGAATTCAGGCCATGAATGGCTGTGGATGTCTCTAGGAACTGAGAGCAATAGGACATGTTCGCAAGTGAACTTACCCTAAAATATGGGGAAACATCTCACCGTCGACGGTGGCTCATCAAACGACTTCGTTAGACCTTGCTTAGCGTAGTCGAAGTATTCCACATGGACGGGGAAACTTCGTGGTGTGGATAGGGCATGACTGCGCCCACTGCCGCCGGGCTTCGCTGGCCGGTGGCTTGTTGCTTGCTCTAGCATTGTATGCGCTCTCACCGCAATCAAGCAAACACTCCCTCTCCCACCGTTCTGTATGGAGATACTATTGTACCTCACCCTCGATCCCGCTAGAGAACGTACGATTCACATCATTTTGTCGCCCTATTGATTCAGTCGACCTCCCCAAGCGCCTCCCTTCACTTCGCCCTCAAACCTCGACGCAATGATCGCGACCCTCCTATTCCCTCCTCTACATCCCGCACTTTGTCGTGTTTGTTGATAATTGGTCCTCATCTTTTGTACACATTCAAGGTCACAGCCTCATCAGGAACATTCGGGACAGACATCGCAGGTTCGGCGTTTGTTCCTACCCTTCCTCCTGGAATTGTGGTCCTGGAAAACACCCTCAAAAACTAGCTCCCCTTCTCAGTACCACGTCTTCTTGACAACAGCGGCGATACTCTTCGCCACACATTTCTTCCTTTTTCCCCTGCACAGACGCCGGTGTCAAGGAGATTGACCTTGACGATTATTATAAAACAAAATCCCCACGTCACTGGATGAAGAAGCACAAGGTTTTGGTAAGTGGGCTGAATCTTTTGTATGGTATATTGTATACACTAACGAATATGGGTCATTCAGCATTCTCACATCTACTTTCATAACACTAGGCGGCCCGAACGTCTATTCAAGAATACCATTCCCTCGACATCCGTGACACTGATTGCGCATATTCAAGGCGGAGGCCTTGGTTGAGGCCGCGGTGCAGGTGGAAGCAGAATGTCTATGGACACTGTCCAGGCGACTGGTGCCGGTCATTCCCAACATGATAACATTCTCTACGATGACCAGCAAGACATGGACTCTGACGGCTATTACACCAATCAATCCGTGAGTTTGCCGGACCTGATCTAAACATGGACAAGCGGTATCCGATCTCAGTGGATATCAATGCTAACATGCCTCAGTATTATCCTCCACCCACCGCCGATGATGCCCCGAGATACACTTCACAAGCCGAACAGACTCCCAACACTTCTTCTTCATATCAATCGCCGACCACGACGCTCCCTTATCACATCCGAAGTCAATCGGCTGCTCATGATCAATATGATGGTGCACCTATCCCTCCTCCTCGAACATCGTCGCAACAGCAAAACTCCCCTCGGACTCCTGTAGCTCCATCAACTGCTCCTTTGGAAGCACGAGTGGCCGCGACGAGACAGGCACGACAAAATGCTCTTGACTCACAAGGTGGTCGAGTTCCAAATCGTGGCGGGGACTACAATGAGACGCGAGATCGGCCACGGGATGACACAGCTACGGCCGCCGCATCCGCTGCACGTAGCCGAAGAAAAGGTCCTTCAAGTCCCGATGGTCCACATCGAGCGGCCAGCACAAGAGAACGAGGCCAACATACTGCTCCTACACAAAGTCGATCTGACGCCACCATGTTTCCATCGACGGCCGCGGCGCCACTCGTGCGTGAGTACAGCGATGTCATCAATCGAGTGGTTGTATCCGATCCCCAAGTTGACGCCGAGAGAGCGCAAGCGAGAGCCGCTGAAGCGCAACCTGCACCTATCGGAGCAGATGCTGAAGATGTCGGAGCAGAACTTCTCCCGGCCCCAGGTCCCGCTCGTCGGCAGGATTATTCCAAGTCTCGCCGAAAAGATGTACAGTTTGGTGATTACATGCTTGGACAGACCCTCGGCGAGGGCGAATTTGGCAAAGTCAAGTTGGGTTGGAAGAAAGATGGAAGTACCCAAGTGGCCATCAAGCTCATTCGGAGGGAGACTGTTGCTTCCAATCCTTCGAGACTTCCCAAAATCTATCGTGAGATCTCTATCTTGCGCGACTTGGCACACCCCAACATTGTCAGACTCCACGAAATGGTGGAAACGGAGCGCCACATTGGCATCATTTTGGAATATGCTTCAGGTGGTGAGCTATTCGATTACATCTTAAATCATCGGTATCTGAAGGACCCTGCCGCCCGAAGATTGTTTGCTCAGTTGGTTTCTGGTGTTGGGTACCTTCACAAGAAAGGAATTGTCCACCGAGATCTCAAATTGGAAAATCTGCTTCTGGACCAAAATCGGAACATCATCATCACTGATTTTGGATTTGCCAACACTTTTGATCCGAAAGACGAACTCTCCGATGAAATCATTTACAACCTGGGCAACAAAGAGTTTGTCCGAAAATTCAAACTTGATCGAATGGATGCTCGTGGTATGCGAAGAGGTGACTTGATGCAAACCAGTTGCGGTAGTCCTTGCTATGCCGCTCCTGAATTGGTGGTGAGCGACTCATTATACACCGGTAAGAAGGTTGACGTCTGGAGTTGTGGTGTAATTTTGGTAAGTCAAAGCGAAACATCAACATCCTTTCGGTGTGGGATCTCACACAATCCAGTATGCCATGCTGGCAGGATACTTACCGTTCGACGACGACCCCGCAAACCCTGAGGGCGACAACATTAACCTTCTCTACAAATACATCACCACGACGCCTTTGACCTTCCCAGAATATGTCACCCCACATGCAAGAGACCTTCTCCGTCGTATTCTCGTCCCGGATCCCCGAAAGCGTGCCGATTTGTTTGAGGTGGCTCGTCATAGTTGGTTGAGTGAGTATCATCATGTGGTTTCGCACATCACTAGTAGTACCACCAATGTCACGGATATTGCATATACGACTGTTCCATCTGGTAAGTCAATTGCCCCTTATGCTCAAGAGACTGTTTCTGAAGAAAGGAAGAAGAAGAAGAGGAAGAAGAAGAAGATCCTGTGATCAATAGAAGCGCCTCCGTACGTGAAGGACCAACCAGATCTGGCGGAGCTTCTCCTGGTGCTCTTGTTCGTACACCAAAGGGGCTATTGCAGGAAGATGAAGGTTCTGCCGGATCACGTCGTGACCGCTCGACGCGCCACACTCTTCAGCCAGAGTATGTCGCTCCTCAAACACACACAGCCCGTGGACAAAGTTCGGTGGCGGCAGCAACATCAATCCCCGCTCCTCCCGTGAGCCACAGCCGGCCCGAAGAGGCACCCCAGGTTGTCACGTCAACACAACCTCCATCTCTATCGAAACCATTGCCGCAAGAGCCACCGGCGGAAAGCAGAAGCGACAGAGCTCTTGTGTCATCGACACAGCAGAAGATGCCACCTCCTGTACGCCCTGCTCGTGATATTCCGAGATCCGTTTCAGACTCGACGAGTGCTTTTGGCACAGCACCAGCTCCCAATGTCACAAGACCAAGTACTCGAGGGTCGATGGCCTCTGCGAGCGGACCTACCAACACCAGATCGGATCTTCGTCTGCCATCTCGTGGATCTTATGGACAGCCTGTAGCTCCAACGGTTGCCGCCACCAACGTCCAGGGTCGGGTCACTCAACCGACCAAACCTAGTCGAGGATACAACATTTCAGGCCCCCTTCCCCCGGCTGGTGCACAGAATTCGATCGGACAACCCATGACAACACCAATGCCACCGCCCAGCTCACATCAATCACAAAAAGCTACTCATCACCGACGATCGAGTACGTTAAGTGGACTAGGCGAGCGACTGTTTGGCAGATCGAACTCGGTGGTGAAGAAGGACCCCGAGCGACAGAAGAATGGACGCAAGTATCCGCCCACTAGCATGAAGGAATACCCTCCCGAGGCTCAATCGCGCATGTCGACGGATTCCAAACGATCCTTCTCGTTTGGCTTGGGCAAGAAGAAGAGTACAGATTTGGAAAATCACGTGCAAGGAGAGAAACCGGTACGACGATTTTCACTTATTCCTAATTCGATGACGTTCAAAGGTCTGATGGGGAGTGCCAAGGACGAGACATCATCCTCGAAACCGGGAACTCCACAAGGAGAACGATATATTCAGCCCGTTTCTAGTCGTCCAGTGACTGGCCAGGAATATGTCAGTCAACCGATGTCCGGTTCGGATGGTCAGTATGATGGATCGAGACCCGTGAAGTACAACAATTTCTCTCGACCTCCTCAGACACAGTACCAGAGAGCAGTGACAACACAGGTCACCAACGATGTGTACGGAGGCACCGCAGTGTACAGTCCGCCGGTCCAAGGACGTGTTCCCCACCAACGCCAACAGAGCGAGCTGATGACAGATATGGTACAATACGCCGACGCTGGAGATATCATGGGTCGACCATCAATGCAGCAAGGACGACAAGGTCGCGGCGTTCTCGTGAAGAACAATCGCAAGTTCTCCGAAGCGTACGAGCATGAACAAGGACCCACTCACCATGGAGGACGATCAGGAGCCGTGAAGAAGGTGCAGGATTTCTTCCGTCGACGTCGAGCTCCAACAGATGGTTGATTTTCGATTCAGATCAGCTGAGAAACGGAGATAGGGTTGACCGACTTGGATTCTTGATGAGAAGAATGGATTGGAGACCGATGACGGTGGATACAGTTTTTTCCCTTTTTTTCCTCTTTTTTTTTTTTTTTTTTTTTCTTTTGTAATGATTAATTATTGGCAGGCATTGCGTTGTGCATGTATTGATGGACCTAAGAATTCTGTTGGAAGTCACATCACATTCAAGAAGTTTCTCTTCTCCCAGCCTGGTGAGGATTGAATTGAGCTGTGTTTGTCGGAATCAAGAAGAAAGAATCATGTCAACGGCGTTGCTTTGATCGCTGAGGCGAGCAGGAGGATAAGCTTGATCGAGCTTGAGATTGCGTGGGATACCCCTACATAACATTGTATGAGAAGAACAAGACATTGAAAGCTTGAAGTGCGTATATTTTGGGCGGAATTTCGCTCGGTGCATTGAAGATGCAGTAAAGTGTGGACCAAGCTTTTGAAGACGGGGTTGAATCCACCCTGTGCTGCCTCCCCCCGCAATCAACCCCTGCAGCAACGGTCACCCGATTTCGCCATTACCGCCTCTCCGCTCCCAAAACTCTGTCCATACAGATGACCTGGAGAAATTCATTTGCTCCTCGTCAATGGGAGGGTCCTCGTCCTCTTCTCCATCTTCCTCTGCCGGTAATCCCTAGCGAGCCCAGAACCTTGACCGGCCGGAACAGGTTTGATCGTGGACAAATCCCCAACTGGCTGCTCTTCGACAGGGTTACATAGAAAAGAAAAGGTCTCTCTATCTTCATGAATGGGCTGGTGAGGCCATCCAATATGGCCAACAACGGCCGCCTGTTACCAACCACTACCACCTGCGTCGGTCTCGTGGTTTTGCTGTTGGCCGGATATTTTCTCCATCGACAACTGTCCGTATCCTCATGGTATGTTCCCGAGTACCTGGTGTTTGCTACTTAAACTCATGTCCTTCCAAAGGACAGCTTATTTCCGTCACCAGAATTTCCTAGAGAAGTTCACATCGTCGTCTCTTGTTCATGCGTAGGATCTCATTACCTTTTTTCATAGTTTCGACTCTTCCTTTCAGCAGACACACCTAGTCGAGCAGGTCAGTGTTTTCGAACTCTTCAAAATGGTGTCCTCAGCGTTCCTCTCCAGCCTCCTTCTTGCTCCACATCTCGCCATCGCTCAATCCTCTACAGCAGCGTCTCGCGCTTCATCGATCACTACATTTGCAGCTCAGTTCACTGTCCCAGCAAGCGCCGATGAAGGAGCCACCCTTCTACCCAACATTTATGATCCGTCAGCTCCGAATGCTCAGGCCCGCTGCCCTGGATATACTGCCAGCAACGTCAAGGCATATTCCACAAGGCTAACCGCACATTTGACATTGGCCGGGACGGCCTGCAATGCGTATGGAAGTGATATTCATGATCTTGACTTGACTGTTGAATATCAAACCAATGCCCGACTACATGTGAATATCCGCCCTTCCCACATCACTGCCCATAATGAGAGCTGGTACCTCCTGGATGCCGCTTACGTTCCCGCTCCCCGTCAGGGGAATGGTCAAATGACAACCAGTGATTTGACATTTTCGTGGGCCAATTCACGAAACAGTGGCTTCGGATTCAACGTCACGCGAAACAGTACGGGGAACGTTTTATTTTCAACCACTGGGACCAAGTTGGTCTACGAAAATCAGTTTATCGAACTGGTCACTCATCAAGAAGAAAACTACAATCTCTACGGTCTTGGTGAAGTCATTCATGGCCTGAGATTAGGCAATAATCTTACTCGAACTCTCTACGCTGCAGACGTTGGTGATCCGATCGATCGGAATCTTTATGGCAGCCACCCGTTCTATTTGCAGACCAAATACTTTGAAGTCGAGGAGGGCAACAGTATCACGTTGGTGACTGAACAACTGAATACCACGGAGGCCACCAGGAACTACACTTCTTCGACCCACGGAGTCTACTTCAGAAATGCCCACGGTATGGAAGTTCTGCTGAATCCCAACAATGTCACGTGGAGAACACTGGGTGGTAGCATAGATTTATACTTCTTTTCAGGCCCGACCCAACCAGATGTCACTCGTCAATATCTCAACGTCATCGGCAAGCCAGCTCTACAAAACTATTGGGGATTTGGATTTCATCAATGCCGATGGGGCTATCAAAACTGGTCCGTCACTGAAGGTGTGGTCAGCAACTATGAAAAATTTGGGATTCCTCTCGAAGTCATCTGGAATGATATCGATTACATGAACCAGTACCGAGATTTCGACAATGATCCGATTCGGTTTAGCTACTCTGATGGACAGGACTTTCTCCAACGACTGCACAGCAGAGGCCAACACTACATCCCCATCATAGATTCTGCAATATATGTGCCGAACCCCAGCAATTCTAGCGACGCATACCAAACCTTTAATGACGGGAACGACACCAAGTCTTACCTCCTCAACCCAGATGGGTCTCTGTACATCGGTGCCGTTTGGCCCGGCTATACGGTCTTTCCAGACTGGCTTACTCCTTCGGCGCACGCCTGGTGGAAGAACCAAATGGTCACGTATCATCAAAAACTCCCCATCGACGGCGCCTGGATCGATATGAGCGAAGTGTCTTCCTTCTGTGTCGGAAGTTGCGGCACAGGCAACCTGACTTTAAATCCCGTCCACCCCCCATTCAAACTGTCGGGAGAGCCTGGCAACCAAATTTTTGAATATCCAGAAGGCTTTAATTTGACAAATGCTACCCAAGCCGCATCAGCCTCGTCAGCATCAGAATCTCAAGCGTCAGCCACGGCCACTTCAAGCGCGAGTTCGAGTACATCCACGAGCTATTTCAGAAGCACGCCCACCCCAGGTCAAAGAAACATCAATCACCCTCCTTACGTCCTCAACCATGTCCAAGGAGACCTGGCAGTGCACGCCGTTTCTCCCAATGCCACACATCATAATGGTATTCAGGAATACGACGTCCATAATCTCTACGGCCACCAAATTCTCCAATCGACTTATGCAGCCCTTTTAGCGGTCATTCCCGGCAAACGACCCTTCATCATCGGCCGGTCGACATTTCCGGGCTCCGGTGCTGTTGCAGGGCATTGGGGCGGTGACAATGCTTCCAAGTTCTACTACATGTACTTCTCCATCCCTCAGGCATTGAGCTTCTCACTCTTTGGAATCCCGATGTTCGGTGTTGACACGTGTGGTTTCAACGGAAACAGTGACGAGGAACTGTGTACTCGCTGGATGCAGCTCAGCGCCTTTTTCCCTTTCTATCGGAACCACAATGTGATCTCGGCGATCTCTCAGGAAGCATACACGTGGGTCTCAACCATTGACGCAACAAAGATCGCCATGAACATCCGCTTCCAACTGCTTCCCTACCTGTATACGCTTTTCTACCAGGCACATACTCGAGGCGATACCGTTATGCGTGCTCTGGCATGGGAGTTCCCGCAAGACCCATCCCTCGCAAATGCTGATCGACAGTTCTTCCTGGGCCCTTCTATCCTCGTAACACCGGTCCTCACACAAGGTGCCACTACTGTCGACGGCGTTTTCCCGGGTCTCGTCGAAGGCACCGACGTCTACTATGACTGGTACAATAAAATTCCTGTACCCGTTCCGAGCACCAAAAATACCACCATTGCCGCTCCCCTGGGTCATATTCCAGTCTACATTCGAGGCGGATCGGTCCTGGCCACACAATCGATGGCCATGACCACGCGCGACGCCCGCAAAACTCAATGGTCAATCATCGTCGCGCCTGGCGTTGACGGCACAGCGACCGGTTCCCTATATCTAGACGACGGCGAATCCCTGACACCCAACGCAACCAAAATTGTTACCATGACTGCAGCAATGGGTTCTCTCAACGTCACTGTCTCAGGCAACTATACCGGCTTAGATCTCCCATTGGCAAATATCACCATCCTCGGCGTCCAGACGAAACCGGCCAGTAGTGCCGTGAGAATCAACGGACTGACTGTCGCCAATAGTATCTACGATTCTGATACGAAGACGCTGTTCATCGGTCCCTTGCAAAATGTGCTTGGAGGCAAGATCTGGAGTGGGAATTGGACGTTGTCTTAATAATACTATCCCCCCGTGTGCTGGGGACATGAAACGTGGGAGAAGCATGATACTCCGTATTCCGGATGTGGTGGATGGAAGTAAGCAAGGAAATGGAAATAAATGTCAAAAGCAAGTTAGCTCTTTTTCCGGAAAATCTGACATGGTCGAGTGTCTACATTGCACGGACAGATGAAACAGAAATGGCATCTTAGTCATACGACCACTGTTATTAGTACCTGGCATCTACCACAGTACCAAACGAAACACCTCAGAATCCGATCAATGCATGTACGTTCTCACGTTGGCGTGTGGGACTTTTGATAAGCCTCCGCTAATGAGCAAAGTCCTCACCCCCTCAATGTTTCCACCCGGCTCCGCCGCTTTAATATCCTGCTGCAATGAGCCAGGAGTCAAGGATCATAGCGAAAACCAGGATTCTCTAGCATCAAGCCCCTGATTATTTCAGCCTACCGTTGGCCACGGCAGACAGTGGAAGATGGCCCGCACCCAGCCCCATATTTTGACGGCAGCCGTCTCTTGGATCTCTCTTGATGTTGGTGTCTCATTGAGCGTGCATTGTTCCGGCCTAGGGTGAATAAATTGACCGAGAAGAGAAAGAAACGGCTCCTGAGCTTCCTGGGGATTTGGGCCGAAATGGGGAAATATGTGGCTCCAATGGTACGAGCAAGTGTTAAGCCCTCCTCAAGCGATACTGGTGGCGGTGGGATGTCCGTCTAAGTTCCAGCCAAGGCCAGAAGGCATCCTCGTTTGCGAGATTCAGCCAGGTGGGTTTTGAACGCCATAACGGGAGCGAAGGATGGTCGGGACACCGTGCTGAATACGAATATCATTGCATCGCTTTGCGGGTACTGGGTTGGATCGCCCTCAGTGTCAACAACGTGAACGTCCACCCACACGGAATCAAAGATGACAAATATTCGATATTTGTCCACGTTTGCACGGGCAAGATCAGGCCTAAACTTGCCTAATAGAAACTGCCGGCAGGCGAGCTCGAGCCGGACCACATCGACGGAGCCTTACCTGATAAATGAGCATCGTTTTGTCTACCGATGCACCACCAAAGATGACCACGTTGAACTTTCTCTCCATGTGAAACGAAAACGATCAATGGCCGTGAGACGTAGCGAGTAGCGAAGCGAATGGCGCAGGGGAGAACAGAGGCAGAATGCAAGGTCACCAGATGGGAAATTCTCGACTTTAAGCACCAACTCGACATTCATTAGTGATCTTGCAGTCACTGGTCATGATACGCGTGGCGTTGTAAACCTCTAGAATCGCAGGTGTGTTTGGGACCCAGATCCACCCAGCAGCCACAAAGGACAAGTGAATCAGCGAGGATGGACATCCTTCTTCCCACTTCTTTTGATTGCGAGACTCGTTTGAAGATCAGCAAGCAGTGCTGCACACTCGCGAGTGGCGATCCCTAGCACTCGCACTCGCAAGTGGCCACTCGCGTCGCATACACCTTCCAAATTGAGTATATTGTCAGGGTCGTCCTCGTTAAGACATGGTGATCAACATCGTCGACATATGGTCCATGGACTGGATCCGATAGGGGATATCTGTGGATTTCTGCCAAGGATTCTGGCTCACGCTAAGCTACATTCGTTTACGGAATATATATAAGTAAAGCGGCCACCCCCAGCAGATAGTTTTAGTTAGTTCATACATTCTCTTCCCGCCGCTACAACCACAGGTGGTAGCAACGCGCTATTCCTTTCCTGAGCGAATTCGGCCGCATATTCGCAAGGGACAGTGAGGCACCGCGAGCAGGCTTTGCTCCTACTTACGGTCCTTTACTGCAACTTGATCCTTTACGGTCCTCTATTGAAGAGACGACGGCGGCCCTCGTCGAGATTTCTTGCAACAGGGAGACTCGAGGAGTTCCTACCCTGTGTGCGCGCCCGGCTCTGCCGGCACTCTCCTGTCGTCATTGACCGTAACCGTGCGCGAAAGCACGGGACTCTTTACGTCAGGGAGAGGGGCCTTGGGCGACTCATCGACGGAGTCCTCAGCTGTCGATGGGGATAGAGTTGGCAAAGCTGACTCTGACAGGCGAAGAGTATTCGGATTGGCTCGAAATACTTCGCAAGTATCGGGGTAGTACGTCACTACCATTATCCGATCGAGACCCCTCAGTCCAGTGGTAAGGCATAAATACGTGTGTCCCTTTTCGATTTGTTACGAAGGGATACGCACGCTACAAAAATGTCTTCTACTGCCTATAGTAACCATACCCCCCCCAAGTGAGGGCTACCCTCAGCATGAGCGGATCCCGCATTGGAAAAGGGAACTGGATGCGAGCACGGCTGACAGACAACGAGCTGCGACTCGTTACGGGCTCCGTCACCACCCACAAAAGAAAACATGGTAGGAATGAAGTTGGTTAGGGTCAAAAGGAGGCACACTCGTTACGGAAAAAAGAAAAGCCTCGCGATCGCTTCATAACATTTACAACCTCATTGACGTTGTCCTTATTTTTATGCACTTTTACGAAACGAAGCGTAAAAGACCGCAATGAAGCGGCAGACAGAACAACCCCCCTCCAAGATGGTTACGAGGAATCACGAAATGATTCACTCCGATTGATTATCATCATTTTCATCCCTGTCGTTATAGTTAGCTGCGAAACTACGCGAGTGTTTCCGATCACTTACGGATCATCATCAGCTGTCTCTACAGGAGCAGCCTCTGCACGAGCACGTTTGGATCCACGTTTCGCTCTGGTATGATTAGTTATGAGTCAACACAAATAATTACGAATCAACTTACTTCTTCTTCTCTGGAGTTCGAGCAGGATCCTGGATACCTGAAAATTGATGAGAATCGTAACCACGCTCAAGGGATCGTACATACGGGCATTGAGAGAACAATAAGCTGCACGTTGCTGGAAATGACAGTTGGCACAGGCTGTTAAGGGTTAACACAACCACATTCAAACAATTACGGATTAGCACGCACCACCATTGTGCTCACCAGCGACTGAACGACATTCTGTGAAGGGACCGGACGAATTTCCACAATGATGACAAACTGTCACGATCAGTTACAAGCCAAAAGGAAAATTTCGGACACCTACTGCGATTGTTGACCTCGCCATACTGTTGCATCATGATCGCCTCAGCATACCCAGCACGCTCTGATGCGACTGTTAGCGAAAATATACGACCACATGCAGAAGGGTTGCGGGAAAAAGAGGATATTGCATACTTTGCAGCACCTCATCGGATTGCGTCAATTTCTTCCTGCACACCACAACATTCTTTGTCACCCCCGAGAAATTTGCTCGTAATCGCTCGCATCGAGTTGATTTGTTGTTGATTTCAATATCGAGTTGCACGTTGTGCGCCATTTTCGTGGTCGTAACAGTCCGAGTTCGGCAGAACTACATCGAAACAAACTGTTACAAAGATTGAGTCAGCAATCATCCAAATCGTTCGACAACGACGAGGGAAGGAGGTCAATTGTTGGTATCGTCTCCGGCACTTCAAGCGATAGACCCTCAAGCGGCCATGATGTGACGATGTGAAAATCCGTTGTGCGGGACAAAAAGTCAACGAGATTGACGTCAACGCGAGTCGAACACCCTGGGAATGATTGGGAACATATCGTAATAAACCTCATGGGAAACACTCTTCATCCAGGCAAGGTCGAATCATTTCGGCAACAACAAGAGGGTCACTTCAAACCAACGTGAAAGCATTCCGACTCTCGACAGATCGTAACAATGTGCGGATGTCCGAAATGAGTCACAACAAAGGGAACTTGAATTCGGATCGACGAACTCTTCCAAACCTTGGGATTGCAACATGATCGTGGGAAACCCAATGCCTCGAGCGGCCAGTTCGATAAGGCACAAGCCATTTATATCCCCCACGAGCGTATGCAATCAGATTAAGAGGGGCGTGTTACTCACCTCTGTTGTCGACAAGGAAGAGGAAGAAGAGGAAGAAGAGGAAGAGATTGAAACAACGTAAAAGTAATAGGCCGCAGACAGGCGAGCATGTGATTCGCGCAGGAGCGCGCAACTTTCCTAAGTAGGGGAGGACCTGTGGTTGTAGCGGCGGGAAGAGAATGTATGAACTAACTAAAACTATCTGCTGGGGGTGGCCGCTTTACTTATATATATTCCGTAAACGAATGTAGCTTAGCGTGAGCCAGAATCCTTGGCAGAAATCCACATATCGTACGTGTCACGGGACCACCTGCCAAGGGATTACGGCACAGGACGCCATAGACTGGATCCGATCAGGGGGGTCTGGCAGACAAAGGCGGCATTCCTGGGTGGGCAGTGGATTGGATCCGATGGGGTCAGCCAATTAAAGCACGTGATTGGGTGTCGGATTATAGATTTTCCGGATCCCGAGGGGTCGCAATCACGTAAATTGTCGTACCGCCGCATGTGTGCGCCGCCAAGAGTTGCCAAGGCCAAAGTGGCCGGCTCAATCACGTGATCTCTCGAGCGCAGCGAGGCCGGGGGTTTAGGGGCTTGCCCCCAAAAGACAAAGCTACGCTTTCACCCGCCGCGGAATATCCTGTCCGCGGCCCCTAGTACAGTAACAATCACGAGAGATAATCAGTAAACGCGCGCTGATCTCGCTCCGCGGTGGACGTCATGCCAGAGCCATGGCATCGACAATCCAGTGCACGTGACTGCGTCCATGGTGATGTCATTTTGGGGGCTATCGAGCTACAAAAGCCAAAGCCACCTACATCCACTCCATCCCGCACCTTACCAAGTTCGGACGATCTCCTCCTTAATCAAAGGCCTCCCTCGGAGATTTTGCCTGCGACTATCGAAGAAACCGAGGAAGATCTGAATGAGAAACCTACGCGAGATGGCACTGGAGGAGGAGGGAAAAGCAGGAGAAGAAGAGAGGGCTCGCTCGCGCTATTTCAGTGGGCTACGTGGAGCAGAAGAAGCAGCATACGTTGACACAGTGGGGGAGGACAAGAGACAGCTGATGGGAGAGGAACATTTCCATGAAGCCGCCTACCACGATGTCTTACAAGGTGAAAGGGCTAGAGCGATCGAGGCTGGAAGAAGTTCAGATGACACTCTCTGACCCTACGGCTACAACTGTGATTTAATATCGCATGCTGAACGGCTCAAGCCGTAGCGGGCGCTCGCGCAGGTGCACGGCTCTTCTGGCGGTGGAAATCTAAGTACATTTGCCTACCAACGTGACGTGTGCGAATGATATTCGCAGCTCATACATGCCTTGACTATATGACTCCTCAGGACCTATCTATCGTACATATTGAACACATCATTTGGAAAATACATTCCGACCCAGAGCGCTACATTCTCAGAAGCACTACGAATATGCAACAATCCAGTTAATTGCCATGTCTTCGTCGCTCGCACGAAACCAGTCTTCTCTTGGCTCTTTGACGAAATGAATATTTGCTGGCTCCTGGGGTTCGTCATCATCGATGCCGTCTTCCTCTTCTTCTTCATCAAAGTCCCGGTGATTTCCATCGTAGTCTCTCTCGTCACAGTATTCAACAAGGAGTCGATGGTAGTCATCATGATGCCAGCTTCTGTAATATCCATCGTAGGCCGTCAGAGCGTTGCGGGCCTCATCTCTTTCAGCTTCATCGAGTAGGTCATCAGCTTCAGGTTGCATTACATCTTGGCCGAGGAAACTGAGGTCGCCTTCCAAACGTTGTTCCTGGTCCACAGAATAGAAGAAACGGAGGCGGTCGTCCAGGGCCTCGTTAAAAATGTCCACATCCCATCGCTCCGCGTTTGGGAAATCGGCATTTTCGGCTTTCGCCAACGCTTCAGGCGAGGGATTCAGCCTTTCACCAAGCCAGCCAAGTGGTTCAGCAAAATCCGGTGCAAAGGTATCGACCTTCATCATTAGGGAGCCTGTTTTGATGTAGCGTAAAATTTTCAAATCCATTTCGTAGTTGTACTTGTATTCCAGCTTTATAGCTCGATACCTGTTGCGGTGTCTATCCCTCAATGTTCCATGCTGCTCTTCCCTAAGATCCTCTATCAAGTCTCGTATAACCACCAGGCGCTCATGAAAGTCGAGGACCCTGCTGCGTGCTTTAGCTGCCCAGGCTAGCAAAATTGGATCTGTCTTAGGTAAAGATAGAGGGTCGATCGAAAACAGGACGTAGAGCACTGGCACGTAGGAGCCTCTTTTACAGCTCATTGGATGCTCTAGCTGCAAGTCCGCTGCGGCTGCAGCTCTGTATAACCGAGGCGACACATGGTAAGGTTGATCTTCGGGGGAGAAGAAGTAATCGATGGCAAGTGTTTCTCGTAGCCAGTGAGAATTGCGGGTCGCTCTCACTGCCCGCTCATCTAGGAGTTGCCAAAAGTCCAGCGTAAGTGGCTGTGGCTTCATTTTCTCAATGTTTAGTCCGCTATACTCTTCCACGACGCGGCGAAAAGGGTCGTCGTCGTGGAAGTCTGGTACATGGCTTTGCCTTTTCTCCTCACCAATGGTCACTACGCCGAATATCCTCATTTGACACTGGAGGATGAGCTCGGTGTTCCATTCAGCCGTGAAAGAGTCTTGCATGTAATCTTCGTCGTCGTCAGCCTCCTGGTCCAGGGGATCGTCGTAAATATCGGCATCCCTAGTCAAACGGATATCAAAAATGTCTGGTTCGAGCTGCCACGACCGGCTCTGCTCATCTTTAGCCCACCAGCACCGGCCGAACAGTGTGTCGACGTCAACCCGCCCTTGTATGAACTTTTCGATCTGGGGACGAGAGTTGTCCGGCTCCGCAGATTCCAGCAGCCGCGTGGCAGCGTACTTCAGGTTGTGTACCAGCCACGATTTGACTTGGCTCCATGTGCACCACCGGCTATTCAGCACCGCACGTGTCATACTTCGGACATCCCAGCTGGATGGCGGAAGATCGAGCATAGGAATCATGTAGTGTAATTTATGAATGTTGAACAATTTGTCAACATCGTGGCTGAAGAAAGCAAGGAGGAACGCAGCGCGGTACACCGATGTTTGTCCTGACAGCTTGATCGCGATCAGCGGGGATGCCGTAATCAGATTCCCGTTCATGGAGACAAGAAAAATCTGTTGTAGTAACTCAGTCGGTAGAGCTTCCAAGTGACAGGGGCTAGACAGCCGTTGTGCCTGGCCCGGACTCATTTTTCGACGTTTGAGTGTGTAGGTGTCGAGTTTGGTCAGGGATGATGTTGTTTCAGAGTAGATTGACCCTGTACGCGTGCGCTTCAGGGAGCTTATCCACTCCATGTTGACTCGCAGCGCGGTAATAGGACTACACTCAGGAGTTTTGGACTGGTTCTTGGACTTGAAGGGTTCAAAGAGAAAAAAGTTTGAAAGTATGAAGAAAAGCCGCCAGGATCGCGTTCTCAAGGTCGCGCCAACTTAATGACGTAATGTAACGCCTGCTTTCCAGATGATTGATTCCTTTGCACTTTTCAACCCGGAAGGTACCTTAGGAACCAAAGGCCGTGCCTCCGCCGATACACGTCCAATGTACGATGCCCGATTCTGCTTGTTGTATAGCAGGCCAATTACTGCAACGACACCCAGCGTCTCCGGGTGATCCAGGCCCAGCGCGTCCTCTGACATAAGCTGAGGAAAGAGAAAAGGAGGGAGTCTCTGCACGCGATGCTGAGCGAATAAACACAGAAGTGCCAAGCCGAGAGATGCCAAGACGAGGCAGTACGTGTTGACCAATAGATGTCCACGTCCTCTCCGGCCTTTTTTGTCGATTGTCCTCTGGCAAAATCCTGACACTGGCCTTCATCGTGAGTTTTACGACCTCTCTCTGGCCAACTGTTAGATGTAGTGCTCCAGCAATCCACACCTTTGGAGCATCTCCATTCTTCCGTTTGCCGTGCCGTCACATCATCTCTCTCTGTGTTCAACCCATTTACTCAACCAATCATTCAAGCCTCTGGAGACTTGTATCACGGCATCAAATCAACGATCATGTCATCAAATTAATGAATACTGCATGCCTGGTGTGGAAAATGGTGCGCCAGTAGTGCGTGAAACAGCTGACAGGGTTGACAGTAAGTCCTAGTTGACAGATTGATCATCCGTCCCCAGCCCACCCTCCCTGCGACGCGAGCGATACCTCATCCAATCATATGCACGCGTTGGAATTCAAAAGCTGGAATCTGTGGCTTTACATACCTGGTTACGAAGTTCCTTTCGTCTCTTCGTTCTTCAAGGCACAAGCTGGATCAAAGGAAGTCTCTGTACATTTCTGTTTTTCCTCCGTCAACTCTCCTATTCCAATGACACCTGCCATATAGAACGCTTGACCACAACAATGGAACTCTTCAAAGGACCCTCTCGTCATCGCCCTCTTCACGGCGACGAGATCCGCCTGCTCAAGCTGCTACCGGGTAGCTTCAACGATCCTATCATATGTTACCTGGAACATGATTCTCTGGCATCCGCGCCGCGATATGACGACCTTTCATACGTCTGGGGCGATGCAACCCAAACGTCGCTCATAATGCTCGATGGCGTGCAATATCCAATCACCAAAAACATAGAGGCCTCGCTGCGACACCTGCGACATCCAGAATGCATTCTTACTCTGTGGGCTGATGCCGTTTGCGTCAATCAACTCGACATTCCAGGAGCGGAATGTCCAAGTGGCCAGGATGAGGGACATATTTGAACAGGCTAATCGCACGGTTATATGGCTTGGCGACTACGCTCCTCAGACTAAAGAGAGCGTTGACTCGGCCTTCAATCTTGTGGAGCGGGTCTTTGACATTTTGAAGAACGGCGGATACACCCATGCCGCTGTCCAAGACATCATCAAGGACCATGATGCTGATGTCCGCGTTCTTCAGGAAATCGTTCAGCGTCCTTGGTTCTACGGAGTGTGGGCCATCCAGGAGATTGCCATGTGCAAGACGCCAGAAGAGTACGTCTTAGGGCCCGATGAGCCTAGGTTTGTCCTTGACCACTCCAGAATTCTATTCACAACATTCTGTCTATCTACCGCCGCTATCGCAATGGCAAGAAGCAAACGACGTCCTATGGATTCACGGGATGCGGCGTACGAGGAATATGCTATTGACTGGCGAAGTTAATCTCACCCAGGCTGAACAGCTGGTCACATTTTTATCGCGGGGTGCATGCGCTTTCGAAGCGACCGACGAGCGGGACAAGATATGTGCTCTCTTGGGCCTATTGCCCTCTAAGATCCTTCCTCCTCAGCTACGGCCAAACTACGCCCTGACCGCGGAGCAAATTTTTGGGGACTACGCAGTGTATATGCTTGAAGAGACGAAGTATCTCGACATCCCGACTTGCTGCTCTGGTTCGCGACCCGGTCTCCCTTCCTGGGTTCTAGATTGGAAGAATGGGTATTCATCGGAGCCTTTTCATCTTGGCAAGGTCTCATATATTCGTTTCCTAGAGGGAAATAAGAAGATGGAGATCGACTGCATGGTTTTGAGTCACATTGCCAAGGTCCTCAACCCTGTGGAAATTGCTGCCGAATTCACAGGGCGCGTGGAACTCGAGTGGGAATCGGAGGATTCCGCAGTAACGCTGCCGCAATCTCACGAAAAGATTGCCAACCCAGCAGAGGCAATGTCGAACGTCTATGGCATCCTACCATCTGTTGAGACTAAATGGTTTGGGTGCCGAGCGCTCGACGCAAACCTGACGCCGGTAGAGTTGGACCGTTGGGATTGCCGCGCTGGAGATTGGGTTCGGGGGATCTAAGGGCATCGACGACCCCCGGTGGAATGGCTGCAGCACGCGGTAACTATGGAAGAGTTCGTAATCCCAAAGCACTGCCCATCCCTGGTGACGCTATCTGCTATTTCAAGGGTGGCTCGTTTAGGTTCTTGATACGGCCTGAGCAAGGTGGCTGGTGATTAGTCCGTGCCGACTGGGAAACACACACCATTTCTCGTGAAGCGACAGAAGCCGGGAGCACTAAGCAGTGGGAGGACTTTTGGGTATCTGATTGGCACAATACTCAGAGGATTATACTTCACCAATATCACATTATCTTTCTGCTATTACTTGTTATAGGAATGCTAGGAGGTTACCATAATAGGATAACGACAAATAACCGATATACCACTGCTTGGCATAGTTGCAGGATCCAACATATTGCTGATATAAGTAGATGTCTTGAGCCTTTGCTTCTCCGTTATATGGAACAAGGTCAGCATTGACATCAAGCGGTGTGTTCGGCAACTTGTCTGACTGTGAGATATTGAACTTAGTTGCTAGCTTATCGATATATGAGTCCTGGCATAGCCATATCGTGCGCTCTTCGCGATCCCGTACGATACGGATCCCAAGAAACCATGATGCTTGGTCAAGAAGACGAAATGTGTACTTGCTCGTCAATCCTTTTAGGATCGTTAAACTTGTCCTGATTGTCCTTGTGATATAGCATCATAATGTCGTCCACGTAGAAGAATACAACAAGCCAATCGTTAGTTTACTCCTGGCACTTGTTGCAAACCCATATTCTCGAGTCCATGTGTAAACTCGTTGTACCACAGTAATGGCGCTTCTTTTAAACCGTACAGCGCCTTCAACAGCATAAGGACACTGCCGTCTTCTTCAAAGCCTTCTGGAAACTCGACGAAGACCTCCTTGTCGAGAGTTGCATTTAGGAGTGCACTGATAGCGTCAAGCTGTACAATTTCAAGGTCAAAGTATGCTGCGATGGCGAACAATAATCGTGTCAAGTCCATCGGTTTCCAAATCGTAATTGGGTTCATACGGTTCGGAGTTCTGTAAGTTGTTGAAGTCGTCTAGCACTTCCATAACTTGCGGTGCGGCTTCACGCAAAAGTTGCTCAGTTGAGACATCGTCTGGGTTGCAGAATCTCGTTTCATCAAACGTAACATCCCTTGTTCGAATAACTTGATCGGCGTTCGGTTGCCATATTCGATAGATATTCGTCGAGTCATATCCAATCAAGTAGCCAATCGATGCTCGTTCCTCAAGCTTGTTGAGTCTTGGGATACCATGGTTAAGCGTGTATGCCTTGCAGCCGTATACCCTGACATGCGACAAGTCTGGCTTCGTGCCGTGCAGGGCTTCGAAAGGTGTCTTCCATTCGAGTAGTTTAGTCGGAGTGCGGTTGAGTAAATATCCGGCAGCTTTCACGATCTCAGGCCATAGGTTTTCTGGCAGTCGAGCAAGTATGCGCATTGCTCTTGAGGTTGCCATTATCACCCCCCAGAGCGTTCCGCGTTACCGTTTTGCTGTTGCGTGTTAACAGCTGAACGTTCTGACGATATGCCGTTATTTGTCAGTAAAGCGTTAAAGTCGTTGCCAAGGGTCTTCTCCCCATCAAGGCGAATGAAAGCGACTTTCTTTTCATATCGTGTCTTGACCATGTTGACGTATTCAAACATGACGTCATTCACGGCTGCTTTTGTTGCGTGAGTGTAAACATGGTTCATGTCTATTTTGAAACATTTAAAATGGCTCATCCATTTGTGGCCATTGTATCCTTCTTTGAACGGAATCAAGTCTCATGAAACTCGAGCAAATGGCTTGCCAGGTGCCTCCTCTTGGTCGGAGCTGTTGGCAGTCCACATTTGGCCTAGCCTAAGTCACGTGCACCGCAGCCTTCGTGGCCCCTTTTTGTAGCTTGCACCTCGCTCAGACAGATTCAATCAATCAATCTTCTCTCGGCCCAACAGGAGCGTCGTGATATAATTTGCTTCGATTTAGCCAAGCTACAAGCTTCGCACTCAGCTAGGGGCCGTGGACAGGATATTCCACGGGGGGTAAAAGCTATGCTTCTGTATTTCGGAGGCTGGCCGCCAACCCGCCGGGCTCACAGCGTTGGGGATTGCCAAGCCCTCTGCATCACGTGATTGGTAGATCGTGTGATTTAGCATTTTTCGACCAATCAGCGACGACTTAAGTCATGTGAGCAAAATTGATCCCTCGTGCGGGGGGGTCGGAGTCTAGAAAAAGCTTCGCTCACGCTCCGCTTTAATTGCGAGGCAGGACCTCAGTTTGATAGAAAACAGAGCACTCATTCAACTCAAGCTGCACAAGAAGTTTGACACTAGCGGACTAATGGTGCCACTACTGACCCACTTCGAGTAGTCCAGTGAACATTGATCCTAGACCCTGTATACCAGGGAATGCCAAGGAACAGAAGGGTAAGCGTGATTCAATAGGGAATTGACTCGATCGCTTGAGGAGTCAAGCGATAATGAGGTGAGAGGAGCAGGTTATAAGCCTGCGTCTCGCCTGGTATCTAGTGTTTTGGCAGGGGCCGCCCTGACACTCAAGGTCCGACAAATTGGTTTGAATTCAGCCTTTTTGTCACAGAAGCGATGGGCTTTTCTCGACCGACACTACTTGTAAGGTTGTAACAAAAATGTTTAGCTCTTACATTATAGGAAAGTGCTTACAGCCCCCGCAACTATTGCAAGAATATGCCTTGACGGCGCTTCCTCGAACATACGGCGAGACAGTAGTTTCTGAAATGGCTACGACCTGCGATATTCGAAGTGAGTTGTTGCTGATTAAATATTGCAGAAGTAGCAGAGATGATAGGGGTTCTCAACTTATAACACAACTCATATCAGAAACTAAGGCTACCATCTACACGCCACATACTTCAAGGCAAATTTCCTCCACTACGGGCACAATGCGCTCGCTTTTCTCCAGTCTGTGCTTTACGGCAGTTCTTGTTGCACTCGTCACCAATCCAGCCCAAGCTGCCGTTACTCTGCGAGATAAAATCGAAAAGGGCATCTTCGACCGGGCTCCAGCAACAGATCCATATCCGGATCATGCAGGGTGCGCAGCGGCTCACGTTAATGACGGCAAACCTAGCGTCTTCTTCAGTAACCTAGGTAGCACAACGCCCGCTCAACGAGCCGCTCCTGACACTTTCGCTGCCACTATTGGCGGTAAAACGTTCATGAATGGATTTGGAAACCAGCCAGGCAATCCAAGCAAGCGATTCACAGATCGATGGTCAGGACCAGGCTCCCGGAAGTATTACGCAGAATTTGCATAGAGATTCTCCGAGGTGTTTGCGCAACAGGCTACCGGAACCGCTTATGTCCTCTTGCGTGCTACCTCAGGTGCCAATGGGCCAAAGTCGAACAGTGTATGGACGGTTCTTGAGAGATCGGCACTTGAAGCTAACCCGAACGTTCCAAAGATTGTTCTAGTGGATCCGGTTACTTTTGCGCCGAGCGACTTGTGGGTGAGAGGCGTTGATCCTCCTACCACTGTCAAAGCTAAGCGCCAGTCTGGAGTCATTGTCCTGGACTGGGATGCACCTGCCGACGGACCGTACTGGCTCGCTCCAAATGAGTGAGAGTTGTATTAGAATGATGTTGAGATCGAGAATCGAGGATGAGCGAGACTCATTCAGTTGGAGTGAAGAATGTTTGGATTTGCCTATTTGTGTGCTTTTGTGTATGACCAGTGTTTGTTTCAGGAGTATTTTTGAGTAGCAGGACGGACAGCGCTTTCACATCAGACCACCTAATTGTCAGGAGTGGGAGCTTTAGTTACCTGCGCTGCAATGACAATCTGCCAAATATCTGTCCTCTAATTGACGTTGCGTTACAATTTCTCCATTCCATAGGCCCTGGTCAGGGAGTTGTAGTCCAATCTATCCGCTACGACAAACTCGCTGTTGTCTGTCTTGCCTTTAGTACATTAACAGTGATACTATGTCCTGCCAATGATGCCTTCTCTAGCGCAGTCTTCCCATCCGAGTCCCTTGCCTCGGCATCGGCACCGTAACGTAATAATGTATTCACTGTATCAAGCTGGCCTCGCTCAGCCGCGATATGCAGTACCGGGCATTGCATGCCGTGGGTCGTGAATGATTCGTCGGTTCTTTCGTTTGGATTGATGCCATTTTGTAACAGATACTCGATGATTCCCGCGTCGCCACTTAGAACCGCTAGAGGTAAGAGTCCTTTTCGTGGAAATTCTGCTCCGTAATCCACAAGAAGCTTCACAACTGTCAAAGGAAGCTTTTCCTTAATCGCGGTTTCTAGAGCATCAGATCCAGCGAGGGCTCCAACATTCGGATTCGCGCCAGATTGAAGAAGAAATGTGATCCAAGCCACGTCGCCAGCCATGACCGCCTCTGTCAACGGTCCTCCTGCATGTCCAAAATGGTGATTAACATCCAGCCCTGCGGGAACAAGGAGTTGGTAAGCCTCATTACCCCCCCCTATATGCGCATTTTTCATGATTTCGTGCGTGATTTTGGCTCCAGCGTTGAGACAATCACGTATGGACGGTACATGGTTGGCAAGGGCTGCGTAGGCTAGGACTTCTTCTAGCGACAGACCGGAGTCCAGTAAACCTTGAACGCCATGATCATCAAAGAGAGACTGGAGTGAGTCGGTGTCCTTTTTTGCCGCTGCCTCCCCAACCTGGACTCTGAGCGAGGTCATGTTTCGTGTCGTTCACAGGCTTGTGTCACTGGCCTGTCGACGCCAGGAAGTATACAAGTGATGAGAGGGGGACTTGGTAGTTAAAAGTGTGGCCTCTCCTCAGGCAACGAAATTCGGGAAAATATGTTAGCTTAGCGTGCCTCGAAATTAGAAACAACCTGTCGGACAAAGGTTTGCACTTGTACATGGTCTGACAAGAGAATAACCAATCATACGAAGGAACCGACCTATTGCTATAGTACCAAGAGTACTGAAATAGTTTGTGGAAAAGGGGGTGGCAACGAGGTCAACAGGGTTGACAAGTATATAGGGACCCTCGTTGTCCACTCAGTTGACAAAAAGATAGAGCATTCAATACATCTGAAGTTGCACCCGTTCGACACAACCCATGACTCACTGCAATGTGTCGCTAAGCGCGGATCTTTTCGTTTCCCCAGGTTCAACCAATAATAAATAGTGGGGATGGCCATTTTGGCCCCCCTTCTAAGCGCCCAGCGAAAATCTCCACAGCTCCAACCTGGCGGACATATATTTGTTGAGGTTTCTCGTTCCTCCAAACCAGGAAAAGAATTATTCCTTTAACCATCGTTTGTTACAAAAGACGTTCGTTCCGCACGCATTAATGCGTTCTCCCAGAAATACGGAGGTAATGCAATTATCGCAGCTCACTCGGCCTGAAACCCCAACTCATGATTCACCATCCAGTCCACTCAGTGCTGTCTTGGACATCGATGCGCTACTCGGCTCTGGCAGCGCATGGACTAAGTCAATAGCTCCGAAAAATCAGATGTTATGGCACCACTTGTTGAGCTGGTGTTTGCAACCTCGCATCATTTTACGGTTTCTTAGATCGCGAAAATGCTCTCTGCCAAAATTTTATGTCTGTCAACTGGGGAAATATTTGTTCCTCGTGATCTGGATTTTTATTTCCGTGTCAATACTTCAACGGCATTCTTCGTCCCTCATTTTCGGATCCATCGCAACGATACAGAGACCTCGAGCAGCGCGTTCAGTCCTCAGCAACTTCTGGACGAGGTAACGTTAACAACGAGAGAGTCTATATTGCCGCAACCATCATCAACGAAAAGTTGATTCGTGATGTCTGGGGTCGGTCTCTCCTCTCTCTGATTGATCTCTTGGGGGAGAACAATGTTTTCGTCAGTATCTACGAAAACGACAGCGGCTCAGGCACAAGCGATGCGCTTCGCGAGCTTCAGCACGAATTCACTTGTCTGTAATCAAAAGCTTCATCATTAATGCCAATAACTAACCTGATTCTAGGCAATTCTTCGGTTATCACTGGAGGCCATTTACCTCTCTCTTCCTTTCCGACTATGCGGCTACCAGATGGTGAAGATCGTGTACAGCGCATAACCTATCTTGCGGAGGTTAGAAATCGTCTCCTTCAACCCCTGGAAGCTTCCTATGCTGGAAATTCTTCTGGTTTTAGAAGCGCAGCAGATATCAAGTTCGACAAGATTCTCTTCATAAACGACGTATTTTTCAACCCATTGGACGCTGTCCAATTGCTTTTTTCCACCAATGGCGGCAAAGGCACGGCAGAGTATCGTGCCGCCTGCGCCATCGATTTCGTCTGTGGAATAATGTTTTACGATTCCTTTGTTGTCCGAGATACCGACGGGTTTGGGATGGGATTAATGTTTTACCCGTGGTTCACCACTTCAGGCAGCGGGACCAGCCGAGCCTTTGTCCAGAGTCAAAAGGACGCTGTGCCCGTGCGTAGCTGCTGGGGAGGTATGGCTGCCTTCAACGCATCGCTTTTTCAGACTCGGCGATCGAAGTTGCCGCTGTCAGAAACAAGATTGGAGCCGGTGTCGTCGTCCGATCCCCATACCAAACCCCAGCTTCCGCTCAGATTTAGAAGCTCCCAGGAACCCTTTTGGGAGGCCGCCGAATGCTGTCTGATTTTTGCCGACATTGAAGCACTGTATGGGGACCCCAACGTGGAGAATGGGACGGGCGTATTCATCAACCCTTATATTCGCATTGCCTATTCACAAACAACTTGGGAGTGGCTGCCCATTTTTCGCCGGTTCGAGCGCATGTTCGAATATTTGCAATATGTAGTCAGTATGATTGGCTACCCAGAGTACAATCCTCGACGACTACACGAGGCCGGCCAACTTGTGGAAGAAACAGTCTGGGTCTCGGCATCAGAGCATGATGCGGCGTCTGTGGGTCACTTCATGCGCGTGCGTCGGGAGGCCGCTCCGGGTGGATTTTGCGGCCAACGGAGGATGTTCGTTATGAAGCGTGATTTGGAAACTGCCAACACTGGAGGCACTGGGAAGAATTGGGAAAAGATAAGGGTTCCACCGGGGGCCCGCTAACTGATAAGTCGATCTCAAACAACAGTCACCGTCCCTACAACATCCCCTCATCCTACCAAGCTCTCACCGTTTAACACCTTGCGAAACCCGTCCCTCCCCTTTGGATAGTTGACTTCGATCCTCTCAGGATTTCGACTCCCCTTGTGTGGCTTTGGATCTTCTGATGAATCTTGCCATGGAAGCCCCCATTAGGTGACAACCCTGGCGAGGCCAGCTTGATACATTATTACGTTACGGTGCCGAGCACCTCGCCGCCACGCGGTCTAACGTGCAGTCCACATCTATTTACTTTACAAGGAAAGAGTCTATAAATAATTATCCTAGCGGAGCGTAAGCGTAGCTAGGTATTAACTGCAAAACTCGACAAGAAAGTCGCGAAAGCCGCGATGCTGATTGGCTAATCCAAAATCCGCCTCTTTGATTGGCCAAAGACGATGCAAAGATCATGTGATAAGGCTTGGCAAGGTTGGTCGCCCTGCCCCGTGACCTCGCGACCACCCCCTTTCATGATTGCTACTGCCGTCAACAACCTTTATTCTCAACACTCAACCCTCTCAATCTTTCAAATCTATTCTTCAAATCCGACCCTCTCGAACCTCTCGGATCGCGTCGAGCTTTCTCTCTCTCTCTCTCTCTCTCTCTCGTGGACGCTCGATCCCGAAAGGCAGGAATCCGTTAGCTGTACAAAAAGGTCAGTCTGCTGGCAAAAGATACTACTTCATCGAGCGCTAATATGGCCTCATTAATTCCTCCCCCTGGAGAACCGTCGAACCCATTCAATCCTCCGAATCCTCCACTGCCTTCTAATCAACCGGATACTTCATCGGAGACCCGAACCTGTTCCAATTGTGGTCAGGTCAAGCCAATCGACGACTTTAAGCCTAGGCGAGGGATAAAGCTTACAGCGACCTGCATAGAATGTCGTGAGGGTGTATCTACATCAAAGAAGCGGAGTACGGTACCTATAATGAGCCCCGCTCGTGAACAACGCAAACCGAGCTTTTGTATAACCGACGGTGGCTTCTGGAGCTCGCGACCGAACCCCTCGGCCTATTCTCCCTCGCAATCTTAACAGTCAGGACACGCCCGCAGAAAGAGATGCACGTCGACGACAAGCCGCAATTAGCAGAGAACATCGATCTATTCGTCGCGGCGGTGGCGAGCCTTCACCCACGCCCAATCTAGAGGAACTCTTAAGGACTACGCAAACTCAGTCTTCTCCAGAGGGCAGGGAACCTTCCAGCCAGCGTTTATCGCTCGGGATATCAACATCTCTCCGTCCCCGCGCATTGCCCCGTATCCTCAATTACTTCCCTCGCTACAGACCGACGGTGGACGTGGAAGAATACGTCCGTGTAAAGCTAACACTCCATGTTCCCTTTCGAGCCGTGGATGACTTGCTTCGTCTCGACAACTGTGATCCCCCTTTTGCGTCTTTTACTGATGCGTGGAGCTACTGGCAAGTGACCCATTCGCACCACGCGGAGAGTGACTACATGGAGGAGCTACCTCCCAAACCCGAGGAAGATGATTTCGAGGATCTTCACGTCGATGACGACGCCCACGTTCAAGCTTCATGGGAATTGCTTGCCCAGCAACTTCCTGATCATGATGCCGCCGTCCGGCTGGAAGATCCAGACAAGCTAGGTGATCATGGCCTTGATCGCTCGTATGATTGGAGCCCTCACGTGGGCCGATATCCCGCCCTTTCTGACGACTTTTGGAAGCAAATGAAGGCGACATCTCCGGCTCACTTGGCCGCCGTCTCGTCGGCTAATCCCGATGATCTCGCGGTGAAACAGCGACAGCTGTTTAACCATATCGTCAGTCATTACGGTCGAGTCCTGGCCGGGTACAATCCGGCCCAATTCCTCATCAATCTCGACGGCAAGGCCGGGACGGGTAAGTCGTACGTGATTATGCTGATCTCGACTACCCTCCAAGAGATGGCCAGTGCCCATGATCTCCCGAATCCGATTCTCCGTGTCGCCCCCACGGGTGTGGCGGCCCATGCAATTAATGGGCGGACCCTGCACGCTCTATTCCGACTGCCGGTCAGATTCACCAAGGAATATGAGAAACTGAGCCCGCAGAACTTACAGGCCACCCAGGCGAGTCCCCGCGACGTGCGGTACCTCATCATTGACGAGAAATCGATGATTGGCTTAAAGATGCTATCGTGGCTCGATCAACGTTGCCGCGAGATCTTTCCCGCCAAATCAGATATGCTTTTCGGGGGGTCTCAATATTGTGATGACGGGCGACCTTTTTCAATTGCCCCCGGTGATGATGAAACCCCTGTACTATGATGGGCCGTTAAAGGACCCGCAGGAGATCGCGGCTCGAAACCTCTATCGCGCCTTTAATCAGACGATCGAACTCGACGTCATTCGCCGTCAAGAGGGTCCGGATGAAGAAGCCTCGGCGTTCAGAAAGGCGCTGGACAGTCTCCGGGACGACACGGTTTCCATGGACGATTGGCAACTCCTGTCGACTCGTGTTCAGTCAGTCGTGTCGTCGGAGATTCCAGCATTTGCAGACGCCCTCCGTATTTATAGCACGAAGCAACAGGCGGCGGATTTCAATCACGATCGCCTGCGAGATCTTCGACGTCCTGTTTTCGTCGTCCATGCGTCTCATGAAGGGATCAAGGCGTCGAATGCGACGACCGAAGAAGCCGGCAACCTGCAGACGGCGATTCCACTGTCAATGGGCTGTCGAATTATGCTGACCGAGAATATCTGGACCGAACGCGGCCTGGTGAACGGCTCTCTCGGGACGGTGGAGGATATCATTTGGAAGGCGGATGCGAATTGGCGGAAGGGCCCTCCATTCGCGATTCTCGTTCACTTTGACGGCTACGAGGGGCCTTCTCTAGGCGACGAAGGTGGCCATTCTTGGGTGCCGATCTTTCGCTCGAGGCGAGATTTCTACTACGGCGCCGTCAGCTGTTCTCGGACACAGTTCCCCATCACCAATGCCTATGCGATCACGGTCCGTAAGGCGCAAGGAATGACGGTGAAAAAGGCCGTCCTGAACCTCACGGCTCGTGATTTTGTGGCGGGTCTCAGCTACGTCGCGGTGTCCCGCGTCAAGTCGCTCCGAGGTATCCTATTCGAAGAGCCTTTTGGTTTCGAGCGTTTTCGAGTGAGAATATCTGACACGGTCAAATCACGCCTAGCCGATCGAGAACGACGTCGTCCCGAGCATGTTAGCTTGACTGAACGGGAAGAGCGTGATATTCCTCTCCGCAGCAGTCCTCCGCCTATTCCGTCCTCGCCAACGGGCCCGCCTCAATCCGAGCCATCATTGTCCGGCAACGACTCGATAAGCGATTACTAGCGGGCGAGGCACAGGTCAGAAATCGTCCTGTCTCGCTAATCCGGGAGACTTTCAAGGAGGCATAGTAGATAGAGGAGTCCAGAAAACGAGAGTCATCGACGACGAGGTTGACCCTGCTCCCACACGACCAGTATCCAGCCGAAATAGAAATGGCCTTCGTGTTCCGATAGTAAATACTCTTCTCCCTTATATGGAACTAATGGATTTTCCCCGTCGATTTCTTCTAATCATCGTACCCCCGGTTGGCAATTGCCTTTAATAGTGCCAAAGGCCCCTGAGGCGGTCCATAGACTGGATCCGATGGGGATAGTTGTTAAGCGGATCTAGTTAAATGCTCTGGCTAATCACCCTCCCGAAGGGGGTCCGTAGACTGGATCCGATGGGGGTGGTTGTTAAGCGGATCTAGTTAAATGCTCTAGTTAATCAACCCCCCGAAGGGGGTCCGTAGACTGGATCCGATGGGTTGGTTGTTGACAAGATCTAGTTAAATGCCCCGGCTAATCCTCCCCCCGAAGGTGGTCCGTAGACTAGATTCGATGGGGGCTGTTGAGCGGATCTAGTTAAGTGCTCTAGTTGATCGCACGTGGTCAAGTGCCAAGTATCACGTGTTCCGCGCCCCGCTCGAAGTGGTTCATGGATTGGATCCAATGGGGTCAGCCAATTAGAGCACGTGATTAGGTGTCGGGTTATAGATTTTCCGGGATACGGCGGCACTCTACTTATTCCTGGGTGGGCCGTGGATTGTTGTCTCAGATTGCGATTGGCAAGCGCGAGCGCTGATTGGTCTGCTTAAGCGCTGAAGCGCGAACCAATCAAAAAATTCAAAAAATTTTTTTTGCCAAACGAGTCTGAGCACCGCGTTCGTCGCGTAATATTTAAATTACCACCACCAAAATGAACGTATTGAACCGTAATCATAGATTCTCACGGTCTTCGGTTTCGCAGATCCTCTCTATGAACCACGTCGAGTGAGAGGCCGCGCCCCCCCGGAAAATGTTTAATCCGGGGCCCGGGGTGGTTATTTGGTCCACGGATTGGATCCAATGACGGTGATCCCGGAAAATATTTAATCCGATATGGTTGATCGGAAAATTGTTAATCCGTTAAAGGTCGGGCGGTCCATTGACTGGATCCGATGGGCGACGAGGGGGAAATTTCATCGGATCCAATCCGTGGATCATGTCGAGTTGGGAGGGCGCCTCCAGGGGTTAGCACGTGATCCCGGAAAATAGTTACGTGATTGGCCAGCTCGTCGCTCTTGGCGTCGCCGCACAACGCCAAGCCCTAACCAGGCGATTTCAAAAATTAAAAAATTTTAAAAAAAAAATCAAGCTTATATTTTATAATAGCAAAAATTGCTTCAAAATTGACACCAAATCGTGGTTGACCTATCAAGGACGTAACCGAGTGGTAGAATACTCGGATTGCAGTCGAACCGATAGAATTGAGGGGCCTTACTAGTGTTCGATCATAGGTAAGGTAAGAGGGTTGTCCGGCCTAGCTTTCTAGGTGCCCTAGATGGGTAAACGTAATGCTCCAGCCAGTGATTGTTGATGTCATACTGGGTAATCTGAATGGGGGTTCACTGATTTAAACTCTCCTTCAGTTGAACTCGTCTGATTGAAACTTTCGCTGGTTGTGGCGCCCCATCTATGAGTTCGTCAGAGATGGACTATAGGAGGGGGCTCTTTTTTTTTTTTTTTTTTAGTATTTTCGCCTTAAGTCCTATATCGCCAGTATAGCGATGATGACCTGCTTAAACAGTGAGGAGATGGCGACCTTAGGACCCGTGGACATAGAGAGTCAGTTTACACTATCACTAATTTCACAGATCCAGATCTCGTAGATCCGTGAAATCGAGACGCACAGAAGACGTGTTGAGGGCTTACAGTGAGTGTATTGACTAGTGGTTAGTGCCGCACGAAGATTCGCTCCGTTCTCTGCGATGTTGGTCTTATTGCAGAGGCATCCACGTAGGTTCGGAAGTGAGTTGATTTTGGTGACCTGCTCAGTACCAAGTCTATTAAGAGGAACTATACATAGAACCCAGTTCGTAGTATTACCGGAGTGGAGTAGAGGGTAGATTTGTCCGATGAGACTCTTTCCTGCACTGGTTGGTGCGTATAGAATGGTATTACTCTAGTTACCGAATAGAGACTGTGGAGCGTTGACTTGATATGGACGAGGGGAGAAATGGTAGACTCTTTCTACGATCTGTACGATCATATTCTTCACGTTTCGTAAATGCTCTTCGTGGAAGACCGACCATAAGGGTGTAGACGAGGCGCTGGGACTCAATATATGACCGGAGGAGGACGACGTCGACGATAAACTCGAGATATCTTTATCCATTTAAGTCGGGGTGTCATGGCATAACCTGGAATCCCCTCGAACGGTCTTGGCAGGCCCGCTGTGGCTGTCGAATAGCCTCGTGTGCCTGCTTATAGCCTTGTGTGCCTGCGTGGTAGCCTTGCAGCATGACTGTACCGCTGACTATAAGTATCTAGGATGGGTTTGCATTGCTTTCACGCTCTTTGTCTCTCGTCTTGTACTTTATAGTGCATTGGATAGTAATATCATTGTCGAATCTCTGCTCTCGTTTCCTCGTACGTCCCCACCCTGACAGCAATAATCGAATCCAATCGCCGATTCCATCGGGATTCCGGTGCCAACGTAATCTGATTGCAATCGATTGGCCCGATTCCATCGGGATTGGCGATTGCAATCTCCGATTGCCAAACCTAACAGGGGTAACGCGGAGCATTAAGACTACTCGGTAACTTCACTATATCTAAACGCTATCGTAGTATTCGCATTGAGATTGAGCAAATCTTCTATAAGGTAGACGGTTTATGTATACGTAAACAAAAAAATATTAAGAAAATAAACAGGCCCCCTCCTATAGTCCATCTCTAACGAACTCATAGATGGGGCGCCGCAGCCAGTGAAAGCTTCAGCCAGACAAGTTCAACTGTAGAAGAGTTTAAATCAGTGAACCCCCATTCAGATTACCCAGTATGACATCAACAATCACTGGCTGGAGCATTACGTTTACCCATCTAGGGCACCTAGAAAGCTAGGCCGGACAACCCTCTTACCTTACCTATGATCGAACACTAGTAAGGCCCCTCAATTCTATCGGTTCGACTGCAATCCGAGTATTTTACCACTCGGTTACGTCCTTGATAGGTCAACCACGATTTGCTCAACTGTGTTAATTTGGAGGAAAATTCTGTCCTTGAAAAATATATAATGTGATCCACCCATTTTCCCCGCGCACCCCCTCTCCACGCACTCTCCCACCAGACGCTACCTCCCAATTACGACACGAAACATCTCAACAATAGAACATGGCATCACAATCCAAGACAGCAGAATCATCCTAGCCGTTCAAGCTATCCGATCATCTAAAAAGCTAAGCCGTCGACAAGCTGCTAAGATCTACAACATACCCGAGTCCACACCACGCGACCGAATGCACGGAAGCACTCCGATGGCCGAATTCCGTCCTCAGGCACATCGGTACAGTGATCAACATCGTCTACATATGGTCCATAGACTGGATCCGATGAGGGATATCGTACGAGCACAAAATATCGTGATCAATATTGTCTACACATGGTCCACGGACTGGATCCGATGGATCAGCCAATCAGAGCAAATGATTTAGGAATTTTCGGATTATAGATTTTCCGGTAGTGTCAAATCACGTGACACGATATGGGGCCCTGTGTGGGCACTCCCCCTTGTCGCCCCGTCATCGGATCCAATCCGTGGACCATGTGGCGGGGGGAAATCCTACTCGATAGATGTCGATATCTCCCGATCGGATCCAATCTCTGGGCCACTCAGAGAAGCTCGATTGATCACACTCGACATGGTTCATTGATTAGATCCGATGAAACACCACCGCCACCGAATCCAATCCGTGGATCATGTGGCTGGGAGGGCACCCTACTCGATACAGTAGAAGTCGATATCGACATGATCCACCGATCAGATCTAGTCCGTGGACCACCTCAGACAAGCCCTTACTGATCACACTCGAGATGGTTCGTCGCCGAGCGTGAACGGGTCAGCTGAACCTGCACGTTGTGCAGCCGCTGAAAGTCAAATGTACAATGGAGAATTGGGGGTTTGAGGGGGGCGAAGTGGCGGCCGTGAGGATCGTCGATTGGGAGGCGATCAAGGCACGCTGGGAGAGGTAAGGCAGATTTTGAAGGGGCCGGGGAAGATAATCCAGGAAAAAGGAGGGGCATAATGCAGCAGGGGAGGATTCAGGTGGTGTCGGGTGCAGGGCGACGGAGGTGAAGAAAGAAAACAGGTAGGAAGAGAAGGAAAAAGGGATGGGATCTTATAGACGTTAAAAGCAGCGGCGCGCCCAGCCTGCGACGATACCTGAAAACCCTAGGCCACCTCAACCGGAGGCAGATTTCCCTTTACGGTCCGAGTTTCAGCCAGAGAGTCACGTGTGAACCGGCGCGTCAGTGTTTATCATTCCTGAAATGTAAATATATGCCAACTCCATTAACCACAGCAAATTCATACATTGAAGACTGCATCTGTGCTGTATATCAAGGGCTAGAATGATACAAGACGCCATAATCTGGCGTAAACGGTATCCCACATTCTCCTGGATATTTAGCGTCCACAAGGTGCAACCTACTCAATGGGAACTGAATTGCAAAATGGTACGCTCCTTCCCATATGAATACGTTCGTGGCTCATTAAAAATAGGCAACCGTTCCTTCCGTCCCACGGCTCGCCTACCATTTTCACTTTCTAAATCTGAACCCAAAACAAAGACGTCCGCCATCACTACTCAGCCCAAGAATACGAATCTATCTCGAAGGTTGAGACAAGATCACCCGTCAGGTTGCCCTTCACAATTCTCTGCAGACAAAATTAAGGAGACCGACCCGTACAGAATCAAACTGCTTTGGCGAGAAGTCATGGCACCCAAGACGCCCTCATACGCACGCCAAACGAGATCCAGCAATTTAAAGAGTCGGAATCCCTCAAACACGCCTGGTCAGACAGAAGAGACTGTGACAAATAAGACCTCGGACATTTTCTCGACACCTATCCCTAACAAGGATACTCCCAGAAAGCAGACAGTCAAAAATGCCACAGTTCGAGACGTTGACTTCGAAGAGACGCAGTTGATTCCGCGCGGAGTTGAGATACTCAATTCGCATCAGAACATCGTGACAGGAGCTCACGCTTATTTCAACTCCGACACACCTCCGGACCCAGCCCAATCACGCGAATTCTACCTATCCGTCATTCAAACAGCCCTTGCAGGAAGAGTTGAACGGGACATAGACAATTCGATATTCTTGCCAACGGACGCCAACTTTATCAAGTCTGTGCGCAGAGCGTATCGCAGAATGGGAGATGAATACGTTTCGGAAGCTGAGTTCAAGGTATTTGCTTGGCAGAATCTGTTCATCGGGCAGCACGTCGTCTTAATGGATGATACTGAAAGGCAGCTTTGCGCTGTACGACTTGTGGAAATATCGTTGAAGCCTTGCGAAAGTCGCGGCCGACGTGTGTGGTTTGAACCTCCACTCCTCTCTTCGAATCAACCTCCAAAACCCTTTAGCTTCGACATTTCCTCCGATAGTCAATTCTGGCTTTCCGACAAGATTTTAAATGCCGACTATCGAAGACATACCAAGTCAGCCGTGCATTGCAAGTCCTGGGGTACATTTTGTCCCTATTTATCGATCGAGTTCAAAGCCACAATTGATGACAAACGGGTCGTGGGGAACCAGATAGCTACCGCTGGACTGATTTCCTTGTTCAATCGATACCAGTTGAAGCTTGACGCCGCTTTTCAGCCCACTCCAGAGCAATTGAGACTGGTTCGCCATTACGGATTGACGATGGAGAAAGAAATATGGACAGTATGGCTCTTTGAACCAAAAACAACCGATGGGGCTTGGGCCGGCTGCACAATACAAGTACTTGAAACCGGGACTTGTCTGAAGGAAGGGGACATTGTGGGATTACTTCAATGGATCAACGAAATTCATCGGTGGGGCCTTTGTGAGTACGCTCTCGGATGTGAGGAGGATATCAAACAGATTCTGAGCAGAGGTACCAGCAACCTCAGAATCTCCACGATAGGGTCCTGAGGCAGCGGGATCGATGACAGATGTCAAAGAGCAGATTTTCGGCGCACTGTATCGTCAATGGTAGAACTCTACCAAAATACTTCACGTGTAAGTATCCATATGATTTTACCATGCATGCTTCAATGCCTCCAGCGAAGACCACAGATTGTTCCTGGAAGCACCGGCACCATTCCTCAGGACACAGGACGGAGAGGCGGCTGAGCGACGACGCCAACTAAGTCGCCGACACTCTCTAGTTATCTATCTGAATGGAAGTGGAACGCGGGGAAAAGTGGGAGCATACTTGGAGCGATGTCAAAAATGGCGGGCTGCTGCGACTATAAATTATTGAAATAGAAAAGCGGAAAAGGTCGTTCTGACCGGGCTGGCTAGAAATAGTGCAGGGAGAAGTCGCATAGTATCTCATCGTTGAGAAATACAAATTTGGCCCACCGTGGCCTTTAACATCCCAAAAAGCTGCTGGTTCCAGGGTTCTTATCAAGCCAAGACGAGCGGGCAAGACCTTGGCAAGCTACGGTCTTGCTTGATTATATCTCCGCCTATATTGCTGCAACTCATTGTTTCCATTGAGTTTTGTACTCTCCGATTTATTCTTTATGACTCACTGTAAGCTCCGTAGATAGATCGCTCCTTGGAGCCTTTTTATTCTTGTCGACTTCCTCGAGATATGTGTTGGCAGTCCACATTGGGACTAGCCTGATCACGTGCACCGCAGCCTTCGTGGCCGCGCTCAGATAGGTTCAATCAATCAATCCTCTCTCGATCCTACAGAGGGTGATCAATCGAGCTTGTCAGGGTGGTCCATAAACTGGATCCGATGGGCGACGGGGGTTTCATCGGATCCAAGGAGGGCTGCCCCTTCGAGGGGTTAGCACGTGATCCCGGAAAACAGTTACGTAATAACGCCAAGCCATATGCTTACGTAATTGGCCGGCTCGTCGCTCTTGGCGTCGCCGCACAACGCCAAGCCCTAACCAGGCGATTCCAAAAAAAAAAAAAAATCAAGTTTATATTTTTAATGCCAAAAACTGCTTCAAAATTGACACCAAATCGTGGTTGACCTATCAAGGACGTAGCCGAGTGGTAAAATACTCGGATTGCAGTCGAACCGATAGAATTGAGGGGCCTTACTAGTGTTCGATCATAGGTAAGGTAAGAGGGTTGTCCGGCCTAGCTTTCTAGGTGCCCTAGATGGGTAAACGTAATGCTCCAGCCAGTGATTGTTGATGATGTCGTCTTGTTCATACCGTTGGGAGGTCACTGATTCAAACTCTTCTACAGTTGAACTTGTCTGGCTGAAGCTTTCACTGGCTGCGGCGCCCCATCTATAAGTTCGTTAGAGATGGACTATAGGAGGGGGGCCTGTTTATTTTCTTGATATCTTTTATTTGTATATATGTGAACCATTTGTTTTATAGAGTCTATATAATCAGTCGACGACTTTAGGCGTATACTAGAGGCTCTTGAGATATATACGATTATTTAATCCATTTAGGCTTTTTACGGCTACTCGTAAAAACGGCGTGTACTCTCTTTTACCGTCCTTACGAAAGTACTCCCCTTACGGTACTAGTCTATATCTTAATAGAGGCTCTTCTCAATACAAGTAATATACTAACAACGTAAAAAGATTTATGGAAGATACTTAATCTTAATGCGAATACTACGATGGCTTTTAGCTATAGTGAGAAGGTGGCAAAATAATTTTTGAATTTTGAGCTAATGCTCCGCGTTAATCGCAGTTCTCGGCACGTTAGCGACCAATCAGGCCATGACAACTCATCGCTTCTGAGTCAAGTCGCCCAGCCGCGCAGCCGTTTAACATGGCATATCTTGCAAAAACATCCACCCTTTCACATGCCTTCGCAACCGCATTGCCAGAATGTCCTTCTAGGGTATAACATCGTCCTCTTCCCGTAAGCTTGTTGTGGTGACAGGAGGCGCCATGTCTTTGCCGGTAGGGGATCCGACTGATCCTAGCCTTCCGAAACCCGTCGACGGCAAAGTTGCTTCTCGGAATCCGTGGGCGGAAGCATTCAAGACACTGGATGTCGACGAACAAAAGCGATATAATCAAACAGAAAACGATCTCTTGGGTATCCTGGCGCTGGTGAGTAAAAGGTCCCATGCAGGATGGAGGAACTACAGCGGCTGGCGCAGGCCAACCTAACATTCATGTTCCACGCAGATCCGAACAGATACAGAAATCAACAAAAAGCGATGTCTAGAAAAGGGTTGGACGGCCTATCGCAACAAGAACGGGGATGAAGTGAAGCTTCGGCATGTCCTAGAGAAGATTTCCATGTGGGTTACAGAAATTATTAGAGTTATCGATGTTGGAGTCTCCTTCGACAAGAGTGGCCAAGCAGCCTTGCCCTGGGCAGCGATAAAATATCTGATCACGGTAAGGCAACATGTGCCCTATGTCTGAGGGATCCTGCTTATAGCTAAATCTTCATGTTCGAATACATAGGTCGGGACGAACGACATCGAACAGTTCAGCCATATGAGCGAAGCCGTGGAGTCAATCTCCGGCCTCATTACGCGGTACACAGTCTTCGAGAAGCTTTACCTCCATGAGGATTGCGAATCCACGCCGAAGCTTTATGAGTCCATCTGCGAGCTCTACGCAGCGATACTGCGTTATTTATCCAAGGCGAAAGCATACTTCAGCGGGAACTCTCTACGTACGTGCGAGACCAGCCAGCGCCAACCTTATATTCTGCTCCCAAACGGTGGTAACCGGAAACTGACCCACACTTTTAGAGCGATTCGGTCGGGGTGTGGTGGAAATGATGCGCAAACAATACGATGAACTGTGGTCGAAGATCACGGAGGCCGACGTGGAGAAATGGGCGAGACTAGTAGATGTGGAGCGTAAGTCTTTGCCTGCCGTCAATCCAATCGATCGCTGCTGAATCTCTGAAAGTTCAACGGAAGTTGGCAAAAGATGCCTTAGAACGCTATGAGACGCTAAAAAGAACCCTATTGCATAAGCTCGACCAGCCTATCATGCAAATAGCTGATCAGATGTCGATTCTCCAGGACAGATTTAACCGTGAGTTGTGCACCATTCCCATCAGTTGGCGGAGATATTCATCTCGTCTCAGGGGAAGAGCGAATAAAGGTATTCCAGTGGATGTCCAAAATCGAATACAGAAAACACCACGAAGATCTTTCGAAAGACTTGTTACCTCGATCTGGCCAATGGCTGCTACAGAGCCGTGAATATATCGAATGGGGTCAGTCGAGTGTATCTTCTATGTTCTGGCTCCATGGTATCCGTAAGCAACCTTAGAGCGATTCCCCTAGGGGTGGTACTAATCTTAAGTGTAGCTGGATCAGGGAAAACGAAACTCGTGTACGTTGTCCTTTGCGAGAATACCACGACTCGAAGTGTTTTCTTTTCGCACAAAGGCCCTCTGAGAGCATTCTGCGGTGCATAAGCACAGTTTTGCTGACCTCGAACTGGTGGATCAGATCGACCGTCATTAACAACATGTTTGAAGCCCACTCGGCTTTGAGCGCACCTCCGATTGCCTTTTTCTACTGTGTAAGAAACGAAGCCGAGAGAGAACGTGCCATACCGGTTGAGATTATGCGGGCTATACTTAGACAGCTTGCCAGCACAAAGCCAGATATGCCTATTAAAGAGCCAGTTGCCAAGGAATATGAAAATCGCAAGAGAAAGGCCGATGAAGATTGCTCAAGTCTCAGAGAGTTGACGATTGAAGATTGTACCAGGCTCATTCTAGCACTCACAAACGACAGGCCTGCAACAATCATTATTGATGCCCTGGATGAATGCGACCGATACATACGCCACGAGCTGCTTGAAGCGCTAGATGAGATAGTGAGTAAATCTGTCGAGGTGGTGAAGGTATTTGTCTCGAGCCGTGACGATGTTGATATCGTGAGTGACTTATATGTCTCCTCTAAGCCGCCTAAATTAGTTAAAATGGACTCTGCTAATCTGTATTATTTCCCCAGCAACTTCATCTAGAGAGGTCGAGGTCTCGAAACATCTCCATCAGCGCCAGTCAGAACGGTCCAGATATCCAACGGTTTATCGATTCAGAACTGGAAAGGTTAATTACCAAAAAGCTTCTATTGCGTGGCAAGGTATCCAAGGAACTCAGAAGTAGAATTACCAAAGTTCTGAACGAGGGTGCTCAGGGGATGTTCCGGTGGGTAGCTTTATCGCTTGACGTTTTGAAACGAATACCATTCAAAGCAGACTTCGAAAATGCCTTGGGCCAACTTCCTCGTACACTTTCCGATCTTTACGACAAAATCTACCACCAGATCGAGGAAACTGAGACTTATGGACGCAGAGTGGCAGTTATGGCGTTGAAGTGGCTTCTTTGTGCACAACGTCTATTGTCTGTATCGGAGCTTATTGCTGCTATTTCTATGAACCTTGAAGATACGACCGGATCACCAACCGGCACCCACGAAGATCCAAGCCACAAGCGAGACTCGTCATCAGAAACGGACTTAGAGGACGGCTCTGACTCAATATTGCCATCTGATGTTGCTTTGTTATGCAATAACTTGGTGGTTATTGACACAGAGCTGAATGTCTTCCGCTTCGCACACCAATCCGTGCGAGAGTATTTGCGAAGTCGGAAAGAATATACAGATGCGGAGCTGCATGTGCTTGCTACGGAGAGATGTTTGGACGTATATCTGGCTAGGGCGCCGCCAAGATTTGGTGTGGCCAATGTTGGTTGGGAAGATCCTCTCAGGAGGTATGCCAAATTCTACTGGCCTGTCCATTACAAATTGGCAGAGAATCACATGTCTTTGAAACTAAGGAAGAAGGTATTGCCATTCTTTCTGCAAGAATCAAAGGTTTCTCCACTATATGTGGCGTGGGCGGAGGATATCACATGGCACCGATCCGGCTACAGGATAAATGATCTATTGGGGTTGGATTACGGTGACCGTCTAGGCTATCGACTGTGGTCTGCATCTTATTCACCGCCTACACCGCTCAGTATAGCATGCGCTTTTGGGCTTCAGTCTTTGGTGAATGACTTCGACGTTCTATCGTCTGTTGATTGGAGTCGGCAGCTATCAAGTGACAATATAGCAGGCCGTTCACGTACGTTGCTCAATATTGCTGCAGAAGAAGGCCAAACACCAACGGTGCAACGGCTGCTGGAGAAAGGTGTCGATCCGGATTCCAAGGATGAGGACGGCCTGACGGCATTATCGCAGGCAGCGGAGAACGGGCATGAGGCGGTGGTCAAGCTGTTGCTCGAGAAGGGCGCCGACCTCGAGTCGCGAGACGAGAAAGACGGCCAGACACC